GACGCGAAGATCCGCTCTACTATTAAAAAGGGGCTTTTAAGGCAGGAAAAAAAAGCCAGAAATATGAGGAATACCGGCAAGTTGCTCCCTCTGTACATAGTCGACGGTCCGGGCACTGGGCGTGAGTTAAAAAGGGGGTAGTCGAGGCTTGTGTATAATGGTATAATCCGTCGACTAAGTGCCCATATGGGTGATGTGGCCGTTTGGGTGAAAAGCACCCACTTTAGTGGGTGACGAGACCCGAGTTCCAATTAAAGGGGGGGCGGGCACGAGTAGCCGTCGCAATCGAAGACAGTGATACCGTCCGAAGAAAGGCTGTTTGACTGAGCCGTGTAATTGTTTGCTGCCGGAGCATTGTGCAGCAACCGGGCCCGCCTCATCTGAACAATGGCGTGTTTCTCGCATTTGGAGCGGCCAGTGTGGCGTCGAGAGCGTCCGTGGCCACCTGGCAAGGGAAGGGACACAATTGTCGAACTGCACCCTCCAATAAGGTAGGTAGACCTGTTGGCTTGACTGATCAAATTTCGAAATCAAAACTGCAGGCAAGAAGCCAGGTGTAGGTTTGCAGACTGTGTCTTACAGTCTTGCAGATGGCTACCGCAACTCGCTTGCAGCCAAAGATTGAGCAAGTGGTCTCAGATTTTGCGAAGACGGGGGGAAGGACCGGATTCGTCGTATGACTATCCGTAACTGTACGAGGTGAAGCGTGTCGCTCGGGAGGGCAGAGACAGATGGCACATGGACGGGTATCGGCTGCAGATGGTGCAAGACAAGTGGTTGTTCTAGCGATTCTCGAAGGCAGCTGTGCATCGTTGTGACATGAATAGCGGTCGAGCTAAGGCAAGTTGGTCTCAGAGTCCATGCGACCGTGCGGTCTTGCGCCCGGCTGGCCGCTTGGTCTCACATTCATCAGACGATGCTGGGATTTCCAACGGAGGGTTGAGACCGTAGGCACGACACGGGGGAGCCGCAAGTGAGCGAAGCACACTGATTGTGTCGTGCTCGTGTGCTCGAGTCGGTATTCGTAGCCAAATGGAGGAAGAGTTGTTGAACATTAGAACAGAGTGTCTCGAATCCACGCCGGCCGAGAGGCAAACGATGTTTGACGCGAATTCTCTTGTCTTGTACGGATATGTGAGATGGAGGTTGTGGTGGTTGGTGATGGTTGTGCAAGTTCAGGCAGGTCGATGTGTGTGCTGTGTATTCGTACGAATACTTCGTAGTGTAAGAGGGGAGCCTCACTCACCCTTGATGACGGCGGGGAGTGGACGTACCGAGCACAGTGTGTCGGGATGATGAGCCGTGAAGGTACTTTGATCCACAGCCTTCCTTCCGCTGATTTGCTGTATCGTCTCTGGTCCGTCTGTTTTGGGGTCCAGCTGGACTGGAGCCCCGGGAGCATGGGTATCTGGACACGGTGCAGGCGCTAGGGAAATGTCAGATGAGCCAATCAAAGTATCCAAAGAGGACCCACCTGATCAAGGTGGATGGATACCTGTCGCTCTCCCTTGAATGGCTGGCAAGCCTCAAGACCGCAACACTGGGCAGGCGCGACGAGTGTGTCTCTTAAACTCCCGGCAGAGTCAAGACTCTGCCTTACCAAAAGAGACAACCGTTTGAAGCTACCTTCACGCTTTCGTGTACGGATAGTCATTGGCAAGTCTGGCTAGATTCTTCGCATCACCTGCTGTGCTGCTGTTGTTGCTGTTGTTGCTGCTGTTGCTGCTGCTGCTGCTGTTGTACCCACCTGTTATAGGCGAGCTACGTGGGAGTACCAAGTCATGAGTGAAGCGCCAGTGTTCATGACTGATTCGGGTGGCCCATGGGCAGATACTAGATAGGTAATGTATTCGTAGTACGAATAGGTGGGCACGGCAGATGCAAAGTATCCGTACACTACACGCTGTAATCTGTATTCGTGGATATCCCGTACGCTGCGAGGCAGAAGGGGAGTTTGCGGCTTGCCCGCGCAATGGTTCGAGTCCCCACATTCCCGAAAATGAGGACGCGACACTACAACCGTGATTTCACGTCACGGTCGACGGTTGTCCTTGGATCCCGACTCCCGACAAGCCTTTGGGAAAGGGGACAAGGACCTGGATGGGAGTGGAAACTTGAAAGAGATGTGGCCAGTGCGCCCTAGTGGGCTCGCTTAGCTCTGCGCCAGGGATCTGGGCCTTACTGCGGTATTCTCCCCTGTCTGTCCTTCTCGATCGGGTCTAGATCCGACTACGTATCTGTTCCCTTCCGTTAGGGACGGCAACCAGGACGGAGCCCAGGCTTTCCCCTCGTAACTTCCATTCTCTAATTAGCTACCTATCTCCATCTCATCATGTACCGTCTTGTTGAAAATGAAAAAGTCTATGAGATATGGAGTTGCTTCCTTTCGAACTATCCTCCATGTTCGTGTCTGAGCGTTGCATGAGATGGAAGTAGGCACGGCGGGCGGGTTCTATCCAAAGTCCGCCGTAACGATCCTCAGGTTTTTGGTCATCAAGGGAAGGACCACAGGCAGGTCGGCGCTCGATCCTTCCTTGGCCCGTCATCCAATCTCCCCCAAAGCTGCCCTCGTGCGTTTTGACTCAGCCGTCAGACCCAGATCACTGGGTGTCGCCCTGTCGGTACTGCACCGTTTTCCCACGGTTTTGGGCCTTTTGGCGCGCCTCCGACCCAGCATCTGCACGCTTTTCAATCCTTCGAGGCCCCCCTCCTCATTTTCTTTTTCCAAACCGCGTCCACGTTACCGGGTGCTTTGCACGAATACTAGCACTATTATATCCGTTTGGAAATCTATAGCCCTGCGACTCGCAAATTGCAAACCACCATCTCACTACAATCAATCCGTCGCAAACGGCCAACTCTCCCAAGACTCCAGAGTAAAGATTGACTTCCCGAGTCTCCTCCTCTCTTCCTCTTGGCCCTAGAACATTTTGAAGCTATCCGTGCGGATACACGAACGCACCTTCACCTCACAATTACCCAACGACACTCTCGAGCTCGATTGCAGTCCAGTTCAACAGACACCGAGCAAATTTCCCTCCCGAGACCGTGTAGCTACGCACACTCGTCCCTCCTCGTCCTCTTCTCTGGCGGCTGTTGCACGGCGCAAAGACGACCATCAGTCCCAGGGTGGTGCCGCCAGCCAGGCCTCCTCTAGCTTCGTCTTTGTGCAACCATTCTCCTTGTCCCTCCACTGTCTCCAGAGAAACTTGGCCGCGCTAGCTCGCTAGTAGTGCCGGCCATACGGTACGGATACTGCTTGGCCTGATACTGGTTACCGGTACTGGTTCTGGTACGGGTTCCATGTCTGCATCTTTTGCTACCCAAAGAAAGGACCATATGTGTATTACGCCCGCCCACGCACCACACACCTCGTTCTGCGACTCTCTTCGACTCCGTTTACATCCAAATTCATCGTCCCCTTCGAGCTCAGTCACCACAGCTACACTACCTTAGCTAGCATCCTCTGTGACGCTACGCCAAAGTAACTAGTCCCCTCCGTCGTCTTCCTGCCTTCTGGCTATCCCTCAGTTGGAACCGTCTCTCCTAATCTAAATCAACTTCTCTTCTCCCATCCCACGTCCCCTACCGTTCGTTCATCCTCACTTGCCCTCGTTTCCCTACCAGCAGAGAGGCGCACTCCGCTTGATATCATGGCATATTCTGCTCATTGAGAACATCGAACAAACAGCAATCGAACATACAACATACATCCCCAGGCACATGGCAGCATTCTCTCTTGGTCAACGCCTCGGCCACACTCAATTTCCCTGCACGCTCTCAAAGTTAGCACAACGTCATTCTTGCTGCTAGCACTCACTACCAAGTATCGGAAGTAGTCACTCGGGGGCCTTTTGTGGCCGCCACGGCGCCTCTTCGCCCAGTCCCTAGCGCCGTTGCGGATGCCTTCATAATAGCAGCTCGGCCCTCCTAGAGCGAGCTCCAGCCCACGCTGCGCTCTCGTCACCACATCATACGCAGGGCAAATTTATCTGTCGACAGTCTTCGCTCAAACTCGAGGAAGGATGTTTGACCACTTTGCATTAGGAACTCAGATCCGCTCAGGCGCGGACGGTCCTGGCGAGGAGCCATCTCTCTCACCGAAACAACGCCCACAAAAATTACCGAACCCGACTGAAGGACTGTTGTCTCCACCAAGGTCATCTCCAGCTGCCCTCGATACACCAGTGATCCCACCACAACCCATCGACAACCTTGCCCACGAGCTCAGCAAACAAACACTTATTCCAGAGTTTCGACAACGAGATGTACTGGCGACGTCGGCTAAAGTATCATCGTCAATAGTCAACGATTTATCAATGACCGATCTAGAGGTGGACGACGACTGCGATATGAACCTTGCTACGGATGATATCAAAGAACACCAGCCAGTGGCCGATTGGAAAAGAGCCCGGCGTCAGCGTTACAGCCGCGTTGTCAACAATCCAACCAATGCCCGCGCGATAGAAGCACGTGTCAAGGACATGATCTCGGAAGAGTTGCAGTGCAACGTTCATCCACCTGCAGCAATGCCATCTGTACCAGCGGCTGTCCCTGTATATCCTCATCTTCCCAACATTGATGCCGACGGTTATCCCGAGAGCGACCCAGCCTTGACTCAGCCGGAAGTGGATGAGGGCTTTTGCGACCAAGACGAGGAATATGCCATCATGCAGAGAGCATTAGCTGCCGACAGAGAAAGGCTGTTGGGCAAGTCGGGAGGCATGCGAAGTTATGGGTCTTTGCGATTCAGAGGATCGGCAGAGACGGCGCTTCGTTGTCATAACGTTGTCAGACAACGACCAAGAATGCGACGAAGAAAAGGACCAGGACCAACGCACGATCCTCGACCAACCTGAATCGCCCTGACAGTTGCGGAGTCCAATTCGCATCATTCGGGCCTGTCTTATTATTTCAGTTTTATTACATGAGCGTCTGAGGAACATTTTAGCGATATACCCACGGGAAAAGGATCAAGATTTGGCTAGGGGCACGGCGTTTATTTTAATGGATTTGAACTACAACACGGCGTGGAAGTTCAATTGGGGATCACTGTCCTCGGGATTCAGAGGGAGACGGCGTTTTGATTGTGTCGGGCAAGACAACGGAGATTTTTGCCTTTATTTTTCCTCATCATGCGATGAGCCACTCGATGGTCGGATGTGGGATGTCCGTTATTTCCACATTGTTGTTCGGAGTCGGAGGCACTTTTCGGCTTGCAACGACCTTGACGGGCCGTGGTCATCGCCGAGTCATCAGTTGCGCAAGCTCCGATTGCTGGGCTTGGTGTCTGTCTGCCCATAACCTTCGAAGATGCAGAGGTGGCGTCAATACTTACAGCCTTTGTCAGGCAGTGCCTTCGCCCCTCTTCATCATTCTCCACGTCGTTGATGAGAGATCACTATTGGAGGGGACTAGAGAACTTTCGAATTCAACAAGCTTTACCTCACACTTTGGGATGTGTCGCATTCTTATCTGCTGACGTTTTCACTTTGAATCGCAGTGATGACTAAGGCTGAGATGATACAGGACAGCGATGTTTTCAGTATTACCGTTCTTACGGGTGGTTGGGAAACGTGTGCAACAGACAACGGCTGCCCTGCGAGCAAGCTGTCCCGATAGGTTGGGAAGCCATTGTGGTCAAAGTAGGATTTCAAGGGAGTCTCCATTCATGCATGCGGCACAATGCACCACGACCCTCGTTTAGAATCAGTGACGTGCACCGTCACTGGCCCCCCTTCTTAAGTTCATCAGATCTTTCCTACCCCTCTTCAGACAAGTAACATATAGGGGGAGCCGTATGAACATTCCAATCGTCTCCCGGCTAACACGCTCTCCACCTGCGCAAGTGCGTATGGCTTGATCCAACAGCTAGAGGGGTTGTAAGCCAAGGAACTCGTAGCTAATGAAGGTGAGATAACCCCAATTAGACTTTCAGGTGGTCAGGCGAGCGCCGACGAGGAGACGTGCAGTAGTTCCATCTGGGGCAGCATCTCACCAATGACAGACACCTTTCCCTTGATAGCTATGGATAGTCTAGTTCACGAAGAGCTGGCACAGCATAGCCGCGGACCGTGAAAGCTACTCGGAGCTGGAGCATGAGCCTGGATCGGTCGCCGGTCCGGCCGTCGAAGGCGTGATTCCTTGCAGTTTGGCACCGCCATCGCTCTTAGCCGACAACGCCCCTACTTTACTGCTTGAAATATCTCCGTTCCCTTGTTTGTCATCACTTCATCCTCATCCCAGCATATCATGATCTAATTCCAAAAAGGGCCACAGGGTACACCCTCCCAGTGGAGGGTATCGAGACTTGGATAAGCAGGAGGAAGCCCCCATCTCGATGTGGTCTTCTTCTTGGAAGGAAGTTGTATACCCGGGGTCCGCGATGACAGTCTTGCTTCGCCAGTGGCGTTTTTAAGCAGACGACATCCCGTATCAAGCCGCCCCAAAGATACTCAAAATATCAATCAAGGTTGCAGTCAGCTTAGTACTTTGGGAGTTTTGAAGCAAGCAGAATACTTCCAATGGATCAGACATGTGCCTGCGGTCTTGGTAATTACAACTTGTCTTTGTTATCGATGCTAGCCCTGGTAGAGAGGGCGAGTAGATGGATTGTTTCTTCCCGAGGGGGGTTTCTTTTCTTGTCAAACGACGTTGCCTTGAAAGAAAACGATGATCGAGTTTTCTTTCATGTCGCTGTCTCTTTGCCCTACCAACCCCAGTTCTTACAGGTACAGAGTGGGAGGTGACCGTGTTGACTGGAATGCGGATATGCTGCTGGGTCACTAGACGACGTGGTTTGCATTCCTTTGGCCATTCAGGAACAGATGGCATCCCTCGCTGAAAGCACGGTGATCTCTGCGGTCCCCAATTCCAATGGTGCTCGTCTCCGTGCTGCATCCATATCTCTTGCAATAGTTGCTGTGGCAGGATCAGAGACATGGGCTGGACGGTATTTGTTGACTCTCGTTCCCTCCACCCCGTGTGGGCTTGCAACCATCGACGGTTTTCATTTCCGTACAAGAGTCCCATTCTTCGATGGTTATACCCCAGTTTCTCTATCATCTTTCTCTCACTCCTTCTTACACTCTTTTTTCACTTTCCGCAAACGAACGTTTGTAACATTCTCTCTCTCCTTTGCTACGGCCTTTCTCCTACGATCCACCGTTTTGCATCATAATCCACGCGACAGATCTGATCCTCATTGCTGTCTCCAGTCCCCCGCTTCTGTTCCTGATCCTCGCCTTGGCTCTGGATCGTTTGCGGAACTGAAGTCTAGTACAGAGACAGAGGCAGAGACACCCGCACAAGAGAGCATGACAGTGGCCGTCTCGCATTGGACGAGGAGCCCCGGCACGAGTGTCAGTCTCTGCTCGCACCCGACAGACTACGGCGACATGGCCTACTCGGAAGTCCAGTTCTCAGTAGATTCAATGGATGAGGACAAAGACGGTAGCGGGGGCCAGTTTCACCTGCCCTGGGGAGAAGAGACAGAGGGAGCTGGCGGGGGAGGATCGGGCTCGGGTGCGGCCCACGGCGACAGCCTCTTCTTCGAGGACTTCGTCGACCTGGAGAGGCTTTCTTCGACGACCACCGGGGGTGACGAGCTCCCTCCCTCTGCTGCCATGCCCGACTCGTTCTTCTACAACATGCCACTCCCCGCCCATGGGTCCGCGTCGACGACAAGCGTATCGGACGATCTGGACGACATACTAAGTTGCCACACACATCCGCTCATGGAAACTAGGACTAGCGCCGCAGCAGGTCCCGCTGCCACATTAGTGCCATCATCAGCAGCCGCTAGAGGCGGGGCGGCGACTTCAGACGCGGTGGTACCGTCTGCTGTGGGCGTTCCGGGTATCCAGTCTTCATGGACGATCGACCGTGGAAAAGAAGAACAAAGGAAGACTTCGACCTATCCGGACACAGCTCACGCTGGCGGGGCCGAGTCGATCTCTGACTCTGAGCTCCTGCGCCTGGAAGGCATATCGTTGAAAGCGTCGCCATCTCGCGCTCCATCTGTCGTCGTTTCCCATCCTCCCACTCCTCTTCTTCAAGCTTCGTCCGCTACCAGCAGTAACAGCAACCTCCACCTTGCCGGCAACAGCAATCAGACCAATACTAGCAGCAACAGTCACACCAACGGTGGTCGTAAGCCGAGCAACTTCTTCAAGGTTGTCGCATCGAAACTGCAGCAGAAAGCTGCCTCTGTCCGCCATAAACAACCAACCATGTCTACCGTCGCCATCGACAGCAGGGGTACCCTCTCCCCCAACGCCTCACCCCGCAAGTTCAAGCTCCGCCCCGAGCATCTCCAGAACCTCGGCGGTCCTCACCCCGCAAGACTTCCCCTGTCCCCTCCCAACAGTGCCACTATTCCCCAGGACCTGCCTTCCGCATCATCAGCCGGCGGCAACCCCCTGTCCTTTGGCTGTGGCTTCATCGAAGACCCCTTCTTCGATGCTGGCGTGGCCGTCAACCACGTCCCCGTATTCCGCCGCAGCGATCCTACCACGCCACTGGACACTCCCGTTCTGGATGACAAGGGCGGCATGTTCTATCACCACCAGCAGATGAACTCCGGTAACGTCGCCAACACCAGCAAGGCTTCCTGGCCAATGGCCACAACAACTCCCCAGACCGACTCTCATGTCGCTTGGTCCAATGCCTATGCCACCACGGATGGCATCGACGACCAGTGGTGGGGTGGAAACAACATGGACTTGACATCCAACTCACAATATCAAGCACAGAACGCTCGCAATGCCACCTTCAACCTCGCCATGCACACTCAACACAGTGAACTGCCATACGAATACAACAACATCGCCGCCGCCGGAAACGAAATGTCAGGACTTATGATTCACATGCCTCAACCCCGTACCACATCGTCACCCATCGTCCACTACCAACCCCAACAGCCACTTCACCACCAGCAACACCCTCAACAGATGACGGAACGCCGGCCCCGCATGCCCCGTGCCCCCTCGGCGGGCGCCCGGCACATGTGCCTTTCAACGCCGATGCGCAAGACCCGCAACCCGAGCCGCACACGTCAAGCCAGCCGCGACTCCTCAACGTCGCCCACGCCTACGAACCGCTCCCGTCACAGCAGCGGCGGCTCGTTGTCCAGTATTGGTGCTGGTGGTGCCGCCCTCAGCGCCAGCGTCAAGAAGCGCCGGTCCTGGTCTCGTCGCGAAAGCATGCGCACTCCTTCCATCGGCAACTTGGGCGGTGCATCTGAGGGTGTCGGCTTCGTCAACTTTACGCCCAGCGATAAGAACGTCCTCATGACCGGTGTGGCGCCCAGTGGAAGTTCGAAGACCAAGGCCCGTCGGGAGAAGGAGGCGATGGAAAAGCGACGGAGACTGAGCGAAGCAGCTATCAAGGCCGTCAAGGCCGCAGGCGGCGATGTGGACAAACTGGTCGAGGAAGGGTTCGTCTTCTAAGCAAAGCATTCTTCTTCTTTCCGATGTACAGCAGGTATACGCTTGGGCAGCGCTTGGGAGTTATTTCGGGTCAGGGCATGCTTAGGCTCTAAGGGATATCAGGCGTTTTCACGGGATCATCAATGTAGGCGATTGATCCTCGAGTTTTCCTTCTCTGTATGGGTTTTGCTCCTTTCTCGCCTCCTTCTTTTTTTTTTTCTTCTTCTCATTTACACAACGGCATGGGGAGCGCGAGCTCCGACTGACGCCTTACCGGCTTATCCACGATAGCCGCTTTACTTTCTTACCATCACCAACAAGTACTTACTAGTTAATCTCGTTTTCCTTATGTTGGATCAACCCAAAATCACAGGCTGGAACCCAGGGTATGAGATATGGAGGGACAGGTTATCTAAGCAAAACAGATGAAATACCAAAATAACACTCTTCAAACAAATTATCAGGTCCCCCCCTTTGAACGTGATATCCTGTTTCCGACTTTCCCATGGTTCAACTTTCCCATCAACAATCTCTACAACACCCATCCTAGACGAATCGTATCGCACGAGTCACTCAACAGTGAAAGAACAACAACAAACAACAACATTATCTAATCAGTCAGCAAATACCAGTCATTCATCTACACGGCGGTGCCTTGCGGTCGGTCAATGAGTGACGCCTCGCGCAGCCTCTCGCTAGATCCCAGTCCGCAGGGTCGGGGCAGCCTCTCGTGGTGAACTACGGTGCCGCTACATGAGGCCGTCTCTCGACCAGCCGTTAGCCGATCTACGCTGGGCAGAGCGCCGTCCAGGCCAGGCCGCCTAAGCAGGAGGGGGCGAGGTGGTGTCCCTCCGTCCATCTCTTCCGTCCCCTAGGGCCGAACCTCGTCACCTCTGTGCGATCCCGCATTATCCGTGCCATCCCATGACAGGCGGGCGCGGCGGGCGTTATGGAGAAAAAGCAGGTACCCCCTCCCCCCTCCTTCGGGAGCCAACACAGACCAACTTCCGACGACGATGATGGGGAGGAGGAGGGGCCCAGAAGTGCGCCTGACCAGAACATCGCGAAAGGCCCAGGCCCAGAGAGACTTGGACGGTGACTTCCTACAGACAACGAAGACTACCTGCCTTACCTAGGAAGGGGGAGGGCAATGACAACCCAATGTGAGTGGAGCAAGGGGGTGTGAGCTGGCCTGTGTTGGTTTCCCCGTTCGTTCCTTTAAAGGTCCAAATCGCCGCAAACAGATAGCTCTTTTGCCCTCTTTCTCGTCCTCTTATCCCATCAAGACTTGGCTCTCGCATCCACCTCAGCCAGACGCTCCCCGGATTCTCCGCTAAGCCTTACCTCGCACTCCTCGGTCTCCTCTATCATCCACACACACTCACCTTGGGAGACGCCTCCCTTGCTATCCTAGCAGAACGTCGGGATTTGAACTTGGGATCTCGGTGATATCCACCCCCTCTAACGGATGATCAAGAGGGAACGGCGTCTCCATGCCCCCTCACTTTCTCGCCCAAAAAAAAAAACAAGAGACAGCCACAAGCTGACATGACAGTCTGACGGTTTGCCTGCCCGCGCGCCTCTGAACCCGACTCGTGGAGACTAGTGCAAGATCCCCGTTGCAGAATCCCGCAGCTCATCATGCCATGCTACTGTCTACAGCTGTCTCTCTGCGGCGCCAAACCCGAAATCGAAAGGTGCCAGGAGCATGACGGCAGCAGGGCGCAGTCCCGCCGTATCAATGTCTTAGCGCAAAGTCCACCCGCTGGGCTTTGAGCCTCTCTATTCCGCTCCTCTCACAATCACGATCTCGCTTGCTCGATCACATAATCGCAGAAGTCGCTCGAATCGGGCAAGTCTTGTTCCGTCCAGATCCCCCACCGTCTACATCTCACACCCCCTCCGGAAACGTTGTTGCATCTTTGCATTCCACGGCCGTACGCCGCGGCCGCGCTGCGTCTCGACCCTGCGGACTCCCCTGGACCCCTTTCGCAACGTCCGTTGCCCGACTGAAAGCAGGTACTCGCTGCATCGCAAGCGAAACAAGATCTCTCATCTTCGTACGATATTATCGATAGTCAAACGTACTTGCATGGGTCTGGCCTTGCGTAGCCGCGACGCGGGACCACCAACGCATTTGCCCAGGCGCAGCCGCCCAGCAAGAGGCTCCATCTTCGACCGGAAGCAGCACCGGGACGAGCTCCGTTCCCTTGAGATCACTCCCAACCGCCACAACAAGCGCAAGATCTCGACTCCTTTGCCATCGCGAGACTTGTCTCACTCGCTTCATCCGAGAGATCGAGAACCTTGCCCGGGAGGCGCGCACCTCTACCCGCGAAGTTTAGAGTATCACGACACTGTCAAGTGAATGCGCCCCCGCCCAGACGACTGAGTAAGGGAGCGAGACTCTGGGCTGACAGAATTTGATATTCCATGTCAAAGAAGCCGCGCAACACTGAAGCCTCTGACCCTGCATGGCGAGCCATGTTCCGTTGACGATGTCTTGGATACTCGAATCACTTCAGGCAAAGACCTGCAAGTGAGTGACATCTTGTCGCCTCTTAGGCAATTTGCGCCCATGATATCGTCATTCATGTCCAAAGTGGCATTCTATGAGGTAAGGTAGGAACAGACGACCATCATTTCCCGCTTCAAGACCCTCTATTCTTTCGGCAAGCTTCAAGATCCGAAACGATCACCGTTGTTCGCGCTGTTCATGCCGATACTCTCGACTCTCCGCAGATGGTCAAACATGATCAGCATTCAACAATCATCATTCTTTCTCAACCGTCCATCGGCCATTGTAATCGTGTTCGAAGCAGATTTTCTACACACGGAAAGAGAAAAGGCGTCTTACCGACAGCCTTGATTTGGTCAAGCGGCATCTTTCTCTCGTTATTTGGCCAATGACAATTTCTCCGGAGACGTCTCTGTCGTTGTCTACCTGACTAGCTCATGGAATTCTCCGTAGCCAACTCTAAAAGCCGTGCAGGATCTATAGGAACCTTTCTGTCACGTCCAAATCCGGACGAAAGCAGACTTTCTCGGGTCGTCGTTTCTCGGTCAGTCCAGCTGTATGTCTTACCCCGGGCCCCATCCGACCGCTGCTCACTTACATCCTGCGACTAGGTTCTGGTCTTCTGGGCAGGCAAAGTCTGGGGCCAGCCGCCACCTCGATACCTCCTACTTTGGCCCATGGCAGCCTTGCTACGTTTGGCAGTTCTCCCGTGTCCGCCCTCAGCCCCCGCCGTCATGACAGCTGCCGCCTCACAGACCGACGACCTGACGACGAGGTTAGTCTGTAGGTTACTCCGTGCACTATCCCCCTTTTTCACTTTCAGCCCGACTGTGGCGGCGGCCGCCATCTCACACGAGCCACAGTCTATTCTTCTCTTCGCCTTTTGGGTTAATCGGTCAAGCCTCATGTTGCTTGAGCGAGCATGGCATCTCCAAGCGAATAGGCGCGGCGTAGCCGGAATCCAAGAAGACCGTTACCCTCCGACCAGATTGTCCGTGATATCCACGCATCTCGTACTGCGAGCTAGAGACCAAAGAGTCTTCGGGGCTCTGGGGCGTACAACGCGTCTGCTATCGCTAGCTCGCGCGTCTATCCGCCTTGTCCTGACATTGCAATCAACCAATAACGACGACGAGAAGTCCGAGGGCCACCACGTCGCGCCTGGTGAACAGACACCAGACCTCATGGACGTTGGTGAACAACCCAGCAGACTGGTGATCGTACTAATCAAGCGGCCGCCAGAGGAAAAGACCTTCCAAATACCTTGAGCCACAGGAAAGCCGGCCAGATACCCCGAAGCCCTCATGTTGACGCCTTCAGAAGAATCCCCACGATATCTCCAGCCACTTTACAGCGCATGCAGAAGGGACCAACTCTAGATCGAGTCGAAGACCTTCCCAGGCGATCATCATCCTCATCCTCCTCCTACCTTTGATGGTGCGACTTATGTGACTTGTAAGACGACGACCGAATCTTGGCCTGACGACGCTTCGAGACCGTGGCATCAAGCAGCAGATTGCGCAGCCGACCAACCTTGCCGTCACTCTTGGAACTACCGAGACGCGCCACACGTTGCCAGGCACAACTGTCACTCCAACTACAGTCCAGCGGAAGCGAAAAGCCCATCCCCAGAAAACGCCAACGCAGGTGTACCGCACCTGCATGTGCCGCTCTCCGGCTCCTGGCCCACCTGCCTTAGCCCTGCATGTGAAGCCTCACGACGACCTCCACAGGTCGAGGCCGTGGTAAACCACGGCGCCACAAGCCTGAACTTGGTCAGCCGGGCCTGTTGTTTCCGAGAGGGTGCGGAGCTCGAGCAGGCGCAACATGTCACGATGTTTCTTCCCACAGTCGGCCGCTCTACCCTCCTACGCCCTCGTCTCCAGTAAACAAGCTTGGAGGCTTTCGACTCCCAAGCGCCCTTTGACGGGCAATCAGGAGCTCCGTCCACCGTCCTAGACCTACCTGGAGATGGCTTCCTCCCATCCGCGCACCCCTCCCAGGGAAAACCACTCCCCTCCTCGCTTGCCGTTTCCACATTGGAGATAGCTCGACTGAATCCCGTCCGCCATTCTTGTCCTCGGTCGCGGCTCTCGATAGCCAACAGGCGTGATACGGGGCCAAGAGGACTGTTTCTTTCTCAACGTCGCGATGCCAAGATGCGTTGAAGGGGTCGGTTAGTCGGCTCATCTTGGTCTTGCACCACCAACCCTACCGACGGCCAAACCTGGACTTTGTCACCTCAAAATCCTTCCGATGTTACACAAACTTTGCGAAAACCGGTCTTCCGCTCCATTTCAACGTCCCGTCCATCATCCGTTGGATCGCGCGTTTGTATTCCCATGATCCCTTTCTCATCTCCCCTCTTCCAGCTCGTCAAGGGACCCGCTGGACGGGCTGACCGATCGACGACATCTGCCTTGTCCATCACAAATCGATGACCGTTATACAGACAAAGAAAAGGCAGTCGTCTCTTGGTCTCCGGATCCGTGTTAGCCTGGACGGAGGGCCCTGTCTTGCCTGTCTCACTGCACTCATAGAGTAACAATGGATGATAGGCAACATCCGTTACTTTGCTCCACCTTTTGCTGTGCCTTTTCCTCTTCTTGGGTCCTCCATCCTCTCATCCCCTCCACAACATCCCCCATCGTAATTCTCATGCTTGCTGCTTTCCTCCATGTCGGCCTCTTTTTTCTCCACCACACCTAATCCACACCACCTTCACCGAGCCCACTCTCACCTCCCTCGCCTTCCCATGCTTTCCCCCTCCGAGCCCGGGGGATGGGTGACTGGATCTCCTTCTCCTCCGGCCTCCCGCGGTACGGACGTATCGTCCAGGTCCCGTCAGTCCATCCATCCATCCATCCTGCTCCGTCTACAAGGGGATCGATCCAGAACGGCCGTCGGCCAAAGTTTATTTGCCGCGGGAAACAATTTCCCCTTCTCAGTCGACATCAAATCAAGACAAGCCCGGGTCGTCTTCCGCACCTGACGCTCTCCCGATGTCCCCTCCTTTGACGGGCGGGCTAGACAAGACAGGTGACCGTCAACTAACGTCCGAAACTTTTCGTTCTCTCAACTGTCCATCTCGCGGATGATCGGCCGGTCGGACTACCACCGCAACGGCCGAGTCTTTCCCCTTTGCCCAACTTTAATCAGGGACCGAAGAAGAGACCGTGATAGCCGGAGTTCTATCCGTCTCTTGATCTACCGTGACACAACAGCCGAGGGGAGGACAAGACCCTCAACAAAGATGTCGACACTTCGGCTTCCTCGCCGTCGGCCAATCGTGGTTCTTGCCCTCCCACCCCTACACATCATGGTCTGCTCAATCGTCAGTGACTTGTAAGTAAGGTTTTTCATCGCAAAGAATTCGCCTCCAATCGGCCGAGAGACTTGTGTAACAAAGGGATTCATTAGCTATTTTGTGAGGGTTTTTTGTCTGTTTTCCTTATCATGGGGTTCATCGTATCCCTTGGAGTATCAAAAGCTTCCAAGCCGAGTGTGACCTTGGCACGGATGGATTGCTTTTCTCCTTGCCCTAGAGCTGGCCCTTTTCCTGAACCCTTATCCCAGTTCCTAGCCGGCCCAGTCCCACTGCTGCTGTCCTCGCTGGCGAGGTATCCTTTCCCCGCCAGCAGCAACTTATGTACAAAGTCAAGAAAACCCAGTACGGCGCAGCAATCCTCCTGATTAGCGTGCCCGACGACCCCGTAAAGACAAATATCAACGCCGTGATCTCGGGACGCCGTCCTCAATGCCAGACACAAAGAGTTGTGTGGAACACAGAGATGAAAGAAGGAAAGAAAAGGAAGGTACCATTCCGTCTATACTGTGATGCATCGCGTCATAACTCAAGGTGAGGGCTCAAGTCTCCTCCCCACGCCTGTCTCGCACATCATTACTGAGTTGGTTGGGTATTGGGTGTCTGTCAAAATCCCTCGTGTATCCGAGAAAATGTGCCCAAAATGATTGGGCTGACCAGAATGCCAACACACACACTAAAAGACCGGCCAGATTGCCTGGCACTTTGTCCCCCCAAGACTGTGGTATCTCCCATCAAAACGGGCAAACATCATGAGAAGTCATATCTAGTGCTCATATCCGGCACCACGCTGCCAAGGGCTGTGTAGTTGTTAGCTGCTGTAACACCAAGAGGCTAGTGTTTCTTTGGTTTCTTACCTAGCGTTGTTCTGGTTGCGGTGCTGCGCAGGGCTGGCATTGTTCTGATTACGGTACTGGTTGTGATTATTGGCACCAAGTGTTGATGCAGAGCCGTTGTAGGGGCTTGGTGTCCGAGTCGGCCCTTGTCCATAGGGGTTGCGGTTGTCTGCCGGGAAGAGAGGCACTGAAGGGTCCACTGGTGAGTGCGGTCCCTGGCCATGCTGTTGACCTCCAGGGCGCTGCATAGAGTGTTGAGAAGGCGCAGCTGACTGGGCAGTCGACGGCGGCAGGGCAACGCCAGAGGGATCCGCCCGGCGACGCATGGACTCAGATGAGATGGAGTCATTGTCGTCATCGAGGTCGAGTCCCTTGTTGTAGTGGGCCTTGTCACCTCGGGCAGTCGCAGCCAGGGCATCCAACTCGGTGGTGGTGTTGAGCTGGGTCTGGGACTTCATGAAGGATGCTCGGTCATCGGCCATGAACTGGTAGCGCGCATCAGGGTTCTTGCGGAAGTAGATCAACGTGCTGCTGACAATAACAAGCAGCAGGAGGATCAGAGCGAAGGCCGCGTTGGCGATGAACAGAACCACACCGACGATGCCGTTTACCAGAGCCGGGGCACCGAAAACGTCCGAGAAGATGAGCAGGAAAACGGCGTTGAGGAAGTTCATGACGCAAATGGCAATGTTGAACGAGTTGGTGCTCTTATCCATCCAAGGGCGCAAAACACTGGCAGCGATGAGCGCAGCAGCCTCAATAATGACAAAGGCAATGGCCTGAATGGTTCCGTTACGTTGGGCGAAGGCGACGAACATTCCCTTGACAACAGTGTAGCCGAGCGTAGGGACGATGAAGTAGTATGCCGAAGCGCGGAACTGAACGTAGAGGAAACCCCACTTGTTGAGAGCCTGCGGGTCCGAGAAGAGGATGTAGGCCGGGTTGCGATGCATGGCCACGGAGCGACGCGCGATTCTGATAACCTTGAAGGAAGCCCATCCAAGGGTGAGAGCCATACCGCAGAAGAAGAACACGGCGAGAACAACCTCGGCCGCGGAGTCAGCCTGGGTGAACTCCCAAAGGCAAAGAATCGTCATTTGGGGGAAGCCGATCAACGTCATACGGAACAGAATTCCCTTTAGGACAGTGAACCAGCCGTTGCGGAACTCGAGGAACTTCTCGCTCTTCATCCACTTCTGTCGGACAGCCAGCTCGCAGAATCCCTTGAAGGCGGCGACGCCAAGAACGGTGAAGATGACGAAGACGCAGAAGAAGGACAGACCAGTCATGAAGAGGTTGGTCGACTCAATCTTGGCTCTGAAGGCAACTCGCTGGATTCCGAAGACGATGTAGCTGCCAGAGGAAAGCTGAATGTTGGCTCTCTTGGCGATGATGGAGGGAACGGAAGAGATGCCACGCTTGGCCATTCTGGCAGCAGAGAGGGCCCAATCCATGGAACGCTTCTCGACTTGGACGGAAGTGGTCGTCAGCGAGTTGAGAAGAGTTGAGGGAGTTCCACCAGTTGCCCGCTGGTACCATGTGAATATATCCTGCATGAACTGGACGCGGATGATACCCATAGACCAAACGAAGTCCTGAGTCCATGACTGGACAATAGGAGGCAGGTGAACACCAGTGAGACCAACGATAGCCTGAGACTGGAAGTAGCCGAAAAGCGATAGCGTGTTGGCAGCAACGTGGGCAGCGGTGTTGGTGTGGCCGAGACCAGAAATAACGGCGGAAGAGATGAGTCCCAAGCCGGCGATGATGGCGGTAGCCCACTTGACACCAATCAAGTCAACCGTCTTTCCGTTGGAAATATCAGCCTCAACGCAAGCCACACTGGTGGAGGTATCGGTCAAGTTGACGAAGACACGGACAGTAGCGTCGAGATCGGGAATGTTGTAGGCAATGCCGGGAATCTGGCCAACGGCATCCTCGCCGACAGGCAGGTTGAAGTTCATGGTGATCTTTCCGGCAGTCATGGGGCACAGACCAGCGAGGTTGATGCTGCAGGGGTCAACAGTGCGCCTCAAGAACTCGTAACCGTAAGCCGAAATGGAGACATCAAAGACAATACTGCCCTGAACAGAGGAGACGGCGACAATGTTGATTGCGGCGCTTCCATTACCGGGGGTGAAGACGACGTTGAACAGACTGGCTGTGAAGCTGGAATCATCCTGGCAGGTGTTGAGGGAGTTTGACTGGAGCAACTGCTCAGCAGCGAGGACTGGCGTCGTGAGGTAGGTGGCCAGGGTGCCGAGCAGAAGCAACGGCTTAGCGAATGACAACCTCATCGTGGGTGGTAAGGTCGTCGGGATCGTCTGGGTTAGAGTAAGATGTGATCCGCTCGACTGTGGTCCAAAGTCGTCGTTGACAGACGATGGGGCGCGGAAAGTGCGGGGAGTTCGAAGCCGTCTAGGTCGAGAATATCATGGGGGTTGACGTCGTTCCAGACGGTATTGGCGACAGAAGACGATTCGGTAGGAGCGAAGGGATTGATTGATGTGGTCGTCGATGGAGCTCGTGGCTTCTGTAGTTATTTCGCAAAGGTTGGCTTTTTTTTCCGTGGCAGGGGGGAAAAGGTGCTAGCGAAGGTTATCTGCCGACGAATTGAGGGTTTGGCGCGGTGGTTGTTCCTGTCAATCCTCCTATTCCGGCGAAGAAGACGAAGCGAGCGATGGAGGAGTGCGTCCCTCTCGAAGGCGGCGACAGAAGAAGCGAAAGGAATGCTCGTATCGTCGTCGTCGTCGTCGTCGTCGAATCAATCGGTAGTCGCGAGGGTAGGTGTCGACCAGAGGGAAGGGTCGGTTTGAAGATGGGTGGGTTTGGTGGTTTTGTTGTTTGTTGCTAAAAGGAAATTGGGAAAGGAAGGGAGAGGGAAGGGAAGCAGATCGCCAAGCAGAGGGCTGGACGGGGAAGGAAGGAGTGATGAAAGGAGGCGCCGGGTGGTGGTTGCTGGATGGCGCTGCAGGTTGCGGTGGTGGTGGCAGGTGCTGCCTTGCTGGCTTGCTGGCTATAACCAGGAACCTTGGTTTCCTTCCTTCAAAACCAAGACGGGTGGAAGGTCGGATTCAGGGAAAACCGGGCAACAAGGGCCAGAATACGGGGATGGAAGGATGGTGGGTAGGCAAAGGGAGAGCGACGGCTGCGACAGGCGGACAGCAGGAATCCTGTGGATTGACTTGTGTCTGGTGTGTGGATGCGCCACTTTGTGGGTAGTAAAGGGGACAGGGGTAGGGGGGTCCTTGCGGCTGTATGGGGTCGCGAATGGGTGTAGTCGGCCCAGGCTGTCGTAATTTCAATCTTGGAGCCGGGTGGTGCGTCGTCGAGGTGCGAGTGTGGATGTACCTTGGAGACACTGGATTTGGGCATCCCCCCTGTTTAAGTGGTGGGAGGGAAGAACGAGGGAACTTGGAAGGACTCGTGGGACTCAAGGAGACACGACCTCTGTACTGCGTATTGCCTCAGGGGGGGGGGGGGGGGGGGGGAATTGAAGGAGTAAAGAAGCGAACACGCGCGCCCAATGGGATGAAGAAGAAGTACTGCTTGGTGAGTACGGCTTGGCGAGGCTGGAAGCAGTACAACCGGGGGACAGCAACTATACTTTTGCTTACACCAGATCCCAACACCATTCCCAAGTATTGTGCCTGTACCCTCTCATCCAAAACTGGATTCAGCTCGTATTGATCTAACAGAGCTACATGTCTCTGGCGCGTAAAGCCGTCAGGAACGGTCCAGACCAACACGCAGCCAGCGGGACACATGTATTCCTACCGATACTTCGCAGTTCGTACTTGTATACACAAAGTCAACTGAAATGTTGATCCATCACTGTTGGAATCAGCCAAGCAACACCGCTCCTCATCACACCATACCACACCACAGGCTTGTTGTTGCCGCAGTGCCCATGTATTTTTGTCACGTACGAGCCAGGGCGAATTCCACACATGCCATGCCCGGGAAACAACACAATAATTCACGCAAACCAACCGATTCAAGTATCAACTCTAAGGTCTGAGAATGGTAGATCAACATCATCTCTCGGCCATGATTGACGAAACAACACGTGTGGGCCAGAATCAACTTTTTCAACCCGTTACCCCGCTGCTACGCCAATCCATATTCTCTATAACCTGCCGCTACACCAACAGCATCAGCACCGACAACACAGACACGATCGTCGTTGGCATTGTCATCTGCATCCTCGTCCAACTTGGCGGACTCCCGCAATCATAGCGTCATGCAAACCTACAACCTTCTGCCATCCGAATATTCCACTTGCAGCTTCTGCATGGCTAAGCCTCAAGCCTCAAGTCTACCAAGGTCATTCACCCAAATCCCCGTCCCATCTTTCCTCCCGTATTCCATATGCGTCTTCGACTCTAATTCTCTGTATCCGTACCCAGGGTACGGATACAGGTTCTTCAGCTTCTCGATCCAGCCCCCAGACGCTGCCTGCAGCTGCAGACACGAATGCTGACTACTAAATAAACTCCCGTCGGCTTACATCGCCCCCGCCGCGCTACACCGTGTACGAACATACGCACAGTCATCATCGCAACCCGTTCAAGTCCAGGTCATCGTCATCAGCCTCCAGCCTCTCCTTTCTCGTAATGACTGCCGTCAACGGACTAGCCTACACTGGAAACCTCAGATCACGCACTCCCGGGCCTCCGAAAATTCCCAAGACTCTCCAAGACGCTTTCCAATGCTTCCAAGACCCAAGCCTCCAAGACAAGAAACCCAAACGGGCCCAAGTAGCTGCCGCTGGCATGTTCCCTCGCCCGCTCTTATCTCAAGCACCTCCGCGACACGGGGTGTTTGGGTGCCGCCTAGCCTCAGACACCAGACAAGACCTCGAGAAACAGTAACACGGCACCACGGCCAGAGGAAGAAGCGGCACGCACTAGACGGTAGACCAAGCCAAAGAAAATGGCTAACCCACAGCTCATTTCAATTACTCTCTTTTTTCTCGTCGACTTCAGTCTCTGCAGTATGCACTGCCACGATTAACTCTCTCCAAGAGGCACGCGTACGTACGCATTACTCCAGCAGACCATGCCACACCGGGGTATCTTGCCTGCTCACACCTGAAATGCCGGCTGCCGGGAGAGCGAGTGCGACCGAACGCTTCAGTGGTGACCGGTCACTGGTGTTTACCCAGCCCGATGCCCACTGAACAGGCTCGACGTCACAAATGCATGCCCCCGGCTTGCGTGGTTTCGTCCCAACGGGATAGAACCTGGCCGGGGTCGTTTCTGAGGAAAAGGGAACCACGAGCCTGAGACGTCTAAAAATGGCCCGGCCGCCCCAAGGCGGTTGGGTGCCGTTGCGAGGCTGAAGCACCCATTGATTAGCCCGCGGGCTCTTGGAAAGTGTCTAGACGAAAATTGACGAGAGAACACGAGAGAAAGGCTTCGCAGAACGCTGACTTGAGGCTGCCGTCTGCCGGCCTCCACCCTGTAACATGTTCTGCAGCACCATGACTTCCCTCACACTGACAGCTCACCGCGGCACACCGAGCCGAGCGACCTAGACCACTGCCCCGGCCCACGATGGAGTCGGATGGGCGATGGACCAACAAGATTTCCGAGGCTAACGCTGATGATCGACGAGCGTCCAATGTTTTGGGCTGATGAACCGCTGGCCCGTTGTTACAGACTTTCGAGTGAGAGAATATCCCAACTTTGCTCAGTGACAATTCCAGTTGCAGGTCTGGGCACCGAGAGGCTGTGTTCACCTCACCTTGCCTTTTACCTTCTGTTGCTTATGCAGGGCTGGCTTCCCGAGGACAAGAAGTCAATTGCGACGCCGCCTGAACCTTGTTCTCACCCGCCTGGCTCCCTCTCTCGCACAGTCCTCGACTCCTCTCTCTCTTTCTCAGAGTTTGCCAGTCTTCTTCCTTGTTGGTCACTCCCGAGACGCGGATCCTCCGTGCATCGCCACGATTGAGATTTCTCGCCTCGAGCATGTTCCGGCTCGCTCTAGACGAGCGCACATCAAACAGCACTCAGAAACAATTCCATCTCCCTTTGCTGCTCCCTTCTCCGCAAAGCCCACATTTTCAAATCTCGTCAAAGTGGTCCTGCGTGCCAGCCGTGCCAGTATTGCAGCAACCCGCCAGCAACGCGTGCTTCGAGGGCCCGGTGTTAAGCTGAAAATCGCAATCCCCTCTCAGTTTGGCGACGACTCATCTCCAATCGTTTAGCCAAAATAAACATTGCTGGTGGGAACTGGGAACCCGACACAAATCCACACCCACTGTTCGCGGCATCGGCAGCAATGGGTGACGAAGTTTCCCATAATCGCTCATCAATGATCAATTTCCAAAGCTGGAGCCCGCATGCCATCTGCAGCCTCTCCTTGCGTCGTTCAACATCGACTGCCATGTGTCTCGGAATTTTCGACTTGCGCTCTAGTCTCGTCTCCCTTGAGGTATTTTCAATAATGTCTTGTTCCTTGCAGCACATTTTTTCTTCTATTCTTTCCTCTCTCCCGATTTCAAGGCGGCAAATTCTGTCAGTCGCAAGAGACGGAAAGAGTTTAAAAAAAAACAAAAACAAAAAAAACCATAAAAAAATAAACCATAATTCCTCCAATATTCCCACCTTGCAATTATATCCTCATTTATCGACAACCTTAATCTATGTCATGCTGCACAAGGTACAGGGACTGAATGAAGTACACGGTATAGCACACAATTAGCACCCGCCCCGAAAACGAAAAGGCGCTCCTCTTCTTGTCAAGCCGGTTCTGTCAGTCCGCAGATAAATGACCCGACGCCTTAAAATAAATCGGCAAAGCCTTACCATATTTATTCCGGGGTTCGTCCGTTTCCATAAAGGGAACCCATAATGCTCGTGTATCCATCACATACATCTTATACAGATGACTGAATTTCTGACAAGTGAAAAGAGGCGCAAAATCTTGCGCAGTATGTCTGCGGTGCGAGGAGCGCAAGTCATTTTTAGCATGAGCCGTCAGTCTACGGAGTACTGAAGACAGGGAACGGACGTTGTGTGCATGATTTCCCTGCAGTGTGATGTCAACGTCGGACCGCGAACACCATTCTCAGAAGGATGGATTGTACAAGCAGCAGGCAGAAATCCTCGGAACGTCGCTGAGGATGCGGATCTTCGTAGCAAACAGTAAGTAAATCGACTGGTCAATCGAATCAAACGGGGCCAGAGGGGCATTGTTGGTTCAGTTTGATCCAGTTTGATCCAGTGTCTGCTTTTCTTCTACATCGAATATACCTACCAGCTCCCGTTGACCTCGCGACAAAACAAAGACTGGTTGATCAATCACCATCTGGCAATGGCGGCGAGCCACTCCCGCTCACTAACACAGGGATCGACAGGGCAACCGGCGGACCTGGCTGTTTCCCCCCCCAGACCAGATCACAATTGTGGCGTACATGATGTTCATGATGTCTTTCTGGTTGTGGTCGATAACGTTCACTCTGTATGGCGCGCTCATTTCACCGATGGATTCTTCTACGTATGCCAAAGCTAAAGCCCATTCATCGCATTCCGTCATTAATCAAATGGATTCTGTATTGGTACGCATGCGGTACGCTCAATCGCTGGACTATAAAGCCCGAAAAAAAACTCCTCAAAACACCCTCCATGAACCCAAAACCCGCATGCATCCAGGTATTCGTCAAATGCGTCTAAATCCCATCCGTATCTCACATTACATGTAACCCATAAAACTCCCCTCCTTTTTCACATTCCTTCCGAGTGAAATAGGTAGTGTCTCCGTGTTCACCTATGTAATCCCATCTCCAGGCAGCAGCGTAAACGGAACTTTGCCATGGGCCATCCAACTTTCCCTCTAATCATCCTTCTCTCGCAATTTGCGTGTTTTGTGGTAAACATCTCTCAATCATACTGATCCCACTGCTGGTTCCACGGCTTATTCGTCCCCTGGAAATCCATACCGTGCTTATAATAACCAAGCAGCTCCTCCTCGTCGACGCCGCAGTGCGTCTGCCCGTCGCGGCCCTCGAACCAGCCCAGGCCGTACGTCTTGCCGAGCCCCTCGAGGTACCGCGCCATCTCGGCGTTGCTCATCCGCGCCGTGTTGACAAAGTCGTAAATCATCTTGCTCTGGTGGATAAAGGCGAGGTGCGACGAAATGGTGTTGGGCTGCCGCGGCAAAAATGGGTGTCGCCGCCGCAGGAACACGATTGTCGCGACGGTGCCCATGTACACGAGGATAAAGGTCGCGAGGCCGTACGAGATCCAAAAGGACGAGACTGTTTCCTGCCCGGCGTTGATGCCGCCGAGGTCCGGGTCGTCGTCGCCGCCGTGGCCGGGTCTGTCTCGGTCCCCGTCTGGCGGCGCGTAGGCGGCATCGAGGAACTCTGTGCCCACGACCGTTGCCAGGCCGGTCAGCAGGATTGTCAGGACCTCGGCCATCATGCTGCCGAATCCGACCAGGAACATGAGCGTGTGGGCGTTGAGGAAGGCGTGGAAGGGCATCAGGGCGAACGGCATCGCCGTGTAGTCGAGCGTGAGCGCCTTGGACGAGGAGTGCCTCTTTGACAGGATGTAATACGGCTCCATCATGCGCATGTCGGTCTCCAGACCGCCCCAGCCCAGCTTGATGCAGACGGCCAAGGCGGTCACGACCCACGGCGCCTTTGACGTGATGATACTGGCGCTGGAGAAGAGAAACACCGGGATGAAGCCGGTGAAGAGGGCGATACCGATGACGAACGGGAGGAAGCCGCCGAGGCGCAAGGACCGTGGGTGGGGGTTCTGCGACAGGTGGTCGTCGCCGTACTTGTCCGTATCCTGCGACGACACGGGATTCTCGTCGTCGGGCGCCAGCGACGCGTTGCGGAGGACGTAGCGGCGGTGCTTCAGCTTGTCGTGGATGTCGCGGTGGCTTACGACGTCCAGGTCCGCAAAGTCCACGAGGATGTGGCTGACGACGGCCATGGACGCGAGACCTGCAATGCCCTTGACATCGGCCAGCAGGCCGGACCTTCTCCTTTGGAGGATGTAAAAGAGGATACAGCCGCAGAGTGCGCAGACGCAGAGAGTGGAGGACAGCAACCTCGACCATGTGGCGTTAAGTTTGATTTCTTTATCGCCATTGGGGTGCGCAAGTCGTGTAGCCCTATCGGGATACAAAAAGAAGGACGCAGCGCCAAAGGTTGGCACCAGAGACACGGCCAGGGAGGTCGCAATAGAAGACACGGCGACGGCAAAGTGCCGCAGCCTGATCGCTCGGATAGGTCGCAGCCAGCTTAGGCTGGTAACATAGTCAACGTTGATGGACTCGGCTGCAAGGGCGCCTCCTTCTTTCGAGAGCTGATAGTACGCTTCGAGACGCTTCACTTCAAAGTCAGTGACCTGCCACAGCACGCCGTACGTAACGGAAAGGAGCGTCGGCAAGAACTTGACGGCGAAGTACTCGAGCCCTGGAACATCGGCAGGGCTTTGGAACTTGACCAAGGGATGAGTTTGCGATCTCTGGTACAGAAACTCAACCATGACGGCGAGGGCAACCGACAAAACGATCAAGGCGGTGAGGTACGGCCATCTCATCGAAAAGGGCTTCCAGTTGGGCTGCGGGTAAAAGACTTGTGTCCTCTGGCTTCTGTTGACGGGAAACGTGGCATGCCGTATACTTGCATCGTCGCCCATGATGCTTGGTCCCGCAACGACGCTGAGATCAACCTGGTCTACCTGGCGCCGAGCGGCCTCCTCCGGGGTATCCTCGATGATGACCTCAATAACCTTCCCCCTCTTGTTGGCCTCATCCTGGCCGCGGTCCTTGATGGTGGCTGCTCGGCCCAGCTTCTGGCGACGAGAAAAGGACCGCGTGAGGGAGGACCTCTTGGGCAACGGGGACGACGAAAGTAGGTCCTCGCCCTTGATCGTGGTGTCTGGTCTGAACCCGGCCCCGAGACCACCGGTGAGATGACCGCTCGCCTCCTGCTCCTGCAATCTTTTGAGGAACGCATCGTCTTGATAGCCCATCGGGCCAAGCGCAGCAGTTACATCGAAAATGGGTTCGTTATCCGGCACCGACTCGTACTGCGACGACTGGCCTATGGGTGCGGCGGAGCGCAGGAGGGAGAGGTCATGCTCTTCCTCGGGGATTGTCTCGTGACCGCGCCGCGAGGTCGCGCGACCAACATTCCGGCTCAAGTGCGAAGGCGTTCTTGGGATGTTAGGGCCGGAAGACGGAGGCAGAGACGCATATCCAGCAGCACCAGTGTACGAAAAGGATGCGGTCCAGGTGGAAGTCGTCGAGGGTCGCCGATGAAGTTGGTCTGAGTCGTGCGGTGACGGCGAAGTGTGATTAGAGTAGGACTGGAGCGAGACCAGGGAATCCCTCCCACGAATTGTTGCCGAGTGGCCGTTGTAAGAAGGGCTGTCAAAGTCGCTGACGTCGGACAAGTTGGAACTCTGGTGCGCCAGTCGTGGTCTCTGTTCGGGCGCGTCTGGAGGTTGGTAAGAAGCACCAAAGCCTCTATTGTGCGTCATTGTTTACGGCGTACTCATATCGGGACGGTATCGTCTTTCGCTATCGGAGGTAATTTCTGCTGCCCTTGTCAAGGTGGGCTTCCTCCGTGACTCGCGAGTTGGCGAGGATTGGTGTAAGTGCGCAAGGTAAGGTTAGGTAGCCGGAAGTACGGGCGAGCGAGTGATCGATAGGAAGACAGGTAACGAGTGTAAAAAGCCAGAAAGATGAGAGAAAGCTGAGGAAACCCAAATCAATCACGCAAAGACAGGCGTCTCAGTCTTTTTGTTGCCCAGCCAGAAATAAGGGGCGGGGAGAAGGGAATTGAGATGCTGGGGCACAGCTGAGAGGAGAGGAGAGGAGTTGTAGGGCTGCCGGGGGCGCGCTCTTTCGTGGGGGAAGGTGCGATTGGACGAGGCGCAAGGAACAAAATGGAAATGAACGTCTGGTCTGCAAGTCCGCAGACCGCAGTCCGCAGAGGAGGAGTTCACTTTCAGCATGGGGTCCACGCTAAACCTGTCACCGGGCGAACTAAGGTGGTAAGTAGTGTGAACCTAACGGTAAGTCAAGTCAGGGACTGTACGACGGGCAATGTCTCTCCAGGGGGAAAGATTGGCGTGGTAAGGCTGAGTTGAGGACTGGATAGATGGGAGGCGCCCAGGTGAGTAGGGAATGACGGGTCAGACAACCAGAACACACAAAGCATCTTGATAGGAATCTCGTTTCCAACTGGAATCCCAGGAAATGCGAAATGCAGGAGGGGTTACCTCCGAGCGAACGGCCTGCCGGTCCAAGGGTTGCAGCGGCCATGTTCCCACAACTTCGGATGGCATGCCTCTGGTTGTGCCTGTGCTCCGTCCCTCGTCCAGATTAAGCGTCGCACTGACTGTGGGGGATAGAACTTCCCTCCCAATCCCATGGCGCGGAACTCTGAACACATGGGAGCGCAGCTTACAAACTCCTGTAGGCTGTGTGACTGTGTACGGAGTAGGGTAGGCATCTTGCTGTGTGTACAAAGTACGAAGCTGGGGAGCCAACATTTGCTTCCATCAACCTGCAGGCCCTGCAGAACAAATCGATAGTCATGAACGCCCCTCTCACCCAGCACACCCAGCACCCCGAGCCGCCGGACCTGATCTGACTCTCTCTCTCTCTCTCTCTCTCTCTCTCTCTCTCTCTCTCTCTCTCGCTGCGGCTAGTATTATTAGTATGCATGCCTGGGGCTATATTCAGCCCCCAGCGATGGATCGCTTCGCGGAGGCGTCGCTTAAACACCTGAGCAGCGCGGAGTGTTGCCGGGCCATCATCAATTACGAGCTCTTTTGTGAAATCTAAGTCCTCTGAGGTTGGGTCGATCTTCCGCTGTTTGCCAGTCGCCCTTTCACCTCAACTCATTGTCAAACTGCGAAAGTGTGTCTCACGGCCCGGTGCAATTGCCAGGTCCACCAGACATACATGACCGGGAGTCGGACAGGGAAATCATCCCGACGCAGGTGCCCGTGGGAACACGGCGTTGCGGTCAAGAGCCATTCGTTCGTTCCTGTCAGTTCCTCCTCATCCTGGCCCAAGCCTTGCCGGCCGAGCCTCATCCAAGAATTGGGCTTCTGACATGGCTGCCGCATGGTTAATATGTGATGCAGAATACGAACTTGAGGTTCCTCCACTATGTATCGAGCCATCATTTTCGCTTCAGCCTCTTCCTCTTCCTCTCGTCCCATCCGGGGGATTCGGAGCGGTGGTGGGCCTTTCGGCAAAGCTCGGCCCTGCATAACCCGCGACTCCTCTGACGTTTTCAATTACAACTGGTCGGTTAGCTCAGTTGGTTAGAGCGTGGTACTAATATTTCACCTGAAATGTTGTGTAATGCCAAGGCCGGGAGTTCAAGCCTCCCACTGATCAATTTTTTTGCTTTTTGAGCATTTGTCGCTTCCTTTTTTTTCTCTCTTTCGTCAATTCCTTCTTTTCTCTGTTCCCTCGTTTTCGTCGGTTTTGGCCGTCAGTTTATTGCCGTGGCGCGTCAGCCCGGCATATCGGCAGACAGACGGCCACGGCGTTGTTTACTTCTAAAGAGACAATGCATCCCACATCGATTCAATGCAATCCCACTGTCTTTGCTTGGGTGTGCTATAATCACTTCTCTGGTTACATCTCAATGTCTACTTGATCTCTCTGATTGAATGGACGTATTGGCCGCGGTAAAAGAAATCCTGCCCGTCTATCTTAGCCTGAAATGCCAACGGGTGCTGGCAGTTTGATACAGCATACAGTCTCGTTTGAACATGTTGCCATGATCTCATCTCTGTGCCAAGGGAATCCAGCGACCAAGAACTCAAGTAGGATTCGATTATTACCGGGAAATGATGGCCGATACATGCTGCTAATTCATAATCAACATGGCAACTGACCACTTTCCAAAGTCCACGACGAACCAACCCGCAGTGCTCTCTCTGTCTCCGATTTCAACGCCCCTCTGTGCTTCATCATCTTTACGAATCACTTACGGCACTGAGATGAAACCGGTTTATAACAAACTTCCATTCAAAGGGTGCTGCTATCAAGCGGAGATATGACAGATGACAAGTTCTAGGAGTTGATCAAGACACAGACTCTTGCTTACACGCTACTATTTGTGAACGTTTGTCCACCTAGGCAAATGAAACCCGCAAAACAAAACGTGAATGCCACACGTTTGTAGTTCCAACCTTGTCTCGTGATATACCGTGATATCCATTCATGGCCAAGACTAGATGCTCAGCGAGGGGGGACGATATCCACACCATCTTCTGGCCTTCTAATCATATCCTTGTCTCCTGCACTTCTTGTTGCGAACTTGAACCATTTAGAAGGAAAGTCTCGCAGGGCATGTTGATTCATCTTCAACACAGCTTGGTGTTTTGTTGTGCTCTTGCTTCCCTATTGGTATCAATAAGCCAAGCGTTGACAATTTTTAAGGCGAACCAATAGAAGGAAAAAAGCACATTTTGCGCCTTACAGCTCTACCATGCCATTGGCAACTTACTCTGCTAGATAACTGTCAGGGAACTTAACCCATGTGTCATCATTCAAAGGTTGGTAAACCGCGTCTGTCCTCGAAACAGCCAGCACCCACGACATGCTGGGTCACCCCCTTCCTTGCCTGCCCCCCCCCCCCCCCCTCTACAAAAGGCTTTAGTGATTCCACGCAGCGTCTCGATATTTCCGAGAGACAACGAGCCGCATTGGCCAAGTTGAGATAGTCGCTAGCCTAGCACGTACCTCGGAGGGTCTTGTGATCTAACCAGGCCGTATGGCCAAACTTGATAAAACTGACTACAGGGTCACCGTGAGCCAGCAGCACAGCCTGGTAAGCTCGAGAAAAGGGGTTTACCTAACCTAGATTCTAAACAAACATTCAAACACAAGTGCTCTAGAATACAGATCTGGTGTGGTGACCAACTCATACATCTATATTTAATGATTCAACGTCAAATCGCTCAGGTCAAATGTCGGTCAAGAGAGATGATGTCGTCTTATACGGTCCCAAGACGGCTCTGACCTGGAAATAATGCCTCGTTCAGACACGTCTTGCTTTGTACGTGTAATGTCGAAATGGTAAGTATCACGAAGTGGAGCATGGAAAGGGATAGTAGCATCGTAATTGTAAGATGAGAAGCGCAAATGCTGGCAAGCCGCCTTTGGGTAACTCTCCATTGTACCTCGGTGACCTGCCATGCCATGCTGATGGTATATTATCCCGTCACTTATAGGCGGATGTCTATTCCGATCGTCTTATACGATGAATGAGCTGGTTAGCTTCCCAGCTCCATTCTAACTCCGTTTCCCTTTCGTCCTGGCTATACAGCCCCCTTTGACTTTGCTTCATCACACCAGGACCCCCTCGTCGCTATCAGGGAAGCACCTCTCCAGCAACCTCTCGCGATGCCTCACAAGAGAAGGGAACTCCCGCAAAATCTCCGACAACGAAGCATCCAGCCACCCAAACTCCTCATCGAGCAGCAGTTGCGTATACGAGAACACGGACGCATCAAAGAGCGTCGGGCCCTCGCAGCCAAAGAACCACTCACCACCACCCTCTCCTCCCTTTTCTGTCGCCGCCGCCCCGAGCTACCGCCACTCCTACTCTCCTCCAGCAACGCGGCAAGGGCCTCGAACGCGGCGCGCGCGTCGGCGTGTACCCTCTTCACATCAACCACAGCGCTCCTCGTCACCTTTAGCACCTCAGCCTCGGCGGCCGCGCGGACTTGGTGCGCGAGCGTCAGCCTGACGACGGGGTTATTGGACGCCGGTTCGATGTAGAGCCTCGATAGAAGGTCTGCGTTCGCGGGGGCGAGGTAGAGGGCGTGGAGCCAGGCTGCGCGGAGGCGGTGGTCGAGGAGGGACTGGTAGGCTTGCTGGCGGGCCTGGAGCTCTGCCTCGGGGGAGGACGAGGATGAGAAGGAGGAGGATAGCACGGGTAGCCTTTTGAGGGTCGTGTTTTCTAGGGCGTAGGATTCGAGTTTCGAGGCGCCGGCAATGGGGCGGAGCGGGGAGGGCGGGAGGAGGTAGGGGAGTGCGCCGGAGGGGGAGGCGTGGTTTGTTGAGGGGGCGATGTGGAAGTCTACGCCGGCGATTTTGAGAAAGGTCTAGGGTAAGATCGGGGAGGTTAGTCTGGATGCGCGCGCAATACGGAGAACATGTTTGCGACGGTGACAAGGTATCAAGCGAACCTGCCACTTTAGACACGAGGGGTTGAAGCTCGGTCGGCCCCTCGGGGCATCATCTTCCGCGATGAAGACGTATAGTGTCGGCGTATCGCCGCGGGAAGGGCTGCGGTGGGGGAGGTCGTTGGCAGGGTAGACGGCGAGAGGGAAGCGTCTGAAGAGGGCGGCGACGGGGGCCGGGACGGCGAACCAGCTTCTCAGAGTGTTGTCCGGCATGATGGCTAGCTGGCGGCGGCGGCGGCGCCGGGGCGTGGCTTGCTTCGGCGAGGCCGGTTCGGTCGGTGATGAAGGCGGGTAGGCGGGCGGGAGTCCGGGTGTGGGTTGTGGGTTGTGGTTGGAGGGATTGGATGGAACGGGGAGAGCTCGTATGACGCGGCGAGATTGAGCCGAGGGGTGTGGAGGTCGGGTGTCCGGTAGACGGAGCTCGGCGGGGGTGAGGTGCGGGATGCAGAGTGAGCTCGGGGGAAAGGCGTGGTGCGTGGTTGGTGTGATTTGCTGCTCTGCGGGAAAGGGGGACGATTGGGAGCGGTGCGGCGTGCCTCGGTTTCGCGGAATCGCGGGACGGTAAGCTGTAGCTACCTACCCTCTCAAATTTTCAAGTTGAGCCTGAGGTCAAGAGTTCGGGAAAGGTACCGTTACTCTACAGCTCGTGATTTGGTTGGCTGGGTTAGAGAGGTTTGATGGAGACATCTGGTGTTCCGTACGATTGTACGATTGTACGATTATGCCCCGTCACGATGCGCAACTTTCTACACCGCCCATCTGTATCTTCGGAGTAATTTATCGCTTCTCCATGCGAGATAAGGGGGTCTTTGCTCCCGAGTCTGCTTTCCCGCTCCTCCTCAAACTGCTCGGCGCATTCGGGGCGAGACAGGGGCATAAAGTGGATGGTGCAAGAATTTGCTAGGTGTTGCATGAGGCGGGGGGGGTTTTCTTCTTTTTTTTTTCTGTCTCTCTTTCTCGTTTCCTTTCCCACTCCTGAACTGGGCATGGAGACGTTGAACCGTGGACAGCGAGTGCATGAAGGACGCCCGCTTGGTAGTTTGGATAAAGCTGGCCGGGACAGCTGCAGTTTTCCTGCAGCCGTGTCCAGCGGCCGTCCAGTCACTCTGCTGGGCAGGCGGAGCTGGTTTGCGGCGCCGTGGATGGACCCTGAATTTCTCGTGACATCCCTGTCTGCACAGCCAAGGTACTGTGTATTATCTATACCTAGTCTGTGTTCGGCTGTATGCCTCTTCATTCTGATTCTGCTCTCGTCCCCGATGCAGCTTTTGATTGATACAGTCGTACGGATAGTGTACTCCATAGTGCTGTTCGAAAGTACAGTGGCGGGTCACTTGGGCAGACAAAGTCCCGGTCATCAGACTGGAAAATTCCCATATGTCACTGGCGGAAAAGGTCATGGGAATCTCGCTCAAATTCCAGAATTGCCTCGGCGGCGGCAATGTCGGCGTGCCCCGGAAGACTGCCAGATGATGGCGTGCGGCGTGCGGCGTGCCCTCCGTCGGTGAGTGGCTCCGGATCAACTACGGTGAATTCCACGTTCGAGAGAAATTCTAGCGGGCGGGGCTTCAGGTCCCTCTTCTTCTCCGGGGTCGCAAGGTGACCCTCGGTACTTTCGGTCAAATTCCTCGCCCAATTCCCAAATGGGCCTCCCCTACCGCCGTTACGGGGTTTCCGCCCATCGACAATCCATCCTCGACATCACTTGCCTATTGTCGCTTTTGAGGTGGTTGCAGGAAGAAAGCCGACCCGCCCGCAGGAACAATGCCCGTCACGGCGGACACCGGACACTGCCCGGCAAGCATTGAGCCATGCCTTGACAGGAGCCAGACACATCATGAGAGAACCATGACGGCCAGGCACACATTGACATTGTACACTAGACGAAAAGATCGCGCGACTCGTGCAGAACATGCAAGTGTATGCGCCTACGCCAGCGCCGACGCTATTACGGAGGGGGAGCCATCGATCGATTCTCCATCCCCTCCACACCTGTTTTTGATGCTCTGGACCTCGATGGGCACGTCGTTCAGTTTTGCTCCAAGTTTTGCCGAGCAACTCCTCGGCGAGTTGACTCGAACACTGACGAGCTAATCGGAAGATGAGGCCGTCTACGAAGCCTACACTGGACATGCGTTGTGACCGGAATTTGCTGTTGGCCTGCCACTGCCTACTTGAGGTAGCTTCGACTAAAGCTGCATGGTCCTAGGCGATGGGCTAGGAGGAACCTTCCCAATACAACTTGTTGTCGGCTTGTTCGTCCGAGACTATGCTGTTGCACATTGAGCTATTCGATTGCGTGCTGGAGGGCCAGGTTCCGGATGCTGCGCTCCAAAGATGCGATGCGCGAGGGGAGGATTCCGATCAATGCTGGGTAATCAAAAAAAAAAAAAAGAAGAAAAAGACAATGCTCTCTGTACGGATACGCCAAAGGCATCAAGGAACTAAGAAAACGTCGCCATTCTCCGTCATATGGGCATTGCACGATTCTCGCCCTTGGATCAGAAGAGAGTGGTCCAACAAGAGCATCATCCTGCCACGCCTGTGTTTCCCGCCCTTCAACCTCCCGGGGGATTCTCATGCCGAAGGTATTCCGAAGCCTCGCGTTTGGCTGGAGCAACTCAGCGAGACGGTTTTGGCGGGGCGGCCGTGGGGAAAGCAGTTTTGTTTTTCTTTTTCCCTTTCAAAACGGGACACGTTTTCGAACGTGGAAGATCTCCGTCCCGAGATTTTCCGTTGCTTGAGACCAAAGCCCACTGCCCAGAGGGCCCCCCCAGACGGGGAAGTATGCCGCTAGGATGAAGCGAGGTCGGAAAACCAAGCGACGGAGGGGCGGACATGCGCGTTCGACGGTCGACCAAGACGAAGGAAAAAAAGCTAAGGCGAGCTGTGTGTGGGGTGGAAAGCCTGGAGTGCCACAGAGAAAACGGATGCGCCGTCAACATCGTTCGGTCTTTCTTCACATGTCTCCACCGGAGCCGGCACCTCCAAGGATTCTTATGGCTCTCGGTGATAAGTGTTGGTCTTGAACTTGGTCCATCAGACTCCATATTGCCAACAACAACCGTCGCCACTTATCCAGCCCCAGGTTTATTACCTTTCGTAAGCATCCACGCAACGGAAGGAGCACAGGAAGAGAGAAAAGTCTTTTACGGATACGTCAACTGCCCTTGCGCACAGCCGACTCTCGGAAAGTGAGGTAAGAGGTTCCTGCTCTGCCAAAGAGGCAAGGGCTGACGAGGATGAAGAGCTTCAGCCACCGTCAATGGGATCAATGGGGAAAGGCAGAGGGGAGAAATCACAAGCAAAAAGAGGCGTCTTGAATCAGGAGCCACCAGATATTCCGTCGTTTTGAGTTTTGAGGTCGCTCGCAGATTCCCCGGCCTTTCTCTTTGTGTTGCTCAAATGTTGGAACTTGGAAACAAGTCGAGGCTTGTGATTCCCCCCCCCCCCCTCCATGAGTTCTCCCCCGCAATCCCGTTCAAGATAGAATTCAGCCCGCATCAACCAAGCACCGCGAAACCACCTCACCTTGCCTTGAGGCTTGTGGATGGTAGGTATTCGAACAGCAGCAGCAGTAGCACGCACAGTCGTTACTCTACCTACCATATGGCTTGTTACCTAGGTAGTAGTGGTAGTCTACTCTTACCATCTTCTACGACAGTCCTCCGGGGCGGGATACTACATCATCCTGCTCGAGCCTGTGATCGAGTATCTCGCACCGCATCACATCGTCCGCTTCCGCCTGCGTCTCTCAGTCATTAATCCGTCCATACGCCAGAGAGGAAAGACATTCCGCAACAGGGCACGCCAATATCCGCCGTACTGTATGATGGATGGGCCTTGATTGACACGGGCACACATACCTACCTAGGCTGGTACGGATAGCGCAATCTTGGTCCTCCCCAAGTGGAGCAGAGCATGTCATCGTCGGGCTGTTCTCTCCCTCGTCCTAGGCCGAAATCGAACGAGGCAGGGCTTCCGTGCATTGGCTCTTGAGCTTCTTTCCCAGGATCACGCAGCCAGGGGCGGTTTGATGCGATCCAGTACGATGCGGAGAAACGGCCCAGAGTCTCTCGCTGACGGCGCATCAAGGGAAAGCAGACACACGCAGGTACCGATACATGGGGACATGGAGAGCGGAGGTCACCCCCATGCGTCCAGCCCAGGCCCATTGTGCCAACCTGCCCCCCAGCTCCAAGGCACGCCGCACCATGACATGCTGCCTTTTTTATTTTTTATTTATTTTCTTTTTGCCTTTTTTTTTTGTGAAGAGTTGGCTCTACGGATACCTACCTACCCCACACTGCGAAACGCTCGACGGCGAGAAGGCCGACCTCTCCTCCGTTGCCGCCGCTCAGGATTTGCCCATTCCACCCTGTGGTCCCTGTCAAGCACTGTCGAGCGTGTTCTTCCGAACCTGCCACTGCGGTCGCTCGAGCCGCTGATCCGCAAAGACCCTGAAAGCCTTTTGGCCTTTCCTGAGTCGCGAGACGAGGGTGCAAATCCCCTTCCTCCCCGCCTCAGATGGGGGAAGATGTACTGATACTTGGCACATGGAGGTCCTCAATTACTGCTTCTGGCGACGTTTACCGCGAGGCGTTACGCCTGACGCTTGTGCCTCTGCAAGTACCCCCCGCAATGGCAAACATCAAGCAGGCTGCTGGGTGTTGATCTGGCTAGGCCATGCTGTCTCTTGGGGGTGATGGATAAGCATGCGTCGTTGTCTCCTTGACGATGCGAATAGAGGAAGCCGAGGCGGTACGACAGGTGAAGAGACTGTGGAAGAGAAAGAAGGAAACAAACCATGCAGACGGCGGTTCGGCGTCATACCAAGCTCTCACTCACTCACTCACTCACTCACTCCCTCCCTCCCTCTCTCCACCTCCATCTTCGGACCTATTATCGCGGCTCCCAGGAGTTGGTCGGGTCCAGGGCATTGAGCGTCATGGATTGATTAGACGGCGGGAAATAACGTGAAGACGAACAGAGTATCGTCCCTCTTTTTCTTTTTCCCTACCCTCTCCCCCGCTGAGCAGAGGAAGAGAGTGGGGGAAAAAAGAACTGGAGATAAGATGGATTCTTCAACCGCGGCTACTCTCCGTATCCGTGTGTACTTACTTTGGCAAAGTAAATAACCCAACCCGGACAGCCATCTCGGTCTTGCGTCGGTAGATGGGAAAGCAGACGACACACACTCGCACACACGCTCTTGATATTCTTTATCCTCTCGACTCGCCCACCCCAAGCGCTTTTCCTGGCCAGTTACCACATTTATCCTATCCCTCCCACACTCCTCCCACACTTTTAATTGTTCAACCACACACCCACCCACGCTCCTCGTCTGGATCAAAAGCAAGTCAACTGGACAACCCGCGAACCAAGCCCAATCAAAGACAAGCCCATCACATCATCACTCGCACACCCACACAAACCCGCACGAGCTGTCTCTCCTCTACACAGTAGACTACTCGCTCCAGCCTTCTTTCGGCTCAAGATCCTACATACACTCGAGCAAGGAAACGCTGCTGCTGCTACCCACACCATCCCGCATACTTACGCAAGCCCGCGTCGAATACCGACTCACACTCGCCTTATTCTGTCTCCCAGGCCTGGCTCAGCTGCTACACACTCGAACGATATCCCACACATCAGAGTCGCAACATCCCTCCCGCGCCTGACTGTGGTATCGCCGATCCCCCTTCTACCTGTCTCACTTCTGCAATCACTCTCTCCCTCTCTTTCTATTTTGCCAAAACAGAGAAAGAGAAACTTGGTCTGCATCCCGCTCGGTTATCTGCCTCTCACTCACTCACTCACTCGCTCGCTCGCTCAATCGATCCACCGACTCGTTTGGCTTGTTACCCGCTGCCGGAGCAAGGGTTGGTAATCCGCAATCGCGCCGAATTCCAATATTGCCTATCCAATATTGTTGCAAGCAAAGACAAGCGGTCCCGCAATTATAGCCTGTTACCGACAACCCAGGGTCGTCCCACGATCACTTTAAACCAGCCGCCGGCCTCACCCACACACCCCACGCCTCACGGCATTCCCGCCTGCTCGTTACTTGGTCTTGCAAAAAATCTCAGGCACCACACACGTACTTTTCGTGTCTACTCCGCACTTCACCGTCGGCTATCCTTTTCACAAAAAGGGATCTTCCGCACGTTCGCTTTTGTCGGACTTTTTCCCATTCCACCCTTCCTAGCTTCTTGATCCCGCCTTTCCCTCCTCCCCCCCCCGCCTGACATCACCTACTTTTCAGGTACCTGTGCTTTTGGGGTCTCACATAAAGAGTCAAGATCAGCGCTCCGAATTCGAAGATCTGGGGAATATAATACCACCAACCATCCATCGCCCCCTTCTCGGACCTTGGTTCCTGGCCCTTATACGCATTCGCATACCTACTTGAACTCTTCTCTCGCCATCGAGGGAATCTTATTATCATCGCTACACAACCTCGATAACCATCAACACCCATCACACACCGCCCACCATGAACGCACCAATCCAGTCCCCCAAGCGCCAGGACTCCACATCCTCCATCTCCTCCTCATCGTCGCACATGTCCACAAACCAAATGATGGCGCCACCTCAACCCAACGGTCAGCAACCCCCTTCAACCGAGGCCTTCCTCCGCGACTTCACCCTCGTCGCCGAGGCCGCGAAACGTGCCCAGATGGCCGTCATGATGCGCGACTTTGAGTCTTGCGGATTGTCATAGATATGAGAGCGATATGTTCGTCACGAAAGAGTCCGAAAGCGATGAGCTCTCCCCGACGTCCCGGCAAGCTTTCTCCAACTGGCTCAGACCGTCTTTTTGAGGATGAATTTTCCGAATTTTATCGGATGAGAGAGGACCCCGCTGAAACGCAGTTACGGGGCCGAGAGGGAAACCGAGGCACCGCGCCAACGCCCGGCGGAGTCGGGGCAGGAGGGGGAGGAGGGCGAGAGAGGGCGAGAGAGTTTCCCGTGTTCATACCGAACCGACACTGGATTTGCCTCTCCCCCTCAAGCTCTTCCCCTCACCGGATCCAGTCGCTGAAGTGGCCTTCCTCGGTTCAACTCTTTTCCTCTTCTCTCACTCGCTTTATTCTTCTCCCGCTCGCTACACACACACACACACATACATTTAATCGACATTGAAGTCTCTGGGGAACTCTATCGGTTTCGCATTTCTTCTCGGTGATTAGAGGCGGGGATAGACAAAGGTTCATCTCATCGGGTTCATCTCATTGGGGGGGTTTCTTCATGATAAACACACACACACACACACACACACACACAACCACACTACACATTCACGACAACTGGCGTATACGGACAAATGGGAGGGCATCATTGCATTGCGGGGAATTTCGTTTTGATATCACACTATTTTGGAAAGGACACGACTTAACACGGCGTTTTGGGAGGGAAGGGATCTCGGGCATCTACCACGACCCGATTGAATTGGATTCCGCTCACCATTCTTATTACTATTTTTTTATTTTATTTTCCTGTATGAATACCACTGAGGGGGACAGATGGTCTTACCTAGATCTTGCTTTACACGTTTCATCTAACAAGAAACATGGGCCAGTCTATGTGGTCTTTTCCAACATTGTTTGTGTTCCAGATTGCAGTTCTCATGTGACATTGCCATCATCAACCGCGATTCGCCATCACATCTCTTTTCACAGTTTTCACCATCATCCTGCGCTGAGAAGTGATCCATGGCCTTTATACGATTTCTCATTCTACATATTTCTACATTCATCACAACAAGCTCATCTTACCCCCCCCCTCTCACAGCTTACAACTTGGAAGCCAACACAATACCACCATCAACAGTAATAGTCGCCCCCGTCACAAACGCACCCGCCCGTCCACTCAAGAACAAACACGCGCCCGCGACATCCTGCGGCGTACCGATCCTCCGCATCGGAATCTCCTCTTCAATCGTATCGCGCATCGTCTCGAGCGTCGCCGCCATCATCTTGCTCTCAAACGGCCCGCAGGCAAGCGTATTGCTCGTGATGCCCCTTGGTCCCAATTCCCTCGCCAGCGCGCGCGAGAGGTGGTGCAGTCCCGCTTTGCTTGCGCTGTAGGCATAACTCGAAATGAGCGGGACGCGGAGGCCGTCTACGCTGCCGATATTGATGATACGCGACGGGTCAGACAGAGAAGAAGCAGCGGATTCGAGCAGGGGCGCAGCGAGTTGGGTCAGGGTGAAGACGCGCTGCAGATTCAGCGTCAAGAGTTTCGTCCAGGCGGCGTCGGGGTATGTCTCAAAGGCGTCGCCCCACGCCGCGCCCGAGTTGTTTACGAGGACGTGGAGTTGTCCGCCCGTTTGTCGGGCGAGCTCGTCGACGAGGCGCTTGCAGTCGTCTAGCTTTTGGAGGTCGGCTGGGATGGCGTGGCATTTTCCGGGACCTTGTGCGGTGAGGGCAGCGGCGGAGGCGGAGCAGGCTTTGGCGTCGCGGGAGGAGATGTAGACTGTTGCGCCGTTTGTGATGTAGCCTTCTGAGATCATGTAGCCTATTCCTTTTGCGCCGCCTGTGACGAGGATGTTTTTGTCCTGTTGGGAGGGGGGGGGAGGTTAGCTTTCTGTTTGTGATGGCTTTGGGATTGGAGGGGGGGGGAGGGGAAGAGGAAGAGGAAGAGGAGGAGGAGGAGGAGGAGGGAGCTATCTCCACCTTGACGTTGAAGAGCGATGCGACATCCATTGCTGCCGATTTCCTATTATTTCGTGATGGATGCTAAGTTGGTACAGTAGTTTGCTTTGAGAAAGGTCAATCGACAAGTCTTGACGCAATCACAGTCGAATTCGAACAGAACTGTGAGACGTAGATGTAGAAGAAAAGGGGACAAGGGTACAGGAGCTTTCTTCCGCTGATGTGAGAGAAGAGAGGCGAGCTTTCGGTCGTCTGAGCTTCCCCCCAGTTGCGATAAAAAACGAGCCGAGGCTCACGGTCGTTTGGAGGGGTCTAGGCCGAGGGCGCGTCCGCCCCGATAAGGGGTACTTTGCTTGCTACCCCGGACTGCGCTGCGGGGAAAGTACATTGCATCTTTTTCACAACGCGACACCGATGAAAAGGTAGAGAGAGATGCGACGTTGTGAGCTTTAGGTTTTCCTTATATACTGCAGAGTTGTACATTTAGATCATCTGTGAACCTGCAGTCCCAAGATGATTATTGAACATGACCCGTTCAAGGGTTCACGAACCTCGCATGATTTATGCATTCGGTAATAAGGATTACATATCTGTCCAGTGAAGACGAAGAAAAAGAAAAAAACTATGCTAATCTACCGAACGTGGTTGTTCGTCTTTACTTGACTATCCTGTTTGCCAAAAGTCTATTGTCATGGTCATCCGATTAACCCATAATCCACCAACGCCGTTGCTCAATTTCAAATCCTTTGTTCCTGTCGAATTCGGGGCCTCTCATGCCAGCTGATATCGATGATTCATCCGCATAACCATACATAGCACATACCATCCGCGTACAACGGTTCGGATGAGGTTGTACGGTACAGCAAGGTCAAACCTCGCCGATATTCCTTTATGCTCGCCGACATGACGACACACCCCATGCAACATTATTTACGACGTCGACGACCTCGGGCTGCGCTTCCTCATAAAAGCAGGCAACCTCGATGACTTCTCGCCGCTCTCGGTCGTGTTGGTCGTCTTCTCCGGCGTATCGTTCGCCCCGCCAGCAGCAGCCGCCGCAGCGGCAGCCTCCCTCTCTTTCCTAGGAGAGCAGCAGCAGCCCATAGCCATGTGAAGAATAGCGGCCAAATCGACGAGGGCGCTGGCGAGCCACATAAAGACGAACATACGCACGCCGAGCACGGCGTTGATGTTGAGCTCGGACTGCTGTGTGAGGGCGATTTTGGCGCCGACGCTCATGACGGTGCCGATGATGGAGGCGACGGTGACGAAGAGGCCCGTGAGGCCGGCGAAGATGGCGATGGGGAGGCTCCACCAGCGCGAGCGCATGACGAGCGGGGTGACGATGAGGAGGGCGGCGGCGAGGGAGATGCCCGCGATGAAGAGGCCGAACATGACCTGCTGGCCGATGCGGAGGATGTTGAGGATGGTGCTGACCTCGGAGGGGAGGGCGATTGTGGCGCCGGCGAGGAGCTCGTTGGTGAGGATCTCGATTGGGTTGAACCACCACATCCGCTGGGGTGTTGAGCAGTACGTGACGCCCCTGGGTGATGGTTGTGTTAGTGACGTTCGGTTCTGAAAGCTCTGTGTTGTGGTTTGAGACAGCTGGGAACACTCACTCATCGTTGTAGCCTTCGCAAAAGTTCCAGAGACCGACTTGGTAAAAGTCGTGGAGTCCCAAGCTACGCGCTACGGAGTTGAGGAGGACGGCGTTGGCCGAGGAGAGGGGGATGATGTCGGAGACATCGAGTTTGAAGAAGTAAATGTCAGTGAGTACGGGCTTGATGGAGGTGTTGCCGATGATGACGAGGATGAGGAAGATGATGGCGATGAAGTAACAGACGGCCGCGGTGATGGCGCTGTTCCGGCGGACCTTGGCCATCGTGAGGGTCGGTATTCAAAGATTGAGCAGCCTTGAAGAGGAGGAGGATTGAGGTCGTCGTGGGAGGGCGGACGTGGAACCAGATTCTGAGACCTGGAGTTGATGGAGTACGGTATACAGAGTATCGATTCCTCTCTCCCCAGATATCTCACGTATGTGTGCGGGCGAGGGCAAGATGACGCGGTAAGGTACCCGGAGCTCTCTCTAACAATGCCGATGGTCCGGAGAGGTGACGGAAAAAGGGGACTGGATAGTGTTCGGGGGATTCGACCTGTTGAGCTATCCAGGCGCGGCCGTACTCAAGACAGTCGTCCGTAATCCAAGGAAAAGGGCGTCCCAAGCTAGGCAAGGGGCTCTGGTGCGAAAGAGGGAATCGGCCCTACGTGTGCAAAAAGGTTGGCGGAGCGGAGAGGAATCGGGAAGCCAAAGAACGCCCAAAGACGGATAATGACGATGAGCGTCAGGAAGGCTAGCTCGAGTCCACACGGCAATTTTTTGTCTGGTACTCCGTAGATTGAAAAGAACAAAACAAATGATTCCAGACCAGGCCAGGCCGGGACAATAGATTCGATGGAGCAAACCCCCCCTGGACTCTAGAGCCCTGGTGGTTGGTAAATACGGACAGGGCGTCAAGACTCAAGGCAGAGAAGCAGGGCCAAGACACCGGAGCCAAACCTGGATGGATAGACAATTACCTTACTCCGTACGGAGTAGATAGAGAGACGAGAGAGGATAAACAGAGCGGGACGGGTCTGAGTTGGCATAAACCCAGGCGTATCGCTGTTCTCCGGGGGGGAGCTTGCAGTAGAGGTTGAGGATGGCCCAGGTGTTCCATGGGTCACTGACAATCGGACAGGGAGAATGACGTCGTAGCAACCATCCTCTTTTTTTTCCCTTCCCTTCTCTCTTTTTTCCTTTCTTCCTGCTGCTGCTGCTGCTGCTGGTTTTCTGCATTGGATCATCACAGCGTTTTTTTTGCTAGCGGCGCGCCACGGCTAGTGGGGTCCGTAGTGGGACTGGGCGTGAGGCATTCCTGGTTGTGCGGTGGGGTCCATCCACCTCATGTTTCCAAGCTCTCGTTCATCTCCATTTCGTCTGTCACAGACTCACAGACTCACAGTCACTCATCTATCATTACGGACAAAACTTCAACTCAATGGATGAACCACACACAGACTCTCAAGTGACGGCACAGACGAGAGAATACAGTAGTAAAAACCCATATCCAACCTACTGCAGCAAAGCCATGATTCCTCCCTCGTCTCGGCGCTGCAAGACGAAGAGAAACATCAAGTGCCATGGTACCACCGCGAGACCAGATTTCCGTACGTCAGGACCATTCTCCGTCCACAATAGGGTGATGGAGATCCAATGGCTTCCAGGCTTTCAATTTCGGGTCCCGAGGGGCCGTCTAAACGAGGTCGCGCGGCCCCCATCCAGCACCGCCTCCAAGCCTCGAGGAGTCCAGCCAACCGGGCCGTTATGTCACTCTCTGTGGCGGGCGGTCTGTATCATTCTGTAGGATCTGTAGCCCTCCCCAGCTGAAGTGGGATCATCACAGTTGACAGCGGTTACTAAGAGAAAAGGAAGTTCGGCAAGCCACTCGAAATGCAACAACAACAACAACAACAACCACCCAAGACCACGACCATCAGGCTTCAGCAAACCAGGTGCGCAGACGCTGGCTGTATGAAATGAGATTCCAATGGGTGGATCGTTGGGTACCTTGGGACCGCTTTCTCCTTGTTGCACCATCGACCCGACTCCCGGGCCCCGTACGGATGTCCCCCGTCCCGCCCTGTCCTGCATCTTTGATCTTCCTGGCTGTTCCCATGTACTCAGAAATACGTGTATTGTGCTCGTCACTTTGAAAACTTGATACTCATTGCTGATGCTTGTCCAAGGAGTGCGGCCCACGGAGGGGTGTTGAGGTGTTTCTCTTCAGGGACTACGGAGTACTATGGATACAGAAATAGTTTGTAAATTCCCCGTCGTAGCATCCGACTTCCAACGGTACGGAGTACACGATCCCAGCAGGACCCAGATGTCTTGACCTAAACAAACGAAATGAGGATGGGCGTCAAGTGTTGAGCCTAAAACTCTGTTTTTCTTCCCTCTTTGATCTTCCTGATCTTCCTCTCAGCCGCATTATGATGGTCATTGATGACCCTATTCCCCTTCAGCTTTCCGGGTGGGGGGTTTTTTTTTTTTGGCAAACATGATGAACATTTGGGTTTCTTGATTCCAAGAACTCCGTAGCCGCAACAAGACAAACGCAGGGCCATCCTGCACGCGCGTCCCAGTCCCCGCCACGCCGGCACAGGAGAGCCGCTGTCCTTTGCCGCAAGCCACAGCCGCAGATATGCAGTAGGTACGCTGCTACCCAGGTAGGTACGGATAGATGGAACGGCGCGTCCATGACTTGACCTGCTGCCCATCCCTGGTTGTGTTGTTGGGTTGCTTCCAGTCAATGTTTTTCAGTCTCTTGACATCTCTCTCGACATGCCATTTACCGTCACCTGGCTGCTGTTTTACTCGATTGTGACAGAGAGTGCAGTGACATGACTGCGTGACCCTGTCGAGCTGGCTGGAGCTGCCGATGAGATGACCAGCAGGGTCCCGGCACATCCCCAGCGATCCTCGCAGCAGCTTCCGGTGGTGGTGGGTCGTCTTAATGGGGCCCTGTGCTCCTGGTATCCACTAAATGGGGGCCCGTTACCCCTGCCAGTTTGGCGGTAGCGCCGTATGGGGCCCTGGGCCCTGGGCCCTGGGCCACTCCCCCCTCCAAGCCTCAAGGCAAGCTGCAGCCAGACGCAGAAAGAAATGTCTGGGCCACCCCAGGTAAAACGAGGAAGAAAATACACAAATATTATGTCATAGCCAAAACGGGGCTTCAACTTTTGGTCCGAAGTCTTGACAATTGGCATCCAAGGTCCAAGGTCCAAGCTTGGTCCAAGGAAAATAGTCAACCTCTAGACTCTCGTTACCGCTGGCGCAACATTGGTAGCGAAGCGCACCTTTCCCTCTCATGTTCTCATGTGAAATCTCAACCTTCCGCCTCTGCCGTGCGTGACGAAGAGAAATGACTCAAGGAGAACAAACGCCTTTATACTAGGTACCCTAGCGTGCTTCTGCTTTTTTCCGGCGGTATTTGCTTGGGGATCGTCATCGAAACTCTCCTCGTCCGATAACCGTTTTTTGACTTCTGTCTCCCGTTCTCCCGTCCCTCGCCCAACTCAATTTCTTTCCCCGAGGGGCGCACCGTGGTCACTGCGTCTTTGCTTGCCATCCCAGACTCCCAGACCTCGAATAACATACAACCCATCTCGAGCCCGATAACCACCCCGTACCTTACCATACACTCGGGAAACAACACCACGACTTTCCCTTCATTTTTCGCGGCCAATCCACCAACAAAGTCCTCCCCAGAGAGGCTGCCTCGCCCAGCATGACAGGACCTCTCTTTGCCCTCTCCCTCGGGCTTCTATCCCTCTTCACAGCCCAAGCCGCAGGTCAGGACCAAGTCAGCACGAGCACCTTCACCCTCTCCAACACCGACGACGTGACCTTTCTCTCGGGAACCAAAACCGTCGCAGTCACCCAGCCTAGAACGCCAACGGGCCCCTACGCAACCTACACCTCGAGAATCACCCTCACGAATGGAGATCTTTCCACCATGACCGGGACCATGACGGTCACCGGTAACGTCACCCAGACCACGACGAATTCCGTCGGCCAGTCCGTCGTCATCATCTCGGGCCAGACCTCCGTCGTCACCTCCACCATCACCGGCTCCGATGCCAATGCCACCCAGAGCGAGACCGCGCCCGCCGCCCCGAAAAACACCCAGCCCTGCAACAACTACGTCGAGTTCTGCGACCGCAAGTACAGCAACGTCACCGAGGTCGGGTGCCACAACTCCCCCTTTGTGCGCCCTGGGAACTCGGCCTCCAACCAGGCTCTCGATGTCACGAACCAGCTCAACGACGGCATCCGCTTCCTCCAGGCCCAGATCCAGTGGCCCACCAACGGCACAGTGCCGCACTTTTGCCATTCTTCCTGTGATATCCTCGATGGTATGCTCTCTCTCTCTCTCTCTCTCTCTCTCTCTCTCTCTCTCTCTCTCTCTCTCTCGACAAGACTCATCCTCGCAGAGCCCGCAGCTAACATACACCAACAGTCGGCCCCATCACCGAATGGCTAACCACCGTCCGCGAATGGGTCGCCTCTCACCCGTACGACGTCGTCACCATCCTCCTCGGCAACGGTAACTACTCCACGCCCGACCTGTACGCCCCCTTCATCGAGTCAACCGGAATCCTCCAATACGCCTACCAACCCCCCTACCTCCCCATGCGCCTCGAAGACTGGCCCACCCTCTCCCAGATGATCCTCGGCGGCAAGCGCGTCGTCATGTTCATGGACTACATGGCCGACCAGCAAAAGTTCCCCTGGCTCCTCGACGAGTTCTCCCAAATGTGGGAGAGCCCCTTTGACCCCATGGACCGCACCTTCCCCTGCACCGTCCAGCGCCCGCCCGACCTGTCGCAGGAAGCCGCCCGCGACCGCCTCTACCTCATGAACCACAACCTCAACGCGGAGTACAACATTTTCGGGGCCTCCATCCTCGTACCCGCCGTTTCGCTGTTGAACTCGACGAACAACGCCACCGGCAACGGCTCCCTCGGCGGCGCGGCGCAGAACTGCACCCGCGACTGGGGGTTCCCGCCAAAGATTCTGAATGTGGACTATTACAACTACGGCGACCCCGAGGGCTCCGTCTTCCAGGTCCAGGCCAAGATGAACAATGTCACGTACACGCGCGAGTGCTGCGGTAAAATCACTGGTGCGTCGCCCGGACGGCCGACTGCTTCGGTTTTGGTCCTGGGATTGGCCTTTGCCTGCGCCTTGTTGCTGGGTTGAGGTTGACTTGTAATTCCTAATGTCTTTTTTTTTTTTTTTTTAATTTTTTTTTTTATATAAATTTTCGGTTTCACACGATGAAAGCATGTCTGGCGTTTTGGGAGGCTGTTTAATGCATAGACGGATTACATGGAGGACCGGTGGATATTTCACTCTGTACAGATTGTGTAATTGTTTAAGGGGCTAGGGTTACCTGAAGATGAGATGCTGTCATGCAAGGCTTTAACCACTGCATATAAATTACAACCACAATATTACTCTCCAGAAATCCAAGATTCGTTGTCTGTTTCTCCGTTTGGTGTTGACTACTCTCTCGGAGATGTGTTACGGGCAGCTGTGGCCGACGGAGCGACTGGGGGTGGGTTCTATCGTGGTGAGGGAGAATTGAGGTTTCGTCTCATGAACCTGGTACCACAACCACCTCTGTACAACTGGATGACCGAGCTTTTGTTGATAGACTATGGAAGCTAGCACATAAACGTCTCATTGGTTCAGTATCATGAATAGAGAACCGAGGACTTTCCCCTTCATCCCCAACACCAATAAAAGGCCACGTTTCTTTTCAAACATACTTTCCAACTCTTCCCTTTTCCCCATCACAGCAAAAAGGAAACAGTCACAATGAAGTCCCTCCATTTGTAGACTACTCAAGATTTGCGTTTCCCTCACGCCTCAAGGTTCGAGTAAAAACCAAAGTGCCCGTCGTGTTGTGTTGTGTCGTGTACTCACTCTGCTTACCCTCTGTCTGTCCGTCATTCACACATGACCTCCTTCGTCACCAGGGCCCCTCGCGAGTATCGGCAGCCCCGCGTTTACCTGATCGAGGAGTGCAGATTGTTAGGGTGCGTTTAGAAGGCGGAAGCTGGATCCCTATTTGTCCAAACGGCCATTGTCACGGAATACATTCATCTCACGACGCCAGCCCATATTAATTAGATGTGTTTTTTTTTCTCGTTCATCTCCCACCCAAACGAGTAGGAGCCGAAAGCCGACCAAAGCAAAGTGCCAGAGTCTACGTTGGAGCACCATCTTCTTATACTCGGTACTTTGAATGGATGCGGAAGAAGGGAAGGGAGGTTGGATGAAGTAAGGAGGTGAGAAGATGACGCCGGCAGTGTCAATGTATTATTACAAGCCGATATGTAGATAAACATTGAGTTGTTGCCGTTGGAATATACCCATACATCAAGGTCGTTGTTCATCGCTGAGTCGGTCAAGTGCTACACTGAAGACCGAGGACGAGGCTTGACGTCTGAATCAATGCCCAGGCATATACGAACCTGAAGGGTTGAACGAATACACAAAAAAAAATTATACACCCCGACCCAGGCCTCGCCTCGCCTCGCCTTGCCTCATATTCAAATCTCATCCCTTCCTACTTCAACCAAGCCCAATCGATCCCCATGGTCGAGCGGTATAACGCCCTGGTCCGTTCATACAAAACTTGGTATCAAATCTCGACAAGTCAAACGGATGGAGGATTTCGTAGGGGTCCAGTTTCGAATCTCGAACTGGGCACCTGAGCTTTTGGCTTTTTTGCCCTCTTTGGTACCGGTCTGTTTTCCAATTGCTCTATGCAGGAAGGAAGCTACCTACGTACTAAATGAATTCGAAGCAATCACTCAGCCTGGGTTAAATTGCATACTTCCCCTACAACTCTTGTCCATGTGTAGTATTCATTCAGGATCATCTAAAGCCTTAGTCTTCATTCAGTCCACCTCTCGATTTTCGATACGTCAATACTTACTTCATTATGTTGCCATCTCTTATTTCGCCCATCTCTCTAGGTGCTGAAGGCAGAGTAGTTGGTCTTTTGCTTTACTTCGGCAAGATCCATGCATTTGAAGGGTACCCGTCATGCCTGGGGATCAGACCGACAGCATAGAACGCATCACCAGACCTTGCAAAGCCAATGCCACCAAGTCATTGAGAATGTATTTATTTGTGCAGCGGCGTCGTTCCGCCCAAAGGGGGACCGACCGGCCTATGTAGACTTAAACCCTTCCTCTGCCGCATCAGCCAATGCAAGAACCCCGCGAAAAAACCAGGACAGTGTAGTCTCCATTCCCACTCCAAGACGAAGCCTGACGCCAATGATATGATCGTAAGAAACAAAAAAAAAAAAAAAAAAAAGAAAAAAAGCGCACAAGAGTGGAAGGGGAGCGCGTCTTCTAATAATTCACACAAGGGCAAAAGGGGAGGAATTTGGTGGAGTACCATCTGAGATTACCCCTGAAAAGTCTGTACAGCAAAACAGCGTTGAGGCTGGCTCGTAACCACCAGACTCTAGAAAGGCTGGGACTTGGGGATATCTTCGATGACGTCCTGTAAGGAAACAAAGGCGCCTGGTCCGCCGTTTTCCCGCAAATCGTCAAGAAGTACGCTCGTCTGGGCGTAGACCTTTTCGAGCGCAGCACGAGAGGATTTGCCCAGTGATACTGTTGAAGTTAGCGCCGAATCAAAACGCAACCGGTATCACAGAGACTCACATAATATCGCGGAGTTGAGCTCCTCTGCCACCGCGAGTCGACCTTTCCTATCCAGCAGGTGTGCAACGTCCTTCTCCTTGAGCGGGTTTGCGTAGGCAAGGAGCGCGTAGATGTCTGCCAGGTGCTTCGTCACCTCCCGCCTAGGGTCGTTCTTGAACTCGGCGTGAAGCTCCTGGCCGTAGAGCAGAGTTGCTATCTCGAGCTCGTTGATATCGACAGTTGGTTCGTTGGAATCTTCAGTGTCCATCTGATCCCACGTGCCGTTCTCGTTGCCATTAGCGTCAAGATCCATGGCTTGGGCGCCTAGATCACCGCCGTGACCGTTGCTCTTCTTGGATTCTGACGCAGCCCTCATCTCGGCCGCCGTTCGGACCATCTCGATGAACTTGCGACAGCGAAGCCGGAAGTAAACCTGCTCGTTATCCTTGAGAACTTGGGGGTAAAAGGCGTTGGTGTGCTTCAGCGCCCTATCGATGTCGCCTTCTAGCACAGCTCTCCTGATTCCTGCATCTTGTCAGCATATGAACAACCTCCTCACCCGGAGCTCGACTCACTCTGCCGCTTATTGGCATGCTCGTCGTCCTTAACATTAATTCCTTCAATGGGAGCATTCGGGTCAAGACTGAGTGCCTTCTTTTCTGCGTTGATTTCCTCCGCGAATGCCCTCGCTGTTTCCACATAACCGTCATGCTGCAAGAATTGCAGGACAAGCGCCTGTATCAGTTCTGTCTCGTTCATTGCTGGCGCTAAGCTTGCTGTACTTGTCTCCGAGATCTCTCTCTGGATGCGCTCCTTTTCTTTCTGTTATGGCAGTAAAATTAGTGATGTTCTCCCCAACAGTGACGAAGATCATTTGTATTGGCATCACAGTAGGACACCACTGTCATGCATCCGTAGTGGAACACAATGGCCGCAGCTCTGCGACCGACAAGTGTCAACCGCACGGGTTACTGCATAAAGCAGCATGATCGTAAAATGATAACCAAATGACAGCAGATTCTGAGAGTAGAGGCAAGAAAAAGACAAAACTGACCGTCATCATGCCCTCAATGTCGAAAACGAAGGGTGTTTGGCCAAAGTTGACACGAACATGCTCTCCTGACCTCTTAAGACCGACCGTTGGGTAGAGACTGCTGCCCTTTCCGATTTCGCGGAAAGCAGTGCCTAACGAAATGAGTCAGCCATAAGTAAGGGTGAGAGACTGAAATACAATCCAGACATACCCAACATGTGGCCGTTCTTTGTGAAGAAAGCACAGCCAGTGCGAAAGTTGATACCACAGCCGATCACATCAGACGCAGTGAACGGAGGCCCATAGTTCTTACCGCCATTCTGCCCAGCGTAACAGTGGCCATCGTCGCTGTGGTAGCCCCACGAGTCCGGCTCCCAGCCTGGAGGTCTCGAGAGGGCCACCGTCTTGGCTGAGAACCCGATGCCAATCGTCATGCTAACCAAACGTCAGAACACTTGTCAGGGATCCTGCAACAGAGACCAAAACCTACTCATCCCTTTTGCCAGACAAAACCTGAACCTCGAAGTAATAGATACCGCATTGTGGAGGCATAGGGTTGTCTGCACGTATACTGAACGCCTCGTGGTCCCGCTCCGTCTGGCCCCGGGGCCCAATGTACCGAACTTCGAGCCCGTCTGAAAGAATATCGAGAGCACCGTACTTGTCGTCCCTATTCCACCTCGTAGGTAACGGGGTAAACGCCTCATCGTCCTCGAACGCGGTAGCCTTTTCAATGACGTCGTAATTCACTCCTCGATGGGAAGTCGGCTTGCTGTGAAGACTGACGCTGCTCGCGCTCGTCGTCAGGTTTCCGCCGGGCTGTGCCTGGGCCGTCTGGGACTCCTTCTGCGCCTGTACCTTTGCAAAGTGCGCCTCCTCTAGCCGCTGTACGTATGTCGATCCAGTCAAATACGATGGCACAAAGAAACCGCCGTGTCCACTTGCGCCGCCTGATCCCCCATTCTCGCTTGACGAGTTCGTCATGAACATATCAAAGACCCTCGAAAAGGACGGCAGGTTGTTGGCACCCCGCGACAACCGCGTGGACGCGCCGTTCAGACTGGCACCATTCCTGTCTGCGTCCATGTCGCCGCTCCTGCTCGAATCGTGGTAAGCCGAGGCCGGCTCGAAGGTGATGTCGTCGGAGTTGTTGAGGATCTGGGAGATGACGGAAGTTCGGCCGGGATGGGAGAGGTAGGGCGGGTTATGGTTTGGTGGTGCTCCGGAAACGACTGAAGCGTAGGAAAAGCGGCGCGGCAGAAGACCAGAGCTTCCCGCAGGTGTGTTTGATTCCGTGTAATGTGCAGAACCATGGAACGGGTTCGTCATGGTGAGGGGTCGAGGTTCGTAGAGGGGTCGACCAGGTCGCGCACCCGTGACGTCTCGTAGGCAAAGAGGAGCTTCGCAATGCCCCCGAGAAGCCGCAGTCCGAGCTTCTTAGGATGAGTATCCGGTGGCAGGCGTGTCTCTGTCTGGGTATCGAGTGATTGGGGTCTCGGATGGGTCTAAAGGGTGGTCGGTCTGAGTGACGGGACTTTAGTCGGGGGTCCAAGGAGCAATCGGGTTCGGAATGGCGTGCTAAGACGGAGGTTCAGATCGGTCGAGAGGCACTACTATGATGTGGTGTGGAGATGGTTTGCCGGGTAACGGTGAAGTACCTTGGTCAAGGTTAATTCCGGCGTACCAAATGAAGTCAAAACCAGCCGCGCGAGACGAGTCGTTCGTTCGGAAGGGGGGGCTAAAATGCGGTGCTGGACAGTTCGATTATCATGATAACGCAGTGATGAGAGATCGGAAGATGGGGGTTGAGTGAGGTCAGGTCGGGGTGCTATCGCTGTGTGGAGACGTGGGCGGCACACAGGTGACAGCGTGAGGTGAGGTACCGGCAAGGAGCGGGATTGCTGGCGAGGTACCTTTGGTTACGTGAGGTCGGGGAAGAACAGGCCAGGCAAGGTTGGTTGGTGTTTGTTGGTGGTGGTGGTGGACGGAATGTGTGGAGTGCGTAGGTAGGTGCGGTAGCGATGCGGTGCGTTGCAGTGACGGAGGTGAGGTCCAGCGTGCGGACAAATGATAGGCGCCCCCGGGTCAAGACTGGAGAGGGCCTGGTGTGCTGCAGTGTTTGGCTGAGGTGCAGTGCTGGGCGGTATCAGTTACTAAGTCTATAGAAGCTCGAGCTAACTAAAATAGATCGCTATTTCTATATACTAGCCGTAGCCAGCGTAAAAGCTAGACCTTAATCCTTTATACAAAAATATAGACTATTTATATATCTTTTATTATAAAAAATAATATAAAACTGCTATAATAACTTTAATATTAAAGATTATATAATTTTAATAATAGAAATCGATAAATTGAGGTAAATTTGACCGTATAGTAATATTTAGGTTAAAGTATATTAAAATAGTCGTTATATACCTTTTATAAAAAAAATTGGAAAATAATTTTAATATAAAGATGTTAAAGTTTTTTTAGCCCTTATATAATTATATATAACTTTATATAACTAGTACGTATCTTAAGCCTAATTTATATACCTTCCCCGGCGTATATATAGTAAAATCCTTAGCGCTGCGTAATGGTGGTGGCTCGAGCTTCTGTAGACTTGGTAACTGATACCTGCTGGGCTGGGCTGCTTAGTTAGGTAGGTTGGCTTGGCCATGTTCCGAGCGTGTCCCACCCGTCGTCCCAGTGCAAAGACGCCGCTAATACCTAAGCATGGAAGGCAGGGCATAGACAATCACGAGAGCAGGTCACTGTTAGAGGCTAACCCGCCAGTTGAGGCGCCAAACGGGGTGGCCAGTCGCAGCTGGACGCAGCCGCAGGATCCCCCCTACTGCAGGCGAGACTTGTCAGGGATCATTGGCACGGTGCTATCGGTGACTAGCTTGGCCAGTCACTGTGTAGACCGTACTCCGTAGAGTCAAGAGTGTGCCCGTGGACTGTCGATAGAGCAAGGTATGTTTGCGCTTGTCTTGGAAGCGAAACACGCGGCTCCAGAAGGAAGCATCTCCGGATTGCGGTTGGCAACATGACGGGGCTGTTTCTGCAGGAACTGGTCTCATTTACAATAGGTATAACTAGGTACGTGGGCATAATGTTTGATACACTGATGAACAAAGAAGCCCTTGGATAAGGTAACCGAGGCGTTCGTTGCAAGCCGGACTCAAAGGATGGGGATGGGGGAGAAGAAACGTTGTCGTCATGCAGTGAAGAAAACACTGTGCTCCGCTGCCGGGGAATAGCGGCCAGCCTGCCAGCCTGCGTGGTGCCAGGTGCCAGGTGCCTCAGTTTCCATCTAGGTTGTCTGGGCTCCCTTGCTCCTCCTCCATTGCCGCACCTTAGGTAAGGTAGCTAGGTACCTTACCTTACTCAGCTGGATCCAACAAAGCTTGAGACGTACGCTTACCTAATGTCACGTGGACGACACCAACCACCAACGTCCCTTTTCCCGGCCATCCTCCATCACAAAGAGGCAAACGAGCTGGATGGGGGAGGGAATCATGAAAAGGGAGTGACCAGTGCTTTTTCTCCAGCACACTTTCCCGAATGGTGGGTTCCCACATGCCTCGCTGAATCGCATCAGCAACGCCTATCCGTGCCTACCTTGCCGACCGTCACACCCGACGCGCTGGCCGAGCAGCATCATCATCACGACGATTTTACGATGCACTCGATCCAAATGAGCAAAAGAGTAAGACGCTGACCGCGCGGCATGGCCAACCAAGGGTGGATCAATCGCCATGGTCAGTGCATACATACTCAAGGCACCTACCTGTCCAAGCCTTCAAGGTCTTTATCTTCCCCAACCAGAGCTCCTCAGCCGAAAGCACTTCGCATCCATACTTCATCTCTGGCCCAAGTGGGACTTTTTACATCCGAGGGTCTCGGCACAACCTCACCTACTAACCCAGCCGGCTCCTTTTACCGAGTCGAGCCCCCTTCAATTACGATGCATCGCGCACTCAAATTAGTTAAAAGTCCATGTACTACTTGGAATGGCATCAATTCTATGTCCGATGTTCGTTCCAATGCATGCGCCAACTTCATAGTATACGCTCTGTGCCTGTCCAGGCAAACGCCGTAATCCCTATGGCAGCTAACGCGCTGAACCATGATACCGTGTTTCCGTAACGCCAGCGGTCTAATGCCGCGCAATGAGTTCTGATCCAAAGACTGCATGGACCATATAAGCCTTGGCCAGATATTGCAATCATTTTCCCTCCTGATCCTTATAACTCCCAAGCTGTTCGGAACGTTTGTCGAGGGCCTTCCTCGACATGCCGACGTCCCAACGCCTCCCGACGAAAGAAAAGTCGCATGCGATGACGCTGCTACTAAGCAGCAGAGATGGCCATAGGGGCCGGTGAGCTAGCCGGAACGCTGCCGGGCGCGCTCCGCATCTCGACGTCGGCGCCGCTGTTGGCGTCGCTCTTGATCTGATCATTCTCCTTGTTCTCCTTGGTGCTGCTATCGGCCGAGGCGGCGGCAGAGTCCTCGGTGGTGGACTCCGGAACAAACTTGGGTGGCGCGGTCCATCGAGGAACCTCCCAGACGATACCTGTGAAGCTCTTGAGGACGAAACCGCCCCTCGCCCATTTGCGGCAGGGCTTGCCGCTTCGGTCGAGAGCACGCAGACCGGCGTTGATTGCACCTTGGTTGGCCTTGGGGCCCAGCTTGTATCCACCGGCACCGCCGCGGGCGTTCGGGTCGATAGTTCCATCCTCACTAAATGATGCTGTTAGCAGGGAGTCTATATAGGCAGTGTGCAATTTGGGTTGACGTACAGTCTCGCCTTCTTCTTAGGGCCAGGCTTGCCGCGGACCTTGGGCTGTCCGTCAGGGCCAAGGCCATTGGCAGCGGCAGCACCGCGCTTGGTACCCTTCTTCTTGACTCCCTCGGTAGGAGGGCCCATGGACGTGGGTGCTGGAGTTCCATCGCCAGCGGGCGTGCCGGGGTTCGAGTCGGACGCAGTCTCACCATTCGTGACAGCAGGAGCTGGCAACGTGGCTGATGTGGCGGGTGAATCTTGCGCTTCTTGTGTCTCCTTGTTTCCATTCGTCTCCTCAACGTCCATCTTGACGGGCGAGTCTTCCTTTACATAGCTGGGATCGAGGGTCCGCTTCAATTTGTCGGCGTCGACAGTCAGGGTGATAACGAGGCCGCCCTTGCCTCCATTGGACTTGCGGCGACTGACGGATGCGGTGGGTGCCATTTCGAGATGGGTTTGGGCGGGCTGTATGATGATGGATTGGGTGGTGAGGGCGAAGACTGATTAAGCGTAGGAAGGATGGGTGAAGAGGCGAAGTTTGGCGGCGCGGCGACAGGAAGCTTAGTAGGTAGTGTTGGCTTTGTCGGAGATGGCTGCTTTGATGAATGGGGTGGCGGACGGGCCGGGCATCCAATGGGCCTCGAGTTGTGATCTGGTGGGTAAAGGACTGGGCAAGGTTTTGGGCGGTGGTACGTGTTGGGTTGGATTGTGTGGTGAGCGGTGCGGTGCGTTGCGTTCTGTCCTGTCTCTCTCGTGGGTGGTGGCAGATTATTTCGCGTGGGCGAACTCGCACAGTCGACGGCGAGGCAAGGCGGTGATGGGCGATGGGCGATGGGGTTTGGCGATGGATGGAACGGGAGGGTGGATGGGAAGATGAGAAGGGGGATAGAGAGAATTTTTATTTTATGGGGGAATCCATCTGGTAAGTTTGGCGTCTCATTTTCGAGAGAGCGCCAGAGCAGGCGGCGTGACAATAAACGGTTCTCATGCTGCCTGGGTTGGGTGCGCGGTGGTGCTGGGTGCGTGGTGCGTGGTGCGTGGTGCTGGGCTCCCGTTTCTCTCTTCGCTCAAGAATTGACCTCCAGCTTTCGCTTCCTCTCGCGCACCTGCCACAGCGCCGCAGTTGTGGGTAAGCGAGTGGAAGACCCGACCAGTAACATGGGGGGGCCGTGGCCGGAAAGGGATGTACGGGTGGATTTTTCTCCCCCTTCCAGAGGTACAAAGGTACATCCAATCCATCCAAGATCTCACTCTACCACCTTACCGAAGACCTCAAGGTAAGGTATGACCTACGTACACCGTACTGCGTGCCTTGCTCAAAATTGAAGGGAAGCCGCAAGGCAAAGTTTCGTCTTTGCCATCCATGGATCTTGGAACCATTCCTGGATCATGTACCATTATACGTGCAACTAACTACCTAGGTAGGTACGGATATCTGGGCAAGCACGAACTGGAAGTTGAACCTCAAGGGTAGCAAGGCATAGGTCAGTAAGGTACGTACCGCGGCACCCTCCGCCCGTCGGCCGGGGGCCATCCACGCACCGCGCTCCCTCACGTCAATCCCGACACCAGGGCCAGCAAAACGTGGACTTATCGTCCTTGCTTTGAGCCATTGGTCTGGTTTGACGATGCGTGTAGAAGGCACGCTGGGCTGTGTCTGTCTCGCTGCATTTTTGCATCAGTTTGTTTAATTATTCCCTTTGCCCCCTTTCCCCATTTCGCCATCTGACCTCACCTCAGCAGGAAATTCGGGATGAGAAGCTCAGTAATATCCACACCAGACACATCCATCCGCACACACACACACACCCACCACACCTTAGGTTCCCCTCTTCCCCCCCTGATTGCCTTCATCTCTTCTCGTCAGGACCGTCCGTAATGATTCCCGTCCTTTCCCCGGCCCAGTCCTTGACTTTTCCCTCACATTCTGCACATCCCCGTGCCTCAGGCGATTGTCCATCCATCGTCTATCCGCATCCTCCCATCCATTCATCCCGACTGCTTGCCAGGGCAAAGGCGAAACACTTTACTTTCGCACCTCGCGACAAGGTCCAGCAGTCTATTGCCCATTTGGGCAACGCTTGACTCGAAGATTGGCGATAGAACGCTACCTCTACTTCTTCTCCACACAAGACGTCCAAGTACACCGGCCGATGATCCATGACCCTTTCATACTTTATGTACTATCGCAGATTATTTCCCTCAGCCTTCAGCACCATGACACAATCAGCACTGCCGCCGCGCCGCCTTGGTTATTGGCATTCGGGTCATTGTCTCGTCCCCCTCGTCGGCGATCGATGCATCACGCACCAAGTATCCAGCCCATATCATCTTCTGACTTTTCCCGTGCGGTATTCCCAGACCAACTGAGAGAGCTGCCAAAGGCTGCTGTTGTCATCGTTGGTGCGAAAACGCCATGGAGTAAAAATCACTACGGGATCTACGGAAACCGGGTTGTCCGTACTGGCAGTGGCACGAATGGGTCGGCGAGCGAGGATCAAGGCGACAGAAAATTCGAGTCTCAAACTAACAAATCCTCATCAGACCCGATGTGCTCAGGTCTGCGCTTGGTTGGCGCACTACGATACTTGTCCAGGTCGGCCCAGAACTCTGAATTGGTGATGGCGACCTGCAGGCTCCCAGCTGAGCCTGGAATCCCCTTGGATCCCTCGTTGAGGCCCGAACCTTAGTCACCCTGGGATATCTCTCGTCATCATTTCGCCTTCCAGAAGTAAACCGTGTCCGCTGCATCAGAAGACCATGGACGCCGATGGACAATTGTCAGCACACGAGGTGATGAGTTGTGTTTTTTACTCCATTGACACGAGCAATCATGACAGGAATCCCTTGATGCTAGTGCACTTGGAGGAAAGGACCAGCAAAACGACTGCCAGGCCCATCCGAGATGGACACCTTGCGAACGCCGATTGCTTTTGCACCAGTGCACGTTCAGATTGGACCCTCAACGGGCATTGATAAGAACGGCTGATTGCCGGAGGCATCCTCACAACCTGCCTTCCTCATTTCGACACCGGGTAAGTCATCAGAGAGGTTATATCATGTCTCACGATGCACTCGCATGGACTGTTTGGTATGGGACCTTCTGGCATCAGAAGTTCTCGCGAAATGATTATGAAAAGGCATCTATCTCATCACACCGGCTTCTCGATATACTGCGCGCAAGAGAACCTCGTGAGACTGGACCTCGGGAAGCCCTAACGATTGAAAAAAGGGGGCCAGCGAGAACTTCCCGCGTCTGCCGTGGCCTCACTTCCCTGTCATATGGGTTCGAAAAATGCTTCCAACGGGAACCCCCAACTCCAATCCCACTTGGCGAGAGCCAATCGTGCTTCAGGATCCCAAACAACCCGACCCGACACCAGCAGAAGTTTAAGGCCGGGTGGTGCAAGCCAGGATGGAAATGAGGTCAGAGCTCAGCTCCGATCAATCCGTACAAAAACGTACAATGCCACACGAACGAAAGAAGAAAGACTCCTCCGTTTCACAGCACACCAGAGCTGGTCATCGCCAGTCCAATAATGGTTCCCCAATCAAAGTAACATTCAACCGGCGTGTTTCTATCCCTCAAACCCCCAACAAGCTATTTGGGAAGAGCATCCGGTGCCCGTTTGATGCCTGAGAAATGCACGAAAGCCAACCCGTACAATCAAGTAGATTGCCTCGTTTCATCAGATCCGTGCAGCCGCTGTCGACGTTCACCACCGGTATCCCCCAAAACCACGATTTATCCGTTCGCAATGGCCTGTCAAGGATGCTTGAGCTGCTTGCTCCACGTGCCGAATGTCACCCGGCAGCGAATCATCACCGCCAACAAGAAACGGAACCTCCATCGTCATCATTCCAAAGCCAAGTTTGTGCGTGCATCCTGAATTTCAACATTGCGCCTACAGCGCCCCATAAGCAGGAGAGTATCTTCGGGCGGGGGCACATTCATCGCCACGGCCAGTCTAGCCGTGCGATTGCCTACTCGATTCAATCATCCATTGTCTCCGCAGGCCAAGGAAAAGACGAAAGAAATGGATAGTGAACCAGGCTATGGCAGTCCTATTAGCAGGTTTGCCTGCTTTAGTATTGAACGTCACTTTTTGGAAAGACACAAGCGTTGTTTCCCCCTACTCACGGTCGCCGTTGATCCGTCAATGACCGAGGGATGATTTACCTTCGGAATGCATCTGCATCAGCGGCCATTGAATGTTCTCTGGAATGCGTTGCTATGTTTACATTGTGTGCAACGCCACCTAGCTATATCATGAGCTCGAGAAGTCTCGAGACCTTGTTTGAAAGAGAAACCATCTCTTACTCACCTTAAACATTCCAAGATGCATCTTATCAGCAAAATTTTATACGTCTACGTCGCTTTACACGTCGCCTTCCAGGGCGCGTCCGGCGCAATTCTCCGGGGACGAACTAGCGATGCCGATTCCAACCAGCTTTCAGCAACTGATTTCCAAACTTTGAGCCAGGCCGCGGAAGATCTGAACAGTCAGCTGGATAACTTCTTGCGGAACTGGAACGGCGGTCACCGTAAACCCGATATCGTGGAAACTACAACAACCATCGCCAAGCGGCAGGCCAGCGGCATCTCGATTTCTCCGCAAGACCTTCAAGATCTTCTGAAGCTCATCCAGTCCATCGAGCGACAGTTGGCGGCGATAATCTCTGGCGGCACCACGGCTAGTGGAACCGCGGCACCGGCTCCTTCAAACACTGTCAACAACCCGGGGCCGGTTGCTTCGTCGCCAGTGCAGTCCAACGTCCAGCCCACCGCCACCGGCAATGGTCCGGCCAACCCAGGTGTAAGTTCTCCTACCCCCAACCCCGTGCTGACGAACACAGGAGATGGCGGGCCGCTTACCACGGCATACGGAACGTCCGTCATGACCGGTACGAGATGCAAAACGACGGTCACTCAGACTTTCACCGAGTATGTCTATGAGGACGGGACAACGGCCGTGCCTCGGGCTGGCCGATCAGTCGCGGAAGACGACGGGGCAGATGACGAAGAGGATGAAGAGCGTTGGGTCACTGCCACCATGCCTCGAGACACTGAAGAAGACGACGACTGGGAGCCTTGGGTCGAGTTCGACGGGACAACCACTGAGCAAGACGAGTCCGATGTGGGCTTCACGACGCGCGATTCCTGGATGGAACTGGGAGTCAAGCGTCGTGGTCCGCTGGACGAGACCAGTGGCCCTGGGCTCCTCTTTGTTCGCGACGAAGAGGGGATTTGACGATCGGATGGTTTCTTAAGGTAGGACTCGTCGCTCAAATGGTATGACCCGCCTTGGCTCACGTTTCATAGTACACGACGATAGAGGGACCGTTGACGGATGAAGATGGACAACGACAGATTATGATGGACGAATTTCGGATAATGAGTTTCATGACTATTTACGACATTCATTTGGCATGAGAAGCATGTGGCACGAAGAGGATGCGAGGAGAGATAGATATGTACGCTGTTTCTTGTATTTCAACTCCCAGAACGGCAACGGCTGGGAAATTCTTGGACCGGGTTTTGTGTATCGTCCCTTCAACAGGCGGCGAGCACACACCGGATGAAATTATTACAGAAAGCACTCTCATTTCAATGCAACACTGCAGAATTCCCTTATCAGCTTAACAATTATCAGTCTCATTTGTGTGTGAAACCTGTTAGCGTCTCAGTCCCCAAGTTGAAGAAAAAAAGAGTCCGGGTCCGTGTGCCAAGAGGCCGGAACGGTTCCGGCCACGCCGGCAATAATCGGTCAATAAGTGGGGCTAGAGAAAGTCAATACTCGACCACCGCTCCAGTCCCCAGCGCGCCTGCACCGGACCTGCGAGAACCACAAAAACTCGGCATCTGCAACAACAAACGACTCGTCGACGTCCGATAAAACTTTTTAGCTCACGAAAAAAAGGAAGGAATACATGTAAGGTCATCAGGGTGTGATACGCGATGTGGGCAGGATCCAGGGTATGGCGGACCAGTGAGGTGTAGAGGCATTGTGCTTATCATGGCTGGAAGGCCGGAGTGCAAGGTCTTGGCCAGCATGGAAGAGAGAAGAGGGTGGGAGCAAATCTCGGGTCTGGCTATCTAGATGACCCCGTGTGACCAGAGATTAGGATGATATGACAAACAGAAATAGGGGACGGACACGGCGGACGGGGTGGAGGGAAGGGGGGATTCGTGTCATGGCCGGAGTGCACCCCCTCACTTGAGGCCGGAATCGATTCCGGCCACGAACTATATACACGGCGCCGAGTGGCGGGAGGGCAACGAAACAAACTTGCACTTCAACCCATTCAGCACCTTTGCACTGAGAAGCAACTGAGCAGCTCGATTGGAAATTATTTGGCAAATTTTTTTTGCGAATTTTCCGCATCCTTTTACATACCCATCTCACTTACACGCACCTTATCGAAGCTCGTCTGAGTCGACTTACACCAACCCAAATCTCATCTGTCCCCTTGCCCAGACATCAGTCGCACTTACACACACACAACCACACCATCATCACTCCATAACCCACATACAACCAACCCATCCCAGACAACCCACACACCTTTACAACCCCCTATCCCCACGTTTTCCATTCAACCTTATCCATCACAATGGGCTCAATCGACTCCACCCCCTTCCCCGTCCTCGACGACCCCCGCGCGTCAGACACCTCCCTCCCGGCCTTCATGGTCTCCACCACCCGCGGCTTCCTCCCCCGCGCCGACCCCGTCGCCGTCCTCCCTGCCGAGTTCGCGCCCCTAGAGGACATTCTGGGGCGCATGCCCGTCAAGAAGCTCGACGGCACCCCCGGCCTCCTGGCCTCCTCCAAGCTCGGCGAGACCGTCGACGCAGAATTCCCGGACCTGACGGACGCCATTGACAAGTACAAGGACAACCTGCCGCTCATGAACGCCCTGTACCGCGACTACTCGTTCCTCGCGTCCGCGTACCTGCTCGAGCCCTGCCACGAGCGCTTCGTCCGTGGCGAAGGGTACGGGCTTGCGAGGGACGTGCTGCCGAGGAACATTTCGATGCCCATTGCCCGCTGCGCTGATCTGTAAGTGTTTCCTCTCTCATATGATGCTTGGGCAAATCAAATCTAACATTTCGTCTTTCAAATAGCACCGGCTTCAAGCCATGGATGGAATACGCAGGCTCCTACGCCCTCTACAACTACCGCCTCGAGGACCCCTCCAAGGGCATGGAATACTCCAACATCCGCCTCATCCGCGCCTTCGAGCAAGGCCTGGACCCGACCTCCTCCGAAGCAGGCTTCGTCCTCGTCCACATCGACATGGTCAAGAACACGGGGCCCCTCGTCAAAGGCACAATGGCCGCCCTCCGCTCCTCCGTCCCCGCCACCACCACCTCACCCGTCCCCGTGCTGGACCGCGCAGCCCTCAACCGGGGCCTGTCCGAGGTCCTCGCCACCCTGCGCAAGATCAACAACACAATGGAGACCATGTGGGACAAGTCCCGCCCGCAGAGCTACACCAGCTTCCGCACCTTTATCTTCGGCATCACCAGCCAGAGCATGTTCCCCAACGGCGTCGTCTACGAGGGCGTAAACGACGACAAGCCAATGTCCTTCCGCGGCGAGTCGGGCGCAAATGACTCCATCGTGCCCCTGATGGACAACCTCCTCCAGGTGCCCATGCCCGACACCCCGCTCACCGAGATCCTCAAGGATTTCAGGTCCTACCGCCCCAGCAACCATCGCCAGTTCCTCATGCACGTCAAGGACCGCTCCCTCGAAGTCGGCCTCAAGGACGCCGCGCTCTCGACAAAACTCTCCGCCGACAGCCTCGGTGCCGAGGAGAAGGAGGCGGTTAAGGAGTCTCGCCGGTTGTGGCTGCTAATCCTGCACCAGGTGCGTGATTTCCGCTGGCGGCACTGGTGTTTTGCGAGAGAGTACATCCTCAAGCGCACGTCGCACCCGACGGCGACGGGCGGGAGCCCGATTGTCACGTGGTTGCCGAACCAGCTCGAGGCGATTTTGATCGAGATGGAGGATTTGTATGGGGCTGTGGCTGGTGCTGGCGGGGAGTGGGATTTGGGCGAGGAGATGAGGGATGTGATGGATCTTGTTGCTAGGCAGAAGATGACGCTGAGGAAGGAGGTTGCCAAGTATTGTGCTGAGAGGGGGGTCAACACCGTTCTGCAGGGGAGTTCTTGATGGGGTGTTGTGATGGGGGGGGGGGGGGGGATTGGTAGACAAAGGGAGTGATGATAAGCTGCGGGCGCAGGGTTATCGTAGAGAGGCGGTGTCATGTTGGCTCGTATCTCCGGAAGCATATACAATTTCAAGTAAAAGTATTATATTATTTAAAACCTCTATAACTACCTCGCGTCGTCATGCCATTATATAATGCGACTTCAATGGGCCGCAAGACAACAAATCATAAATCTGGTCATTGATTCAGCGCCGCGTCCATGCTCTTCCTCCACTCGGGGGCCTTCTTCCTCAGTGTCCAGACGCAGATATAGCCCGAAACCCACGCAAAGATGCCCAGTATCGTGAACAGCCACCCGTTGCCGATGGCGTTGATAACGGGCTGCGCCGCAATCGCACCAATACAACTGAAAATGTTTCTGACAAAGTTGTTGACCGCCACGCCGCCGGAGCTCCGTTTGGGCATGAATTCGGTTAGCATGGTCGTGGCGGCGCCACTAAGCAACTGTTAGCCGAAGCCGGAAACGAAGATGAGGTGAAAAAGTAATAATCAGCTATCATTGGTGAGAGGGGGCAAAAAGACTTACAACACGAGCATCGAGCTGGCGCCAAAGGTGAAGAGACCGATACACGGCACAAACCAAAAGAGGCCCTTTTCAACCACCCAGCCGTAGTAAATCAGCGACGCGGGGTACACCGTCGCCGCGATCCAGATATTTTCACGCATTCTGTCCTCGGGCAACAGGATCAGCTTCCCGTCGGCGTCGTACCGGCCCGCCTTGCGCGCCTCCCTCGCCATGATGACATCGAGCCAGCGCCCTCCGAGGAGGGAGGCGAGGAAGTAGCCCAGGCCGGCGGGGAAGTAGAAGAGGCCGATGATGAGCTCGCTGAAGCCGTAGGGGGCCTGTGAGAGCGTCGCCTGGACTGAGATGTTTACGACGAACAGGGCGCCGAAGGTGACGGCGGCGAACCAGACTGTTATGGCGACCGGGGGGAAGCGGAGGTAGAGGAGAACGGACAAGGGGTCGATGAAGGACTTTTTGAAAAAGGCGGCAGCTTTTTTCGAATGGACTTGTACGGATTCGGTTGTTTTTGTACGGGAGAGGGCAATCTTCTCGCCGCCCCCTTCTGATGCCCCTTGAGGCTGCGAGACCACGACAGCAGCGGGCTTGGGACGCGCGAGGGTCTCGGGCAGACAAAACAGGATCATGACGAGGACGAGACCGCCGTAGATGGCGAGCGTCCACATGGTAGACTGCCACCCGAACCGCTGCGCCAGCGCGCCGCCAATGATGGGGGCCAACAGGGGGCCCGTAAGCGGGCCGAGGTAGAAGATGCTCATGGCCCTGCCACGTTCGCGCGGCTCCCAGATGTCGGCGATGGTGCCCGCGCCGACGGCCTGGACGCTGGCGCTGGCGCCGCCGGCGAGGAGGCGCATGACGATGAGCATCTCGATGTTTACGCTGACGGCGGAGAGGATGGAGAAGAGGACGAAGAGGGTGAAGGAGAGGAGGTAGATTGTGCGGCGGCCGAGGGTCTCGGAGAAGGAGGACCACCAGAGGGGGAAGATTGCCATTGCGAGCATGTAGAATGCTACTGAGAGGTTTGTGATTGTGGGGGTCACGCCGAATTCTTTGGACATTTCGGTGAGGGCGGCTTTGAATGTTGTCAGTATACTTCTAGGAGGGGATATGCTTCCTGTATTCTGGAAAGTGATTGTGAAAGTACATACGATAGAAGATGGATGAGCCCATGGGTGAGACGGCCGCGGCGAGGGCGATGATCAAGGTGATTGTCCATTTCGTCTTGTTGGTATAATTATACGGGTTGTCCACTTCCGGGATGGTGGTCAGTCGTGCAAGGAATCCTCGCCGTTTGGACCTGGCGACGATGGAGAGGGCTCGGGAGCGGGTGGAGGAGGCCCGGGACCGTGTTCTCGCCGGGGCGTCGCCGGCTGACGGGTCCCCCTCTCCATCTACCTCCCCGTCCCGCTCCGAGTCGGCATCGGCATCGGCATCGGCAGACTTGCGGGACCGGTCTCCATTCCGACCAACCTCTGTGATTTCATCTTCGCTGTCGCTCGATTGGCTGCTGCTCTGATCCTCGCCGCGGCTAGGGCTTTTGGTTTTGGTTTCTTCTGGCGGAAAAAAATCCTTTTCCGGATCGTGTATTGTGGCGGTCATCTTTCTTTCTCGATGAGCTTTCGCCGAGTCGGTGCCGATATGGATACGACAGGAGAAGGGCGCGAGATTTCAAGGCCAGGCGGAAAATCCAACAAACTACCTCGGTAGTAGTAGAGAGAGAGGAAGGTAAAGTCTTGTCACTTGATCTTCAAGACTCTGCAAAGCCAAGCAAGTAAAAACATTAAAGGGAAGATGGCAGAGAGACGTTCCCAAAGGAAAAAAAAATTTAAAATTTGAGAAGGAAAATTGCCGGGGATGTTGGCCGTATTATGAATCGGGTGTCGTCCGGCTTTCCCACCCCACACCACACCCATCCAGGGCGGGCTGGTCATGTCCATGATGGCGGCTAGCCTCTTCAACCAGAATGTGCTTGTCGGCTACCGCTACCGCTACCGCTACCGCTCCGGAGTGGAGTGGATCGACACCGCGCTCGGCTGTGGGTAGCCGATGTTTCGAGCGCGAGGGGATGGGAGTGAGATGCCTCGGCGATGTTTGCGCTGTATGGTGGATTGGGAGTAGGTATGGCGAGCTTTTGTCCAGTACGCAGCAGCTTTCCCCCTCGTTGGTCGGAGTCATCGAATAAAGCACTTGCGACTGCAAAACTTGAGAAGACACCTAGATTCCCATGTAGATGGTGGGAGGATCGGCACTGGCCGTTTGGTATTGCCGTCGTGGGTCCTGTTTCCGGCTTGTAACCGCTTAGTCAAAGGCGTGAAAGGCGTGATCCATCGGCAATGGGGGTGGTGGTTGATTGAGCTAATGGGGGCATGCCCCGAATCTTTTCGGCTCGCTCCTTATCGAGTGTCTATTTCTTATCAGGCGGAACAGGTAGCTCCCGCCGCGGACTGGGGCTCTGATGTTTCTGAGAGGGTCGGAGGAGACACGTCCAGGTCTTCGCGGGGTGCATAGGTTGCGGTCGCCTGCATGCTTGGCAGCATCCCTCGTGGGTGAGGCAACACCTAAAAGTAGAAGGTTATTGACACTCTGACACTCAGGGAGGTGAGATGAAGGGCGGATGAACCACAGAGTGAACCAGGTTGACGAGAATGGGGCAAACCAGAAAGATTCGACAGTCGCTGACGTTGCCTCAATGTACCTCGGCTCGGAGGGGACTGTCGCGGAATGTCCGACAGCCCAGTGTAGGGAACGGTTGCCAGCCATTTCATGACTCGAGTTTGTTCGTAGTTGCCAGTAAGGTGGTATTTCAACCAACTGCTTATAGAGGCTGAGCCTGAACTTCAAACATTTGGAGTGAAGTTGCGCAATGTTGCATCAGGGAACAAGAATGCCAGTGTCAGATCGGAGCAAAAGGCAAAAGGCAGAGTCTAGCTAGAACCTTTCACTCTTCAGCGAAGGTTGCCATGGCCGCAGAACGTCAGGCTATGAACCACTCAGGCTTCCCGACCACTTCCCCTTTCGACTGATGATTATTCTGAGTAAATTTTTTTTTTCTTTTTCGAATCATCACCCATTCACTGTCATTCTGCGTGTCAGGGGCAAGCAAGCCTTTGGATCCCCGCTCGCTTGACTGGGCGAGAGTAAATGGGCTAGGAAGTGAGCTGCCGAAAAGAGATGAGTGGACAACCTCGTATCGAACGAAGGCTGTCGCATTTCTATGCAAAGTTACAAGTAGTTGAAAGAGACTTTGAATTTCTGCCTCTGGAACTGTAAGGTTGCTGAATTAAAGTTATCCATGTACTTACTATTGGTGTATGGCAGAGTTGCTTCAACTCAATTAAACAAAACTTTGTGCCCAGTCTCACTGACTCCCTCTGTTCCCCTCCGAGTGCGGGGCTCCAAATTTTCATGGCCAAACATGCTGCCCACCGGGTGGCGCACCGCACCATTAACCAGCATACAAGCCCAGCTGTATCGAGTCGCGAATTGACTCACACCGAACTCCCCTGAGCTTGTAAGTGTATCTTAAAGAAAGGGCAATAAGTCATTGCCCTTTCCAGCTCGACAGCACCAGACTCAATACACACAACTTCATTGGATAGAGCCCTTGACATCCCATCCGCTCACAATGTCCCTCACCAACGCCTCCCCCGTCGACGCCGCAAAGGGTGCGAAATCGGCCTCTCACATCCTCGCGACCCTCCCTGCCGAAGCCCGCAACGACGCCCTGACGGCCATCCACGCCGCTCTCGCCGAGGCCAAGGACGACATTCTGGCCGCCAATGCGCGCGACCTGGAGCTCGCCCGCAAAGCCGCCGCCGATGGCCAATTGAGTCAGAGTCTCGTGTCCCGCCTGGACCTGGGCAAGAAGGGCAAGTTTGAAGATATGCTCAAGGGTATCTTGGACGTGAGAGGTCTCGAGGACCCAGGTATGTGACGCTCACTCACCCACCCAACTCACGAGCACAAAAGCCATTCAGCGCTCTGACGTTAAATATAGTCGGCAAAGTCACACTGAGAACCAAGCTGGACGACGGCCTCATCCTGGAAAGAGTCACCTGCCCCATCGGCGTCCTCCTCATCATCTTCGAGGCCCGTCCCGAGGTCATCGCCAACATCGCCTCTCTGGCCATCAAGTCAGGCAACGCCGCCATCCTCAAGGGCGGCAAGGAATCCACCGAGTCCTTCATCGCAATCTCAAAAGTCATCTCCGCCGCCCTCGACGAGTCCCAGGTGCCCAACCCGGCCGTCCAGCTCGTCACCACCCGCGACGTCATCCCCCAGCTCCTCGCCCTCGACGAGTACATTGACCTCGTCGTCCCCCGCGGCTCCAACGAGCTCGTGCGCTACATCAAGGAGTCGACAAAGATTCCCGTCCTCGGCCACGCCGACGGCCTCTGCTCTATTTACCTGACCGACTCCGCCGACGCCGGAATGGCGGCAAAGGTCCTCGTCGACTCCAAGACGAGTTACCCGGCCGCTTGCAACAGCGTCGAGACCCTGCTCGTTCAGGAGTCCGCCCTCGACTCCGTCTTCCCCGCCGCCGCGGAGGCGTTGGTCGCAGCCGGCGTCACGCTGCACTGCGACGCCAAGTCCAAGGCCGCCCTGCAGTCCAAAATCTCTGGGGATGCAGTCTCGAAGGTCATCGACGCCAAGGACGCCGACTACGATACCGAGTTCCTCAGCCTCGACCTCGCCGTCAAGGTCGTCTCGTCGCTCGAGGAGGCGGTGCAGCACATCCACGCCCACGGGTCCAAGCACACCGAGTGCATCCTCACCTCGTCGTCCGACGATGCCGAGCGGTTCATGGCCGCTGTTGACGCCGCGGGCGTGTACTGGAACGCGTCGACGCGCATGGCGGACGGCATGCGGTACGGCTTCGGCACCGAGGTCGGCATCAGCACCAACAAGATCCACTCGCGCGGACCCGTCGGGCTGGAGGGTCTGATGATTTACAAGTATAAGATTCGGGGCCAGGGACAGGTTTCGTTGGAGTACGGTGAGGGAGAGGGCCAGAAGCCGTTCAAGCACGAGAAGTTGGCTTTCTAAGGGGTAAAAGAGTGTGTAGACAAAAGGAAAAGAGAAAAGCATGGGACCAACGGCGTTAGGTAAGCATCGTGGGGATGACGAAGGAAACGAATAAAAAAATTCCGATAATCTATCTGCGTTGTTTCTTTTGGCTACCTTATTGTTCGCTCTGCTCATTCCTAGTAGAAAATGTCGCTGGCAGTCGGTGCTGGAACCGGCCCCACATTACACGGACGTCTCGCCGGTCCGGTATGGTTCCCTCGGCCGGGTGCCGGTTTCTCTTGGTATTCCGCTCGGGTCTATCACAAGCCAAAGGCAGCTTCTCGATTTGATTCATCTTCTGCAGGTCTCATAAAAACTTCTGGAAGAATGCTTCAAGCAACTTAGCAACGCCTACCCCATCTGTCGTACGGGAAAACACCTTTAAACACCTCAGGTACAATAGGTTTTCCGTTTTCATTGTAGCCAAGCCCATCTATGATCTCTGCAAGAAGTCACAATACCTATGAACAATCTGAAAGAAATCGATTCTTTCACTTCTACATACGGATTTGACGAATTCCTCGAGGCTCAGGGAACGGCATGAGATTCCCGAGAAAAAGGAAAAGAGACCAGGGACCAATGGCAAGGCGAGTCGCCGTTGGACGGCTCTAAGCGCCGCCCCTCTTCACCTGACGCCCAAAAGAGTTAGAGACCCTCTCCATCGCGCTCGGCAGCCCCCAACGATTGGACGACGGTCCAACATCGAAAGCTCACCAATACAACTGCCCTACAAGTGTACCAAAGCTGCCACACTTATATTATGCAGGCCAACGGGAAGCTGGGGGAGGGTGGCGGCGATGCGGCCACCTTTCATGGCTATGACAGGGGGGGTGGGGGCAAGCTTGCTGAGCTGCAGGAAGCTCCGCCGGCTGGCGCGTGGAAAGCTCCCTCTTTAATGGCTCTGGACCCCGAGGCGCCCATTGTCTTTTTGCGCGACAATTGTTTTCTTCCCTTGATTCTTGGTCTCTTGAACATTCTGCTCGGAAGCTTCGGCGACTCTAAGATAAGCGACAAAGGGCTTGCTGTTCGTGAAACTCGAAGCTGACTGCACTCGTATCACGAACGCTCTGCAATTGGGCTGTTGGGTGACAAACTGTAAGTGCGGGGCAGGCGATGGCGATGAGGTGGGATGCGACCAGCTTGGCGTGCGACTGACCTGCTGCCAGATCAACTCACCAATTTGATTTTTTTCCCTCGATCTCTCACCTTGTCTTCTTTTACTGTCCGAATCGGCTTCTTCTCACGATAATCCTACCGAAATATACGCCGCCGAGGAGACGCGACATCCCGCGAGACCATGTCTTCCCAATATTATCCCCGTAAGTCCTTCACTCTCACCCCGCCATAGGGCAAGTCAACGAAACTTGCGCTGACCACCACTTCCAGCTCCTCCATCGGGAGGTATGTTGTTCCAATTGCGCGGAAACTCTCCCCGGATGAAGCGCTGACAAGACACTCAAAATCAAGCCCAGCAAAACTACCCGCCGCCACCGCAATCACCTCCCGCGAACCAGACCAAGTTCTCGTACCCTGCTCCTCCCTCACAACCTCAGCGCAGCCACAGCGGGAGCTATCCTCCGCCGCCTCAGCTTTCGCAAGGGCAGTCGCAGAACTACCCTCCTCCGCCGCAAGCTGCCGGGCAACACAGCAACAACTACCCTCCTCCTCCTCCTCAGTCAAGCACGCCCCACAACTATCCGCCCCCCCCTCAGTCGCCAGGACATGGCGCGAGCTACCCTCCTCCTTCGCAGGCATCACCGAGTCAGGGGAGGCCGTACCCGCCTCCTCCCCAAGGAACCACGACGCCCTCGCAGAACCAGGCGCAATACCCGCCACCTCCCGGTCTTTCTCAGCAGCAGCAGCAGCAGCAGTATCAATCACCCCCTCAACAGTCGCCGCAACCCTCCCCTCAGCACCAGCAACAGCACCAACAGACGCAGCTTCCCCTACGACAATCAGGCACCCCCGATTCGCAGCCTCAATTCTCCCCTCCGCCTCCCGCCTTCGACGGACCGCCCGAGGCCTCCAGCCTGCCAGAGAAGCAATACGTGGAGGAAGCACCGGTCGACACGAGCAACCCGTCCAACCTCGTGGGCGGCGCGCCCCCGCCTCAGCACTTTATCGGCGCCACCGCGACTGTCGACGACGTTGGGACCTTCAACGGCGGCAGCTACCGCATCAGCCACCGCGACAGCAATACCATTCTGACCGTCCAGCTGGCGATGGGCTGCCCGCTGCAGGCGAAGCCCGGCGTCATGGTAGCCATGTCGCATTCCATCACACTCAGGGGCCAGATCAAGTTTAGCATGAAGAAGCTTGTGGCCGGCGCCGAGCTGGCGAGCTCGACTTATGTTGGACCCGGCGAGCTTCTTCTGGCACCTCCTATGCTTGGTGATGTGACCAGTCTGCGTCTCACGGGCAAGGAGACGTGGTCGGTTGGTCAGGATGCCTGGCTGGCTTCTACGCAGGGTGTCATCAAGGACTACAAGCGCCAAGGCCTCAGCAAGGCTATTTTCAGTGGCGAGGGCTTGTATGTGTACAAGATTAGCGGTACTGGTCTGCTCTGGCTGACTAGTTTCGGTGCCATTATCCGCAAAGACGTGAGTCCCAGGCATGCATGGCCATATCCGTGGAGCAGCAGCTGACCAAAACAAAGCTTATGGAAGGCGAAAAGTACGTTGTCGATAACGGACACTTGGTGGCATGGAACGTGAAATACATCATGGAACGAGTCGCCTCCGGCGGTTTCATCTCTGGCCTTTCCTCAGGCGAAGGTCTGGTGTGCAAATTCACCGGCCCAGGGACCGTCTTCATGCAGACGAGGAATGCGGTTAGTTTTCGTCAATCATGTGTGTTGTCCAATTTTACTAACACTTCGGGCCACAGAAACATTTCAGTGCCTACTTGTCTGGACAAGCGACCCAAGGCATGTAATGCGATGGACCCTATTTTGGCTCTGACGTATATACTGGCCGCAGTCCTGTTTGCATACTTTACGCTATCTTGGTTGATCATAAGATGGCATCTTTCCCGAATTATCTATTACATATAGCGTGTTAAAATTGATATCCTCTCTTCTTGACGCATGTTCTTTGACGTTCTTGGATTAAAGTGCATGACACAGTGTGTTGTTGAACTGGCTCTGTACCGGCGGTGGCTTGCAACAGCATGTCAACGATGATGTAAAAACGGTGGATCTAGACTTCCAGGCTGTTTTGAATGACTCCTGACTTACTTGGGTACGAAATGGGCGTCTTTCTCAATGATTTCAAGCCAGTGGAGGGAAGTCGTACTTGGTGAGTCCTTCCTGGCAGTAAGAACCATGAGAACATGCAACCTGCCGTTTCCTCACGTCGATCGTGAACTCCTTCTTCCTTTTCACACCTGCTGCACGGAGCAAACTTTCCGGGTAATTCGACAATAAGCAAACACGACCTCGACGCGTTGGGTTTCCCGCCAACCTCCCTCCATCATTCACATCATCCGTCAACATCACACCCATCACCTCAGCTCTCCAATTTTGGACACATCATCGCAGACTTAAGGGCCTCAGCGCATGCTTTTTACATCAGCGAAGAACTTTCTTCACCTCACTTTGGGTTCATCACGCCTGTCGTCTCTGTCTCCTCTAGCGACTTCCGGCTCCATCGTCCTGCTTCGTACTAGGCTTCCGTCGGGAACACTGCCAACCCGATCCGCCATTTTCGACAGTTCCAGCTGACCGAGCGCATATTCTCTACGGTATGACCTCATTACTCCTCTTCATTTCGGGTAAAACTTGTCATTAACAAAGTCGGCAGAAATATGGAGAAGGCAGCGGTGGCATTAGCCTCCGCTAACTGGCGTAAGCCGTTACTTCCACACGATCAGAATACACCGCAAATCAACATGCGTCGGAGACGAGGAACCTCGAGTACTGATACCGAAATCGACGTGGCTGAGATCGCTAGCAACTGGCGGAAGCCCGTGGCCGGTGTCGCCCCTTTTCAAACCGCGACCGATCCCGCATCAAGAGACAATAGTCATGCCTCAACCAAGGAAAGCGGCATGGTTGATGGCGTGACGAAATGTGCCCTGGTCAATGTCGTACCTGTTCATAGTCAGAGCAAGAGTTCCATCTAGAAGAAGGTTCCTGACTCGGTGGTTTTGGACGTTTTTATCCACGAATGCACCGACGTCAACTGCAATGAACACAACGGCATGTTCAACAACGCAGAGATACGCAGCATTAGAAATGCGAACCGTTTCAAATCGCAAACTCGGCCTGATAACCTAGCCGAATTCAATAAGCAATTAGAGGGGGCCGGAATCACGCCTCGCAAGTCTTCTATGACTGATCTTTTACGTCCTTGCAAGCACGAAGAGAGCGATGACTCTAGCAACAAGAACCACTCTCCAGACCTGCAGAGGGGGCAAATTCTGAGTGACTCGGCCGTCATTCACGACCCAGCAATTATCAACATTGGTTTCCGGGACACCAAGCTAAGAAATAGCGACTCCGGACATGATCAAGATGATCGCTTTCAGGGGCTTTTACGGAAGCTCCAGCGGCCTTTGCAAGACGAACAGTCAAAATACAAGGTTGCCAGAGATGGCGGTACTCGTCCAAGACAAGATTCCGAGGATTCTGGTATTGATACCAGAGGACCGCACAAGGCTCGAACTCTCAACCCACTGGCAAGGGAATTTTCCACCTTTACCCCTCAGACATCCTCAGCTACAGCAGACACGGCCGAAGAGAGGGACAGGAAAACCATTATCTCTCTTCTGGAGCAGATAGCGAGCAAGACTTTCAGTAGAGCTCCCGAACAAGATCCGAATGAGATATTTGCCAACATAATCGCAAAGTTTGGCATCCGAGGAACGCAAGCTTTTCCGCCGTTCAACTTCCCCCCCTCTGTGCCGAGACCAATATTGCATCCGTCACTTTTCCAACAAGTCCCTCCAGCATCTCCTAGTCCAGCTTTTGGCCTACAGAACAACATTATGGCACCTCCACTAGGCACTTCGACCCAAATGCCTGCCGTACCATTCAATCCATCTGCTCCAGGTTTTGCACCATCATTTGCACACAACACAACCGGTCCCCCTCCACTGCCCCTCGGTTCACCGTTCAATCCAATTCGGTCGACTCTACCCTCATCTACCCATGGCTCTGATTCAAGCAACGTTGCCCCAGCTATTGCTTTTGCTCGACAGATGGCCAACAGTCCGTCATTGCCTATTCCCGGGCCTTGGACCGCTCCGTTCCCAACACAAACACCGGTACCACACCACGGGTCTGTGTTGAACGCGAATGCTCCTGTGTTCGGTCCTGCCATGACGCCCAGATGCGCTGCCAAACCACGAGTCCCTGACACGGCTGGCCAGCAGAGTTACGAGGCGTACATCGAGTGGCGTAAGGCAAACGAGCCTGGCTATGCCCTTGAATGCAAGGCAAGACAAGCCAAGAGGGCACTTCGACCTATTCCTGGCTGATTCCATGAGTCAGCTGTGGTCTTGTCATCTCAAAGATTTGGCTATGGAGAGCATTGGAGCACAGAGCATACATCAGTGGACGGGGCAGTTTCATATCAGCTGGCAAAGTCTGGCTTTCTCAGATCAATTCTGAACTGTAGTTTTACGGCGAGATATTCTCATAACGATCGTTGGAGGATGGCAAGGGTGTAGGTGCATACAAGGGCAGGAACTTGAAGAGTAGGATTATGTGTTTTGGGGGCCCTTTGATCATTATTGAGGGGCTGAAATCAAGGATATGGAAAGTTGAGCGAGGAAGGGAAGCTTGAAGCAACTAGAACTGAGCTCATGGGCCGACTCCAGCTGTTTGCATTCAATAAAACTGCGTTATAGCTTATGTACGTGCTCATGAGCGTGTTTTCCCCTCCGGCATTGCTGGCCTTGGGAAACATACTGAATACTGGGAACCTCGACAATTGCCAGGACAGCCACCACCACAGCCTACGCGCCTTCCTCAGGTTCACCAGCCCACATCGCAACCTTTTCATCCGATACCCTTTCTGCCTACCACCCGAGCACCCAACATGCCCTCATATACCCCTCCAAGTCCAATTCTGTCACCAGCGCAGCAGGCGCCCTCTAGGCCGGGGGTCAGGTCAAACTGTGGCGTGGTGGTGGAATGGTTAATGGTCAACAATCATTTATTCACACCAACCAGCCTACTCGACGACAGGCTTAGCGAGTACCCGAGTTCGAATCCCAGCATGAGCACCAAGAGATGTAGCCCCCAGTTCAGCACCGGGGAAGGGGGGGGGAAAGGGGGGTGAACTCTTTTGTCAGTTTAAGTCTTTTGATATTTAGTTATCAGCATAGGAGGGAGGGGGAAAAACACGTTTTGCTTTTTGGTATCTGTGTGCAAAGTCTCAATATCTCCCCGTCGTGAAACTTCATACCCGCGCGCTCCAACGTCAAATCCACCAAATACTATATAGTATCTAGCTAGACGCGACAACCCAGACGAATTCTTTCTTTCTCATGAGCTTCCCATCTGTAAAGCCCAGTGGAGTCATAGCCCATAGCACACAGCCCAATTCAGTCACAAAAAAAAAACACACACAAACTTCTCAAATCCTCTCGATGCCATAGGCCTTGGCCGCGGTACCGCCAAACAGGGCGGCCTGGTCCTCGGGCTCGAGGGTGGCCATGTAGCACGTGCGCTCGACGAGGAGCTTCCACTTGCGCCAGGCCTCGTCGACACCGACGGTGCAGACGGGCCAGTCGGAGCCGAACATTGTGCGGCGGGTGCCAAAGGTGGCGAGGACGACGCCGAGCCAGGGGAAGATTGCCTCAAAGATTGCGTTGGGGTCTTGTCTCTTGAGGGAGTCGGGCATCTCGGAGAAGCCGCCCGAGAGCTTCATGTAGGTTTTGCTGCACTTGGAGAGGGCGTAGATGGCGGTGCGCCAGTGGACGAAGGAGGGGTCTGTTGTGTTGATGATGCCGAGGTCGGGTTTGCAGAGGTGGTCTGGTTTGGGGGGGGGTTATTTGTTAGTTGCTGGTCATGAATGGTATGGGAGGTACTCGAGAGGGGGGGAACTGACTGATGACGAACGTCACCTTCTCCTCCTCCGGAACACCCTCGTGAGCGCGGGAGATAATCTCCAACGCCTCGTCGAGCTGCTTGTTGCCGCGGCGGTGCTGGTCGACGCCCATGTCGAAGACGAAACCCCTCTTGCCCAGGAGCTTCAAGCTGTCGATAAAGTCGTCCGTTAACCCCGTGCCGTGCGGCTTATCCTGCAGCAAATACCGGAACCCGCGAATCCTGAGCCAGACGGCGTCGCCCGCGACCGTCTTGACGTGGTCGAGGTACTTGTCCATGGCGGCGGCGCCGGAGGGCAAGGGAGCCCAGGGGACGATGCCCAGGCAGAGGCTGGCGTGATCCGGGCCGTGGCCCTCGCCGTCGCGGGGTTTCCCTTCTGCGATGCGGCGGAGCCAGGAGACTTCCATCAGGGGGAACTCCCAGCCGGAGGCATCGCGGGCGCCGGCTTCGAGGTCGTGTTTGCGGTCTGTTTCGAGGAAGATGAAGCCCTTTAGGTTGGCTGGGCTGCCGGTGGCGGCGACGTAGTCTTCGACGGAGTGTTGCTTCGCGAGGGGGTTCCCCGGGGTCGGCCAGGCGAGGGTCTCGATTTCTTGCTCTGGGTAGAGGTGGATGTGGGAGTCGATGATGGGGTAGTCGGCGGCCATGGTGGGCTTTGGGGTGGGGCTTTGGAAGGGGGCTGCTGCTTGCCGATACGAGTTTCAAGGGAGGTTGAGTGCTTCGATTCGGGGGGTTCGATTGATATCTTTTCGTCTGGGACGAAGATCGAGGGTGAGGCTGAAGACGACAAAAGTTCAGCGTCGTTGTGTTTGTAGGAGGGAGGACGTCTGAGCTAGGCCAGGAGGAGGACGTGAGATCCCCGCACCTATTTCTTTGACATCGCGGGGTTGCAATAGCGACACACACACACACACCCTTGTCTGCCCCACTGCCGGGTCCCCCCTTTTCTGACGTTGTTGGTCCCCACCGCCTTCTTCAGGGGATCTTTCCCCCGAGCACCGACCTGTTGGCGTTTATTGTGTACCTACGGAGTACTAAGATGGGGACGGGAAGGGGACGGACCACCTCCGGCGCGGACACAACGGCATCTTGTACCGGTCTGCCGGCATCAGCATCATTTACTTGCCATTTTCGGCAACTAAAAGTTCACGATAGCATTTTGAGTGGAATACTCGATGAGAATGCAAAACACCTCAGATGAAATGAGATTTCCAATATTGTCATTGACATTCACGTAGCGGATGCACAGTTCAAAGTTGTGTTCAAATGATGAATAGATTCAGATCGGCATCTATCCATAACCGCCTGTGGCGATTATCTTAACTATCTACATGAAAATTGCTTCATGAAAAAGCAGCCTTGCCCGGGAGCTTTCACAAAGCCCAGCCCCCGGCAGCCGCTTGAAAAACGGTCTCATCCCCAGGAGCGGCGGATGCGCTGGCTCCTATGTCCAACCCCTGGGAGTCTAGGTCTCTCGCATTTTCCTCCCTATTATATGAAGGGAAACGCGAGGATGGCTCCGCTGTTGTCAAGTGAGGGAACATGACAAACGAAACGGGTGAGTTTGGTGTTTCACGCGCGCGGCAGCCAAACACCTCCGTCTTACGGGACAGACGGCGGCGGCGGGCCACCGCGCGGCGCGGGGTCGCAGCATCGACCCACTTGGAACGAGGAGAGGCGGGCGGGCCCGAGACCGGCTCGGTTCGCAAACCGCCTTTTCCTCGGTGGATGCAATGATTAGCACGTCGGCGAGCGCGGGGCAATCGCGCGACGAAATGAATGTACGGGCCACATGGGGGCCTTCTATCTTCGTGTATTTGGTGGTTTTCCTTTTGGTGGTTCCCATCCCAGGGCAGAAATTGAAGCTCTTCACCTGACGACGATGCCGTGGCGGCGGGTGGTGGAGGGAGCGTACTCCTCCTCCTCGTCGGACTCGGAGTCGGAGCAGTCGGAGCTGTCGTCGTAGCCGCAGCGGGCGCCGCCGCAGTCGATCTTGACGCGGTCGCCCTTGCGGGTGATGCCGTAGCGCTCGCAGGTGCAGGTGCTGACGTCGGAGCCGGGGGTGCTGTAGCCGGAGAGCGAGGAGCTGGGGCTGGAGCTGTCGGAGCGGTAGGAGAGGCTGGAGCCGGTGGAGGAGACGGGGGAGCCGGAGGCGGAGAAGTCGGTGACGATGTCCTCCTCGTCGAAGCCGGCGGCGCCGAAGCGGGCGGTGAGCTCCTCAATGGTCTCGTCGTCGCAGTAGTCGCTGTTGAGGATGTGCTGGGTGGCGTGGGGCGACATGGGCTTGGGGGCCTTGATCTGGGAGACGGAGAGGGGGCGGCCCTTGGGGATGTCGCGCGACGAGGAGCGGTGGCGGCTTGACTTGGAGTCCTTGTCCTTGGAGGAGTGGCGGGAGCTGCGGGACGAGGAGTGGGAAGAGGACTTTGAGGAAGACTTGGAGGAGCTGGTGCTGCTTGACTTGGAGCTGGACTTGCTGGATGACTTGGAGCCGGCGGGGAGGTCGAGGATGTTCAACTCGCGGCCGGTGGTGGGCTCAACGGTGGAGGCGACGCTGGGGTTGTGGGCAACGTGGTAGCCGTCGATGATGTAGTAGTACCAGTAGCGGGAGCCGGCGGAGAGAGTGGAGCCGCCAAACTTGAAGGTGCCCTTCCATGAGCCGGACTTGGAGGAAGTCTTATCCTTGGAGAGAGGGAGCTGGCCGACGTAGCCGTCCCAGGAGCCGAGCAAGTGGACGGTCTTGACACCGGAGGAAACACGAAGGGAGAAGGAGAGTTGAGTGGACGACATTATTGCGGTATTTGACGTAAAAGGGTGCTGCGATTAAGTGATTTTGCTGAATAATGTGCGTTGAGCAAGAAATTCCAGATTTCCGTTAATAGGGGGGGGGGACAAGTTGACCGGCAACTTTGGTGATGATTTTGCAAAAAAAGAATTTGGGTATTAGTTTGGAGTGTGGATTAAGATAGAGACCGGCTCTATGGAAAGAAGAAAGAACAAAAAAGGGAGGAGGGGAAAAAACGAAGAACTGGAATTAGTTGTTTGATTGCTTGCTGAAGAGAGAAAGAGGAAAGGGAATCGAAGAGGATGGGATGCTTCCATTATATGGTTTGACCGGCCGTCCCAGGAGGCCCAGGAGAGGCCCTAGTTGAGGCCAACACCACCACCACCACCACCACATCTCTCCTCCACCCTTCTACCTCTGCGCTCCCGTCACCTTATTGTTGTTGTTGGTGGTGGGTTGGAGACCGACAGACAGCCACTCGAGATGCGGTGCTACTGGCGCCGGTTCATGGCCGGAGTAACGCAACGGGGGAGAACTTGTTGCTCGTCAGCACAAGGTGTAAGTAAGTGTGGACCGTGGAGCGTGCCGTAGCGTGCAAAAAAATCAAGCGTCACTCGACTGGGCGACCCAATGAGAGAAGGGCTGGGGAGGGCGAGGCTTGTGGATGGTCGATGCAAGCAACCAATATCACACTGGTGATGAGCTCCGCGGGCGACGTCGAAAAGGATCAGCCGGCCGGGGTTCCCCCCTCGTCCAAGAATGGACATTCACGCAACGACTGTGTACTGTGGTTGGCTGTGTGCCCTTCTCTCCGCGGTGTACTGGCAAATAGGAGCCTGAGCAACATTTCTGTTGATGGGGACCATCGTAGCCGTCACCTCTTGTTGCTCGTTGCCTTAGTGGTGCTACCATGAGTTGGCCGCCGGGATGGGCCAGGTCTGCAAGCTGGGCGGTTAAGCATGGTGAGGGGGAGACTGGGAGAGGTTGAGATCACAGAGAGGAAGAGGAGAGAGTGAGGGGTTCCCTGGGCAGCCGTCGGCGAAAATAGAAGAGAAAAGTGGAGCCGCCCGCGTTCCCTCCGATCTTTGCGTGAGATGTGGGGCCGGTCGCTCTTTTCGGCTTGAAATGGGCGTCTAAATCCCTGCCGTCATTGGCCAATAGCCCACGCTCATCGCTCTTCTGTGCCCGGTCGCTCATCACCCCATCACCAAGTCTTGAAGTGATGTGCTGCAGGTCGAGCCAATCAAGACTATCTGCGGGACGATGCAGGTTTGCGAAAGCATCACCACTCACAAGAAAGCTCCCAGCCCTCCTCATTGCTCAACATCGTAGGGTAGTCAAGAGCTGCCGTCCCGCTGGGATTGGCTCGTCCTCGTGCCCGTGAGAGATGAGCAGAAAAGCCACATCTCTCTCAATTCCCGCACGGTATTCGCCCGTATGGCCGCATCAAGCGGACAGTCAACTGGCACACTGCATCATGCAACGAGTCAATATGCATGCCGTCAGCATGTAAATGCGAGAGCTTTTGCTGAGATTGATGTCCTTCCTCATTGGAGTATCCGTATTGTCAGTTGACGTCCCGTCCTCTTTCCAGCCGCTCGACCAGGGAAGAACCCAAGATGGCGCGAGTCGGAAGAAAGGGAAGGGCAAACATGATGCCAGAAGCCATGTTCCTGGTTCCCTGGCTGCCTGGGTGATGTGCAGACCTGTCTGCGTCCTCCGGTTTGCCAGCTGCTTCCCGTACCTGCCTCGACATCGAACCATGGTAGACTTTTCAGAGATCTGGCGATGCAGAAAATTCGAGGTCAGACTCTGGTAATGTCGACAGAGCTAGATGCCTTGGTCGTATAAGTGCAAGCCGGGACGGATGGTAACGTCCAAAGACAACCCCCACAGACTTGGCCCAAAGGGCTGGAGGAGATCAAACACTACCGAGATCCGGAGCTGGAAAAAGGCGCAGAAAACGGGGCAGCGTACTCCTAAAATGCGTTGCTTCTCTGCCTTGTCTGCCGTGGCAGGCTGGCAGCGCGGGCTTGCCCTGGCGGTCTGGCCCTGTCAGTCGACATGGCCGATCGTGGTGCGGCCCGCCAAGTACAAACTGCCGTCCTCCGCCTTTCGGTCGACATCCGCTGCTGCGTCTGCGTGACCCTTGAGCCATCCACACCTCAGAGGATGATGGATGTGAATTGTAGAAACGGCTCTTGATTTTTCCCTTCTTACCATCCTCCTTCGGTATAGTATCCAAGGTGCGTCATCCGGCTCCATGCGTCTCTAGTCTCGGCGGGTATGTGAGGTCCATCACACTGATGGACTCAAATCCCCGCTGACCGGGACGGCAAGCCCGCTCGTGATATTTCCCTCCATCGTATCTGGGATCTGGGATTCAGAAATGCCTGCCGTGGTTCTGGACCGCAAATGCGAAAGGTCCATCGAGATTGTCACTCCATCAAATTGATCAGAAAGCGAAAAGAGATGGCTGTGAGCCTGTGGCAGCCTAGCAGGACGGCGCCTCGTAAGCTGGCTGCAACTCTGGTATATCGGCCTTGTCCTTGATGCCGACAGATGTCCCACAAGCAACTGCGAGCTTGAAGCGGTCTGACCTCAGAATGGTGAGATCGATGTCGGCTGACAAGCTGAGCGCTCACGAGTGTTACGTGTGTTGCAGCATCACAACAGATGGGCCCTTTGAAATGGTGTTTCCCGGACGCTTGGCCGCCGTCCAAGAGATCTGCAATGGTGTGCTGAGGTCGAGGGTGTGTTGTTTGTCTGTATCCTTTGTTGGAGACGGGAGGACCTGGCGGGAAACAGCGGGATCGCCCGTGAGAGGGATACGCCATGTGGACACTGGAAGCGGTGGTGCCCACCTACAGTCGAGCAAGATCACGTGTCGTGTCCCGTGATAACGCGTTTCGCGTCAACGATCTACTTTGGCGCATCGTAACAAAGTCGCGTTCGGAAATTTGTTACATCGCCGCCGGTCTGAGTCAACGATCCAAGGCAGCAGCCCCTCTTTCATCCTCAATCTAGCTAGACGTCCTCAAGGTAAAGAAAGCCCTGTGGAAAAGGTCGGATTACCAATCCATCAGCGAGAAGTCTTGCCCGTTGCCATTGATAAACGCCATCGACGATCCAGTCTCCTTCAGTTCTTTATACACAATCTTTCTCATCTGTGGAGTTCCAAGATCTATCGGAGATATTCCAACAAAAACCCTGTCTTCAACATGGCTCAAACCGCGTCACCAAGCAACGAGGAGCTCGTCTCCGAGGTGACAAAGCACGTCGAGGCCTACATGGCAAAATACGACGCATCCCACGACTTCAACCACATCAAGCGCGTCGTCTCCCTCGCCCACTGCATCCACGCGCAATCGCCAGCCACCCCAGCCCTGGACAAACCCACAATCACCCTCTCCGCCCTCCTCCACGACGTCGGCGACCGCAAGTACCTCCAGCCCGGCGAGGACGCATCCACCCTCGTCTCCACCCTCCTCCGCTCCCTCGGCGCGGCACCCGAACTCGCGGCCCGCGTGCAGACCATCTGCCTCGGCGTCAGCTACTCCAGCGAGATCAAGGACCCGGCGCGCGTCCGGGCGCTGATTGCAGAGTACCCGGAGCTGGCTGTCGTGCAGGACGCTGACCGCCTAGACGCCATTGGTGCCGTGGGTATTGGGCGGTGCTTCACGTTTGGTGGTGCCAAGGGTGCGCGCAGCATGGACGACTCCATCATCCACTTTGAGGAGAAGCTGGTGAGGCTGGAAGGGATGATGAAGACGAATGCTGGGAGGGAGATGGCGCGGGAGCGGACCAAGAGGCTTCTCACCTTCATGGAGTGGTGGCAGGATGAGGCCGGTCCTATCAGCGCCTGAGAGGGCTTCCATTCTTTGCACGGATATGATTTTTCCCTTCGATTCAACTCGATACCCAGCTTTGTTTTTGATATTACAGTCCATGTTTCAACGCCGACTATTACGATTACTCGAAATAAGAACACCCCATCCTCTGAACGCCCGATCCCTCCTTGTTACTCAACTCAGTTCCCTTCCTGCATCACCATGCCCTCCCTCCTCCTCTCCATCTCAAGCCTAACCCGTTTCCGAGCCTGCCTGTACCGCCACGCCCAGTCCACCAACCCAAGAAGCGGCAATACCAGCACGTCCAAAACCCTGATGGACGTCCGCAGCGTAAAATCATCAGGCACCCGATGCCGGCCAAACGACGAGCAGAGCGTATTGACCCAATACAGCGCCACCTCCCTCAACAACTCGCGCCCCTCAAAATTATACAAAAACGCGAACCCGCTCCCGTCCTGGCCCCACGGCAGCGTCTGGCCCCGTAACCTCTTGTCCACCACAACGCCCCAGTCGTCGTCCCGCGCCAACATGAACACCGCGACCGCCCCGCGGCGCATGAGCTGCCTGTCGGGGCCGTCGAACCAGAGGAGCGTCGCAACGAGGCACGCCCAGGGCAGCCGGTCCCGCAGCCGGAAGTAGTACAGGAACGAGGCGTAGAGGTAGGCGACGCAGGAGGTGGCGACGAGGACGGTGATGTCGAGGGGTCCGCTGCTGGTGGTGGAGAAGAAGAAGAAGAGGACCATGAGCGGGTAGGTCGCCATGAGGAGACGGAGCTGGTTCGTGATGGAGACCCACCCTTCCCAGGCGATGGCGGCCAGGACCTCCCAGATGATTGCGGGGAGATCGCCGACGGCGCGGAGGATCATGACCGATACGTGGGTCCCTCCTCTCGGAGGCCGCTGAGCCCCCATCGGTGGTCCGCCCGGGGTTTTTTTTCTTTGGTTTTTGGTTTTTTGGTGCTTGTGGAGCGGGAAGACGTTTGGGTTTCTGCCCGTTTGGCGGTACAGAGTACGGAGAGTGAGATGGAGGTTTTGGCCGAGGACCGCGGGGCCGTGTGACTGATTCGAGGTGAAGATGGTAGTATGAACTGTTGAATTCCCTCCAACTTCTCTCCTTCCTTTTTTTTTTTTTTTTCCTGCTCGAAGGGAGGGGGGAGGAAGGGGGAACTACTTTTCGGAGCTGGCGCGGACTCTAGGGGAACAGCTCAGCAAGAAGCAAGAAGACCAAGGATTGTGTCTTACCTTAGTTCCCTCCCTTAGCTTCAGGACGGACCCCCCACGCAAACGCACCAAAGGGCGCCACAAAATATGATCCTAATCTCCAGTAATAAGGGACCCAAGCGGATGATAATGCTGGCTCTGGTCCCGGTCTTCTCAATAGTCAAAGTGACGTATCCGTAGACAAGAGCTCCGGTTTTTTGTGCCTGGATGATTGGGTTCTCGGTGTCTAGTCATAAAGGGAGCGGGCGTGCCGAGTTATCCTTGACTTGGAAGTGAACTTTCACATCTCGTAGTGACACTTTTTGACAGCTCTCATACCACTATCTCAGTACCGATAAACAACAATTGGTTTCGGCTCCATGAAACGAAACTCGACTGTAAGCAAGAAAGCGGCGGAAAGCGGGCCGGCCGGATGAGGTTGCCATTTAGATCCTTGGACAAGCAAAGTCGGTGAGGATTCCAGAGGGCAGAGGCATCCCGCGTTGCTAGGGTTCTCGCCCTCTTTCCATATGTAAGACATTTCTCTTGGCAATCTTCGAGAAAAGGTCGTATCTTGACCTCAAGTTATGATATGACAGACATTGACAACGGCATAGCAACGGCCTACGGAAAGCGTCACCTGGGTTACTGACAATTGATGTCGGAAGAGCAGCAACGTTGGACATCATTCAACTTGGCTTGTGTACCTAGGCTACTCTGCTACATGTCCCCCTTTATTTCCTTGACCAAGCAGAGTCTAGGTATACTGCCATGCAGAAGCAGCATCAGGCGCATGCTCTGCTACCAAAACTGTTGAAGCTAAATGACACATCTTCCGAATCTACCTACCAACGGCACTTGACATGATCCTCCCGGACTGCAGAGACTCGAGGAAAGAAGTCTTCATCTTAGCTGCAATCGACATGGAAAACGATTTCACCTTGGTGATCGTGTTGCCAACGTCACTCAAAAGTCAGATGCGTTTCCTTCTCCGGTGGTCAGGTATCAAAATACCAAAACATCAAAAAAATAATCCGATCCCAGTTGAAAAAAGAGTTCACTCCCCCTCCCCCGGTGCTGAACTGGGGGCTACATCTCTTGGTGCTCATGCTGGGATCGTATGCGGACTCGAAATCGTAGCCTGTCGTCGGGTAGGCTGTTGGCGTAACTTGATTGTTGACCATGGACCACTCCACCACCCAGCCAGTTTGACCTGACCCCCGACCTAGAGGGCGCCTGCTGGCTGGTGATCGGAATGGAATTGACGGGACCTATATGGGCTTGCTCTCGTGGTGTTTTCATCTGAAAGGTTTGTTTATTCCAGGGCTGGTAGCGCCACGCGCCTTCTCTCACTCGATGCCCCACAACTCTGCCTGCAGATGACCACAGTTTCGTACACTCCCTACCTACTTCCTTAGAATACCTGCCAGTTTTAACGATTTCAGTGCTTATGATAGAAACCCGGCTTGGGTGAAGGCACAGTCACCAGGGAGGCTTCGGCTTCAGCTGGTAACTCACCATCAGCCGGTTTCCATTCAGAACGACCACCCAATCAGAGTGTTGGGATGAGAGGTAAATACCCGACGAGAGCTTCGAATAAGGTACAGGAAGACGTGTAGTATGGTATATATATATAGCAAATGAAGTTCGCACAATGATCTTTTTTGTTGGCATAGCTCCAATGGTAGTTTGGGGACTCGCACCGTTCCTTCTTCCCAGTGAGCACTTTGCTCAACCATGATCGCAACTACCTTTACCTTCCCAGTTCCCAGACTACAGCATCCTTCTTCCTTTCAATCTTCCTTTCCGGAGCAAAATGCCTCCCCCCCCCCCCCCTGAGAAACATGACTTCACACGAGCAGCACACCGGCTGCAAGAGCAATGACTGCGGCGGCGCGAATGTTTTCTGAAATGGGGTTCCCGGCGTTCGGCGGTGTAGCAGTCGAAGTAGGACTAGCTGTGCCCGTCCCGGTAGGAGAGGAAGTCGAGGAGTCCGGCAGGGCATTGGCAGACATGACGCGGTCCAAGATGTGGATGAGTCCGTTGTTGGTTCTGTCACGAGTTATCAGTTCTATTGCCTACAGCTTCGGGTCGAACAGTCAAATGACCTTGTACTACTTACAGGACATTGGGGCTGATGACCTTTGCGTCGTTGAACCAGATCTCGTTGTCCTTGATCGTGACGCGGACAGTTACATTGGCCATGGAGGTGAACTCCTGACCATCCATGAGGAAGTCGCTGTAAGCCGCTTGAGGTAGAGTGTGGAAGCTTTTCCCAGGTTAGTCGAACGAAAGCTTCATTCCTACTTTATGGCTTGCAACTCACAGCAACGCGTTTTTGAGGTCTTCGTTTCCGAGAGAACTCTGAGGACTACCTGCCTCCTTGAAAGCTGCGGTGTTAGGTCCCAAGCACGTGATGTTGGCGGTATTGTCGAGTTGCTTCCACAGGTTGATCTTGTCCAAGGCATCCCCGAGAGCCGATAATGAGCTTGACAGCTTCTTGATGGTAGTAGAGCATATCGTCGGCGCTTCTAGAACACTTTGAAGCCATCAGCATGAGTCTCTTAATGCAGGCCTACAGCATTGACTTACGCATCAACAGATTGGAAGTATCCGCCGTCCCACACCCCGTCGATCGACGTGAGCTCCGCAGTCTCACCAAGACCACCACGTAGGCTTGCGGTGTGATCATCGGAAGAAGTTGCTTGCCTGACTCTGAATTTGGTGGGATTTATGGTGCTCGGCGAAACAAAGAGTACTTGACCCTTAGCATCGTCGCCGTACTGATCGATCATGGCCGGGCCAGGCGTCCGAAGGTTGAAGAGCTCATCTCGAAGTTTGGTCGGAATTGTGATGCCCCTGGGCGCGCTGAAGTTCGAGGCCGTCAACGGGGCATCTAGAGTATGATATCGGAAGACGGTCAAAAGTTGGCTCACGGGAAGCTGCGTGATTTCGCTAATGTTGGCCTGTTGAAGGAACTTGGTGAACGCATCATTGGTCGGCACTAGAAGGGTGACTTTGTTCTTAGTCCCGGCGGTTATGTTGCTTATGATGCTCGGATAGCTGTTCAGAATTTCGTTGAACGTGGAGAGATCGGCGTGGCTTGACAACGCAGTGCTGAGACTCTGCTGGGCCTGCCGCGAATGTATGGATGGATCAATAGCCAAAGCCAGCGGCGCAAGACTGATGACGGCGACAGCGAGTTCTTGGATGGAGCGCATACTTGCAGTATGAACCCTGGACGAGTGACTTATTCAAGACAAACGTGGAGCTCGCGGGCAAATAATCTCAGAGGGCGAGGAGTGCCATATAAGCAGTCGTCTGCTTGCTCCTCAGCCGCACAAGCCAGACGTATGGCTGAGCCTAGCTGAAGATAGTGTCCTTCCAGCTTCAGCGCCAGTGCAAGCACGTTGCCTGCATCGTTTCTGCCACAATGCAAGCCAGGCCAAGCCTGAAAGCCGATCGGGAGGCTAGGGCGGCGGCTTACTATAACACAAGATAGACATTGAAGTGATATAGCGCCACAACAAAGACACTCGGGCTTGGTAGGCGATAAATTCGGGAATTGATTTCAATTTCGTATTCGAAGTATTGAATTGTGGCTGTATACGCACGAAGCGGCACTAGAATCCGTAGGGCTGACGGTTGGCGTGGAAAAGCTGATTCTTGTGGAGCTTCGAGGATTCTAAGGTTCATCTAAGCATCAAGTGAGAGGCGCGCTATAAAGCGTAGGATGCCTCCTTTGAATGTGTTCTCATGCTAAGAAAAAAGTTGCCAGTCCAATTTCAAAAGCGCGGGAAACTCCTCGACTAATCTGTTTCTCTGTCGTTGGGGGTTCGTTAAACGACGAGGGAGGTGCGTCGTCGAACAGATCAACGTCCTTCCTACCACATGGGGACCTTCACAGTGAGATACAGGCAAGACCATGCTTACACTAGCAAGCTTAAATTAATCCCTGCGGCGTAGCCTGCAGGAACCGAGTGGACGCAGGAAGCTCAGAAAGTCGGTGGTGGTTGTAGCAGGCACGTGGTTGAAGGCGCCTTAAAGCTGAGGTGATGACAGCAGCACCTCAGTCATTCGATGCAGTTACCTTGCCTTGTTGGTAAGAGAGAAGCATCCTAGGAGTGGTCCCTTACTCCTTCTTGACTCAAATGTGTCTGCAGCAGGTACTGTTGGAGCATCGACCTTGATCGTAGAACATGTCATGACACTTTCCTTGGGGCTAGCTTTCCATTTCGTTGGCGACTGGAGGAAGTGGTCCTAACAATAGTAGGTCGAGTCGTTCCTTCAGAGGTAGCAGTTGCCATTTGACTTGTCACGAGTGATCCGACCGTATGGAGGGCAAGATGAGGCAGAGATTGTCAGTCCTCGGACTGGCAGCAACTCATTTCACCCATTGGTACCTCGCACGATGGTTCATAAGCACTTACTACTTTTGTCCCCGCAAAAGAAAGGCCGGGACGGTGAGGGTCCAACGCCAAAGTACCTTACCTCAATACCTTGCAATGGAGTCGACGATGCTTATGGATACTGCTTCTCTTGGCAACAGGGAATGCCCTTCTGCCCGGCACCCCGGACGCCTTCGATAAGGTGTTGCTCCCCTGCCAAAAAACCAACAGGACAAGCATTGGCTCCATACTTTCGCCCGAGCTTCCATCAGTTGAAGGTGTGGACAGTGCCATCCTTGTACAGCTAGTCCAACTCGGCGCAAAATCATCCTCGACTGTGACTGGACAATTTGCAGCCTGTCTATGAGAGTGACTGAGGTGTTCAACTGTGCCGCAGTATCAATTTCCGCCGGCGTGAGAGACCGTCTGCTCTGGCAACATTCCCCCGAACAGACCTTGCCGTTAATGGCGCATTGGGGATGGTAATGACGGCAAAACGTATTTCTGCATGCCCCAAGGAAAACAAGGGACACCGAAAGGGTAAGTAAGGTCTGAACACCAAAGTTCCAAACTTTGTACACTATATCCTGCCCACGACGCCTTCCCCGTTTAACCCGGTTCGACGCATGCGCTCTCATGCCGGTTCCTTCCCCCTCCTGGATGCTAGACAAGGCAGCCAAGGTCGGGTGAGTTGAGGTAAGGTGAGGTACGAACACCCAGATTGGCAAATATGGCAGTCACGGCAAGAGAGCACTTGTGATACAGGCAGCTGCCTACCTAATCATTGAACAATGCCCTTGTGTTGCTCTTCTTCTTAATCTCTTCCTCTCAATCCCCTCCCCAATCCATCTCTTCTTCTCCCATCCAACTACATTGTACACATCGTCAAAGTCTTCCATAACTGCCTTCACCACTTACACCAGCAAGCCCCAAGTTCTTTTGGAATCCCCACATCCATTGCCATTGCATCTATCCTCTTCAAGAATTTCTTCGTTGCCAAACTCCTTACCACTACGCCACTTCAACCAGCTCGTCAAAGCACAAACCGCACCAAGATGAGACAGACAGCCATCATCGCTGGCCTCGCAGCCATGCTTCCATCTCCCGCACAGGCTTGGTCTATCCCAGCCCTTCTCGACACCCGCCAGACCAGCCGTCCCTACCAAGACGTTGTCTGCAAGCCTCAGACAGGTTCTGGTGCCCAGCTTCCCCCTTGCGTCCAGATTGAGAACATTGAGTTCGCCTGTCAACCCAATGGCACCAACCCCATCGACTATGAGGCACACGCTCAATGCATCTGCGGGGGTAGCTTCTTCGCTGAGAAGTTGGCCTGCGAGCGATGCCTCACTATTCACGGCCTCCGCAGCGAGCGAAACCTGACATTCTACAGCGGCATCCTTTCATCTGCCTCCAATGTTCTCTGCACAGGTACTCCCACTGCAGTTTTTGCCAGCATCTACTCTGGCATCGAGGCTGCTGCCACTCCCTTGACGACCGGAGCGACTGCCACAAGCGATCAAGCTCCCAGCAACACGGCCATTTCTCTCTACTATACCGCTAGCGGCCCTCAGGGACCTGGCACTATCACTGGTGCAGCTGCGAGTGCTACTGCTGTTACTAGCCGCACGACGACGAGCCCTTCTACTGCTGCGACTGGCTCAGCTTCGGGAGCAACTGGCAGTTCATCTACCCGCGCTTCAACTGCCACCACCGGTACAGCTTCGGGTGCCGCGGCCACGAGCTCAACCGCTGGCAATGGTGCGATGCCAAACTATGCTGCAGGTGGACTCTTGATGGGTGCTGCTGGTATTGCAGTTCTTGCAGGACTTTGAGAGCTTATTAAGAGGCAGTATGGTGGTCATTGTGGGAGGAAGGGCCGGCCTTTGAGAGATGCTTGGTGGTGGAAGTAATGATAACATTGACTACTGTTCACGATTCAAGTATTAATGAACATGGCATGAATGCACTTTGCCCGTCCCCTTTGATTGAGCTGTGACCATAATCATACCCTTGGATCGTGTAACCAGGTGAGACGCTAAATCTACAAATCGGACTTTCTGACATTCAATGCGGGAGTCGCGGCAACGACAGTATTTTGGGCGAGGGTGTCACTCGATGCCGAGGCGGAATCGATTCTATCTTCATAGAGTAATTGCCTTGCATTCAATTTCTAAAGGTTCCTTCCGATAATCTCGTCCGAGCTAAGCTAATAGCTGGGTATACTTGGGTAACGACGGACGTGGGTCATTGGGAGGTCGAGTCGACCCCCGATGCCATCATAACCCTCCAGGTTCTCACGCCAGTCCACCACACCCACAAACTCCCCACACCCGGCTGATCCATGCTGTCCTTGCTCCTCCACCGTCCGCAGCATATAAGTTGGATCCCAGACCCTCCATCCAAGGACCTAGGGGTATATCCCATCTTACACGCATCTCAACTCTGTTGAATACTTCGTACGTCCGGATTTACTCGGGCATGTGCTTGAAAGGCTTTGCCAAGTTCTCCTGGCAGAATGGCAGCTTGCCGACGGTCCAGATTTCAGTATCCTGGAGACAACCCATTAGCCACAGCGTTCGTCTATGCGCCAGCCCGGAACGAAACCACGACAATTGAGAGAGTATCTTCAATCGATACTAGGGACCACCGCTCGACTTACTGGCTTCAGGTTCTTCTTGATCTCGGTATCGAGGGTACCCGCCTTGAGGGCGATGATCTCCGGGGCCGCATCGGGGTCGTGAGCAATTGGCGAGCCACACTCGGAGCAGAAGATGCGGTGAACATCCTTGCCTGACGAGCCCTTGCCCGCCCAGCTCTTTGTAGGGCCGTTGATGGTGAGCTTATCCTTGGGAACAACAGCGACGAGGGCTAATCAGAGTCAGCAGTCGGTACACACCTAGTACACACCCACGTTACAAGCCGAGGGGCCAAGCAAGCCGCTTCCATGCTACAATATTGCGATTTGAGAAAGCAGGAGAGAGCACGTACAGTATGTCGAACCACTCTGGCGCTGGCAATCGTCGCAGTGGTCGTAGCCGGTGATGAGCGGGGCATCGACGTCCACCTTGTAGGTGACGGCCTTGCAGAGGCAGTGTCCCGTAAGAGGCATGTTGGCTATGTAAACCGAGGTCGTAGAGGTACGTTGAAAAAGGTTCTGGGTTCTTCGAGAATAGCAACAGGTTCAAAGTCGTTGAAAGACAGTGCAGTGCAGCAAGACTTCCAAGCGGACAAACACCAGATGGGAGCAAGCCCTTTTTGTCTCTGGCGATGGAGGGGGCGGGGTATCTGGTGGCGCATCAAGTTTTAGCTGGCGACCTCCGAACACCACTTGAGGCGCTGACATATTTCCGACGACGTCACTTACCCTATTGAGGTACCAATCAATCCTGGAGCCAAACCGGATGAGCGGGGAGGAGTGTCCGAAACCGTGGGATGGGAGTTTCCGATGGTGAATTGGCTGCGACCACGACTCAAGCTACGGTATTGAGACGTTGAGGAAAGACTTTCCGATAATTGGCGCTTGTGCTTTTTTCTTTGGGAGAGAAGATGATCAACAGCATTCTCGAGGGAAAACAACTTCGTTTTATACATCCGACGAGTCCTTCGCAAAGCTTCGAGACACCACCCCTTTCGTGGCGGTAGACTTGGGCTCGCTCGGAGCCGGGACATCGAACACAACCCAACCCTGGAAACAAGACCTTGGACGACTTTGGAAAGCAGTGAGGAGAAGGGGTCCACCAATTCAAGAAACGTTTCTGTCAGCGCTGCAGGCCACGGCGATCCTGAGTTCCTTGGCGTTTCTATTCGACCTGCGGGCAGCTTATCCTTGTTGCACCGTATATCAACGAGGGCCTGGATGACATCCTTGCTCTCGAATTCGCTACATACCCGACAAAGTACAGCACAGCACAACGCTAGAATATACCGGGGCCCGGTCAGGATATGTTAAGGGCGAGCGCTTTTCGACTCAATCTGTTGGACTATGCTAGTCAGGCGAGCATTGGATGTTGATGTCTCGAACTCGAACAGCTCGACCCCGCGGAGGGGCACGGAAGGGTGGGCTCAGAGCAGGTGAAGATCAAACCAATGCTCGGTTTTGCGCCAGCCACGGGCGTTCGGGTCCCTTGGAGAAAACGCCCTTTCACCATCCCAATTTGTCATTAGAGCCCTTTCTCCATAACAAAAGGTACGTCTTTGAGATCCCTCGTTTGATCGAAGCTACGGTTTGCTGACGAGATGGGATCATTGCTTCGAGAAACACTGTACAGTCTTCTCGAACGCAGCCCTCAGCCGTCCGCCCTGGACGAGACGATTTGGAATTTTCGATGCGGGGCCCGCGTTAGTGCTGCTGCAGCTTGCCGGCACCTTAGCACGACACACCGGACATTCATCCTCCTCAGCGGCAGCTCGACTAGAGGAGAGTTGAGAGTTCTGTCAGTGTGAAGTGTCAAGCGTGTGCAGGTCGACCCCACTGTCCGGTCGGCATACGCGCATACCACATACCTCCTGTGTAAGGTACTCCGTACTTGCCTATCAGTCGCATGCCTAGCAGAGTGGTTCAACCAGCATTCTTTTGCAAATCATTGCGAATCGAGTAATGGCAACCACCAAATGCGGTGCGAGGCGCCTGTGGGTGAGCTATGTTTGGCGAGTGTGACGTGACCCCGGTCCTCCACTGAGTCCACTATCGAACACCTCCCCCTCCACACCAGCTTCCCCCGGCCCCTCGGAACTCGGGGATCCAAATATGGGCGGGGAAAAGGGCGCCACCTTACGGGCAGCGTTCCGAATCACAGCTCAGTATTCCAGATGCCATTGACAAAACGTCGAATCAACGATTGAAACATGAGATGACTTTCACCCGTCACGCTCGTCAAACGAACCAACTGATTTGACAGATTTTTGTTTTTCTTCTCTTCTCTCCCATGAACGCTGCTCAACTTACACATTAGATGGCATGCCGAGTAAGGGCACGAACGTATGCCGCGTGCTCAATTCGAGTATAGCGTCCCCTTACTTGGACCATGCAAGCTAACGGACGTGAGGTAAGGGAACCCCTCTTCCAGGTAAGGTACCGTATGCAAAGAGATGCAATTCGGCGTCCACTGCCCGCCCGCCCCAACACGGGCTAATCAGATTACCTGCCAAATATGCTTTTTGGTTGGGGGGAACCACGGAAAAGAGAGAGAAGTATTTCAAATACCAGCTGTAACCATTGGACTGCTTTAGATCGCACGCAAAGATCCACAACTTTGGGGGATCTGCTTACCAGCATCCATGACAGCGCAGCTCGGTGTGTGGACGTGTGATGACTTTGTGCAGTGGTGCTCATGATACGCCGGACTGCGGCAAGTAAATGATGAAATGTAGGTGAGCTATCAACTTTATCTCCTCGGGCTTATCTGAGACGAAAAAGATCTCCCCCAGTGACAGTGAGCCACGGAAGACAGCTCGTCGCATATGCGGAAGGGGAGGAACCAGCCGGGCGATGCAGATTATGAGCAGCTAGCTGCCTTGTTTGATCATCGGCGACATAGATTGAGAGGCTGAGATGGACTGGTCCAGCCAGAGGGGCATCGTCATCTATCTGGAGCAAGTTTGGAGAGTTGGTTTCTCCTGCTTGTTACATCTTAGCTCTTGTCTCCTTCTCTATGATTCTCTAATAGGCGCTCCTGATTGCGCGTTTTCTAGTAGGAGGAACACAACCGTGAGCCGCATGCATGGCGCTTACTGAGGATCAGGTTACTCATTATCAAAAGTTTTCTCACAACCTCACGAGCGGAGCTACGGTCGACGACAAGACCCAAGCGACGCCCGCGCGCAGGATCATGTGCTGCAAATCCAGGAGCTCCACGCTCCCCAGCGCCAGGCGGTCGGCGAGGAATGACCGTAGCACGAGCGACCTGTAAGCGCTCCGCGTCTGCCTGTCCGTCTGCCCGAGGACGAAGCCGTCCATGGAGGAGATGTGGAAGTCGCGGATATCGACTTTTTGTACGCCGGCGCCGTCCCCTCGTCGTCCGTCCTTGCCGGTCTCGGGATTCTTCGAGGCCGAGGTCAGCGGCCGCTCGATGCGGTCGGGCCTCTGCCGCAGGGCGCGGATGGCTCTGAAGTAGATGTAGTCTAGGACGTTTGTCGTCTTTAGGGGCGGCGCGGGTTTCTTGAGGATGAGTTTTGGGAGGACTTCTGGGTGCGAGATCCAGAGCGTGCCGTTGTCTTGGAATTCGCAGCATATGGCCTCGAGGTCGTGGGCGTAGCGCACGAAGCGGGTGTAGAAGACGGGGGTGAGGATCTTGATGTCGAGGTGCTCTGCGCGTTTCGGGTTCTTTCTGGCGGCAGGCGAGAGCATCGTCTCGGTGGTGCCTCCTCCTCCTCCTTCTCCTGCACCTCCTCCGGTGGTAGAGATTCCCGCGGGGATGTACGTGACGGCGATGGCGGCCGTGGACTGCGCGACCAGGTGACGGAGGTACGCCCGGAAAACGGGCTCGAGCCGGCTCTCCGTCGCGTCTGCTTTCCGTCCGATGCTCTCCTTCAGGGGCTCCGGGCGGAACCAGACGTGCAGGCCCTTGCGGAGGGATAAGACGGCGGCTTCTTTGACGATGCGGGGGAAGGTGACGAAGCCTACCCACCACCAGCGGCAGAGGAAGATGAGTTTGGGGAGGAAGGTCATTGTGCCTGGGTCGATGGCGGGGGCCGAGTTGAAGAGGCGGGCGACGATTTTGGGGTGGTTTTTGGAGGAGGAGAGGGTGATTGTGCTGTCGAGGGTGTAGGCGTAGTCGGTCCCTGCTACGCCGGTGCCCGCGCCGGCGCCGCTGGATGGTGGTGGGAAGAAGTCTGTTGCGGAGAGGGCGTAGGATCCCTTGCGGGAGTTGAAGGGGGAGACGTGGAAGTCTTTTGGCCAGGTTTTTGTCATCCTGACCTGCTGCTGCTGCGTCTTTTTGGCGGCGCCAGCAGGGGATTCTGCATCTGCTTCTCGTGAGACTGGCTCTGCGGTGCCTTTCTCGTCATCGAGACGCTGGCTGAGGGGTACGGCGTCCGTGGTGAGAAAGTACATCCTCCGCTCGTCAAAGGTGTTGTTCACCTCGAGCACCATGGCCGTCAGCTCCCTGTCTCTGGAGTAGAGGTACCAAAAGGACACGGGGTTGAAGTGGTATCCCAGGAACCGGGCGGCGGTGACGAGGTATGCGTTGGGATACTGCGCTGGATCCGCGCCCTGTGTGACTGTGTGTGAGCCTTACTTCGTTCCCGTGTGTGTCCGTGTACATGAAATTCTCATAGTACGGGGGTGAGAGAGAGGGACACCCTTACCTGTGACGTGAGATACGCATCAAGCTTCCCCCTCAACCCGAGATGCCCATTCCCTCGCTCGAGATAATCCGCCGGATCCACGTGAAACCATGCCCTCCCCGCCGTCCGCGGCGCCAGCGAGAACCACGATAGCCACCAGCCTGCTTTGTCGACGTCGCACGAGACCATGCCGGCGTAGTTGCCCTTCCACCCGACGGGGATGCCGACGACGAGGTACGAGTACACAAAGGCGTGTTTCTCGGGGAACGTCCGCCTGTGTGTCGTGGTGCAGGGGATCAAGAGCGGTTTCACGGCCGTCCTTGTCCATCTTGTCGTCGTCCCTGTTTCTGTGGTGGTGTTCAGGCCTAGGAGGAAGCGACATGTCTGCAGGAAGATGAAGCCCAGGAGGAAGCCAGGGAGGAGGAGGAGCTGGTTGCGGAGGGAGTGTGGGGTGATGTAAGGGGAGAGGAGAGCGGCGAGGAGGTGGATGTTGCGGTAGGTTGTGAAGAGGAGGAGGAGGGCTGTGTCGAGGTAAGTTCCGAGGAGGGAGTAGTATGTGAAGCCTGCTAGGAGGGTCAAGGGCTGGAGGCCCGGGGCGGCGGCGGCGGCGGCGGCGGGCATGATGTATGGCTTTTTGTTTGTTTTCTCCGTGCCGGGTTGGAGTTGCGCGAACGGGCCGGCCGTTGAGGTGTTGGGGGATTGCCGGGGCCGAGGCCGGTGGTCACCGCGCGTTTGGGAAGGATGCCGGCGGCCGGGTTGGTGGGATATGTGCCCGGCAATGTTATGATGATGAAGAAGTGCTGTATATTACTTTCATTATGAGGAGCTGGGATGGTTTGTGGGAAAACAAGATGGTATTGTCTAAAGGCAGTCTTGGTCTCTCAGTCATGGATCACGAAAGCTTGGCTATTATGTCGGTTGCCATATCGGGTCTTTCGGTGGAGGACGGTGCGGGTTGTGGGCCGATGGGCATGTTCGATGAGATCAAGACTCTCAGTGAATCCACCACCTCAATGTGAGGACCCCGTTCCATGAGCGAGCTTAGTCATTCCGAGAGTCCCGGCTGGCGCCAGGTGCACGGTGTTTTTGGCCTGTCTTGAATAGCTTTCGAGAAGCCAGACAGACTTTATTGTTGCCGAGACATCATATTGAGTCATTGGGACTCATTGGAACCTGTGCTGAGAACGTATTTCGCTTACTTCCGGGCTATAAAAAGCATATTACCAAAGCCAGAATATGACAAAGGCGGCGGTTGCTATTTGGTCAGGGTTTTAGGTAGCAGCACATGGGGGATGAAAGAACTGAGGGGGAAACGATGCCTTACTTCCGTTGAGGTAACTGTGATGAATGACAACGGAATGAACAATGCTTTACTCCTTGGAGGCCGCTCTTCCGGATTTTGACGGGCTGGCTTGCGCAAAACGACGACGGCGACGACGGCGACGACGAGACCTTGAGACCTTGAGGGCCACGAGGGCCTCGAATCTGATCTGATGTGTGGCGCAGTCAGGCAAAAATAGAGACCGGTAAGGTACCTTGGTCAAGCGCTCAGCTGGAGGAGCAGTTCACAGCGACAGTGGAGGAGGGGGAGGCTCTTCAGGTCGGCCACCCCGCCATTTGCAGCCCAGTCTGACAGTCCCGGTCTGGTGCTCTGCTGCTGCGGCGCGGCGTTAGGCACATGCAGGGATACCCGCCCCTCTTACCTCCGCCGGTTGACTCAGTTCGCTCAGTGCCTCGACTCCCCCTCCCCCTTCCCCCCTCCCCCCACCGGGGTTTTTTGCCATCTATGCCAGTCTATCGACTTCCATACGCTCACTACTCAGTGGTACATTTGCCGGCCAACCTACCAATCTGTCCCACGCACCAGCCACAAAGGCCAACCGACTGTACATCAGGACCCTCTGTTCTCTTTGACCGGCGCCTCCCAAAAACTGACGCAACGAAACCCTCTTTCATCTACCTGCCCTTCTTCCTTCCCTCCCCCTCCACCAACAAACCAACATCAAACCTCACGAGACCACATCACCAACCCTGACGAACAGAACAAAACAGAAGGATACATAGGTTCCCTTCTGTAATCAATAACTCTCAACACTTCCACAACTCTTCACACATCAACCGACCGCCCACAATGGATGACTGGGACACCGCCACCAAGATCGGCTCCAAGGCCCGTGGCGGAGGTGCGCAGAGAGAGACTGTCATCAAGGGAAAGAGCGCCCTCAACGCCGCTCAGCGCAGCGGCTCCGTCATTGGAACGGAGAAGAAGTATGCTGCTGGCAATGCTGTAGGTTTTTTTTTTTTTTTTTTTGACATCCCCCCCGCCTCCTGCGCAAAGACGAACATCGCCAATGCCTTGAAATTCACGCTTGACATCATGATCCTTTGCCCAACCTCACCCCTCCATTCTCCACAATTCTCAATCAATGAGGGGAGATGGAGAGGAGAGAGAGAAAACACACCTGGAAACCATTCATCCAGCAAAAGGAACTCAACACTTGGGACCAAAGCTTTACTGACTCTTCTCTCTTCCCCCCCAAATAGGCCACCAAGCCCGGCGTCGAAGGCCAGCGCCTCACCAAAGTCGACCGCTCCGACGACATCATCAAGCCCAACACGGTCGGCAAGGAGGTCGGCGACGCAATCTCCCAGACGCGCCAAAAGATGGAGCCCAAGATGACCCAAAAGGACCTCGCCACAAAGTGCAACACCACCCAGTCCATCGTCGCCGACTTTGAGCGCGGCAGCGCCACCCCCGACCAAAAGATCCTCTCCGCCATGGAGCGCGTCCTCAACATCAAGCTGCGCGGCGCCAACATTGGCGAGCCGCGCTTCGCCAAGAAGAAATGAGCGGGGGGCATCATCTCTGATTTTCTTATTTGATACCACTCAAAATGGTGGAATCGTCAACGATGTGAGGGAAGGGATGGGGGGAAACGAGAGAGAGCGTTCGTGACCCACCCTAACTTGCGCTGGGGAGTCTGGTCCTTTGGAAAGGGCGGGAAATGGTCGTATTGAACACAGAAAACAAAATGACCCGGCTGGTTTGCATAGAAATGCTCGAGAGGCTGGCTCTTTATGAAGGTTACGGTTCCTAGACGTTTTTACAGCACAATAGATGAGTTGGCGACTCCAGAGCTGACGATTACACTGATTCCATTATTCTGCATTTGCTGCAGTCTCTATATGTGTGTGTGTGTGACTGGTTACACCTCGTCGTGCCAAATCTAAATATTGCCCCCTGCAAGTGAACCAAGCGCCCGCAACTCTCTCTTTGAGTCTCGTCCCTATGTCTGTGTGGTATCTTCCAAACTCCGTATGCAGAAAACACGCTATGCCATGCATCAGTCCAACCTTTAATAGCACACTTCACCCGATAACCTCCAACCAGAGAAATCCCTCTATGCAAGAAGTCGGTTTACTCGCGCGGCGAGCTCCGCCTCGTACGGCTTGCGTCTCGTCTGGATGACGACATGCTCCTTTCCACCAACCGTGGCAACCCTCAACCATTCCGGTGCGACCTCCTTGGCAATCAGGCGTACCGCGTCGACACCTTCCTCCATGGGCATGGGGACGCGCAGAGAGTCCTTGAGCTTTTGCTGCAGAACAGGCATGGTGAAGGACATGACCATCTGTCCGGCCGAGTTCGACGACGACACGAGCATGGAAATGATGGCGGAGATGTCGCCGACACGCTGCAGCGCTCGCTTTCTCGCGATCTCAGGACCAGTAGGGAGCTGGATGTTGGCGTTGGCTTCCTCCTTGGCTCTGAGTCTGTCGAGGAGGGACATCTTGGTGCCGTTGGAGTTGAGTGCCGGAAATTTGGATGCTTGGACTTGTGCCTCCTTCTCCTTCTTCAGTAGGATGTCGCTCTTGATTCCTGACAACGCGCGTTGGCCCTTGGCGAACAGGGGGTTTGCCGACATCGTCGTGTGACGAATGGTAATGTCGGACTTGGGCAGGTCGTTGAAGCTAAGGTTCTCAAAGCAGATGTCGAGATCTGACATCTCATCCATGGCGCGCTGGGAGCACATGATGTGGAGATTCTTCTCGAACTGTTGGCAAAGCTCGTTCTCGTCAATGTGGCTGGTGTTCTTGCTGAGGTCCATCTCGAGGCAGAGCTTGCCGCGGCCATAGTCGGTAACGATAAAGGGCGAGCCGAGGGACCCATCCTCCTGGCCTTCTGTCTTTGTATCTTGGATGGCAATGCATCTCCGAATATCGTCCACTGTGACTCTCCTCTTTCCCCATGTGCGGGCGACGTGAGGTGTGATGGAGCTGATATCAAGAGGTGCGTTGTTGTTTTGGTGCACAAGCTGAAGAGAAACAGTCTTGAGGATGGCACGTTGCAGGTCCAGGAGCTCCAGGAGCTCCGCAGGCAGCTGCTTCTTGACGACTTCCTCCTTGACCTCTGACTTTGTGCCATTGTGCTTCTTTGTTCGTTTGACCTTTTGGTTGGCTTTGCGCACTTCAGTCTTTGCTTGGGAGATGATGTCCGACTTGCGAGTCTTTCGGCGGCTGTCGGCAACTGGTGATGTTGTGCCCTTTCGTGCAGAAGTAGTGGCGGTGATGTCGTTGGTTGTGGTTGCTGGGACGACCTCAAGCTTGATGGGCACAGGCTCGTCCTTGGTATCCTTGAAGATTCGCTGACGCTTCATAGACTCGCGTACCGGGGCGTCGCTTCTCGCATCTCTTGGTGAAATGTCTTCGTCGATCGATCTTGACTTGCGCTTCTTGGAGGGCGTCGCTGCAGGCTGAGGGGGGAGAGCTCTTTCCGGGCTGGACTCGAGCTTGATGTCTGTCTTGACTTCCGTCTTGACGACTGGAAGAGAGGAGGGAAGTCCGATGAAGAAGACCTTCTTTGAGGCGTCGTCTACAGGAACCGGTTGTGTCTTGGAGACTCGGCCGTACTTGCTGATGAGGTTGGTTGCTGGTGTAGCGACAGGCTTGACCTGCCGACGGGAAGCTGCACGAGCCATTGCGTCGAGATGTGCAAGTGCTAGTCGTCTAGGTGATGGGGAGAATGTAAGTCAGGCGGTCGAGAGCGATGCAGAGTACAGGCGGAAGTTGTAATGTAGAAAATGAGAGAATTGGCAGGCGTAATTAAAAGTCTCGATTTGTGTAGAAGGTACAAGTTGAAGTACTGAGAAGTCACGAAGAGTATGAAGAGGTTTTGTATATTGGAAGGAGAGTGGGGAGCGGAAATGATGGAGCAACGATGGCAACAACGCGCCGGGCTAAGGGGGTCGCGGACCACCGACCGCGACAGACGCGTTTTTCGAAAGGAGCACACGATGCAGGCGGGAAGGAAGTCGCGTTAAGTGGTGGGGCGCGCTGGGGTTGATGGTCCGTGCGTTCTCCGTAGGCGACACTTTCCCAGCGGCCTGGGCAACGGAAGCTCTTCCCGTCGCAGGTCCCCCAAGAAAAGGGACGGAAAAAAAAAGTTGAGGAGTCAGTCTGGACAAAGATTCTGCCCGGCTTCCAAACTCGCACGCCAAATTTGGGACAAGCATTGCGACCACTGTTTTGTGATTCCCTGCTTGTCCCTGCTTGCCTCATATCTGTCTATAACCCGGGGATTAGGCTGTTCGAGCTGTTCCATTGCAAACATGGGACGGCCCTTTCCCTCTGTCAACCGGCGAACCATTCGCAGGACGAGTCACAATCCCCGGATATTTTAAAACGCAGCACATATAGACGAAGACGGTTGGTTGCCAGAAGAAGAAAATGTGTTGTCAATGTTAATTCATAGCTAGAAAGGCCAATTTCCTAAGTGCGCACAGAAAATGAGTACGCATTCTGAACGATGTGTAAGGTGGAACGTTTGTCGTCTCCAACCATCATCGTTTTTTTTGATGGCTACTTGCTGCCAATAATCCTTTTGCAGACCAAGAAGAAGAAGAAGAAGAAGAAACCCATGATATGTGCCAGCCCTGCTTTTTTGTGTAGACCCCATTCGCGAGCGATTCGAAAAACAGTTTGCTCCGCGCCTATTTCGCCCCGTACTCCCATGATGTGTCCGTATGCTGATTGTACAAGTAAAGAGTAGCCCCCTGGCGAACAGTGGGCAGAAAGAATTCGTTCGTAGCTCTGGACGAGAACGTCTCATCGGCGGATCGATGACTGCCAGTGGTCCGTAGCGAATGATACCGGGCTTGGTGGAGGAGGCGCCGGCACGCTGTAGTCGTTCTCTTGGATCATGTGTACAGGCGTGACCGGGCGGTGGGTGGTTGAGGCGAGAGTCGCGTTTAAACTCGTGTAAAGATCCTGGCCCGTCATCAGGCGCAAATTCCTCCGTTGAGGAGGAATGGGAAGAGGCGAGGCGATCTGGCTGGCAGGCATTTTGATTGTTTGTGCCGGGGAAAGAAAGGTGAAGACCTATCACGTAGGTATTAGACGAAGAGTCTGGAGGTTGCTGCGTTGTCGACGGGCTCCACGTACCGATGGTGATGGGTCTGTATTCTTACGGAAGAATCTGGGGAAGAAACGGGGGTTATAAAGACAGCTGTGGATATGGTTGCTTGTTGAGAGGCGTCGTCGAGGCTGGAACTGGTGCCGAGACACAGTAGAGTGGAGTGATATTCCTTTAGATGGGGGAAGGCGTATGTAAGGTAAGTAGGCAGTGGACGAGATGGAAGACAGCGGGCGTAGTGAAAGTGCAGACGACGGAATATTTAAAGCTGAGAGCCCCAGAAGAGAATCGGCTGACGGACACACACAGAGAGAGAAAAGGCAGAGAGCAGAGAGAGAACGAAAAGGGTGCGACCGGGCGTTTGTGCGCGATCCGTAACAGAGATTTCACAATTCCTTTCCCTTGTGTCGTAAGTAGACCGAACACCCCCCCCGGGCTGGTCAAGTCGGTGCGCAAACAAGACAAGGGTGGGTGGAATGCCTGGGAGCAAAAAGGACCCAACCGAACGAACGGTCGAAAGTGTGGGCTATGGGCAGAGCAAATCGACAAGAGGCGCGGGTAAGGTTGCAGTTGCCGGGAGAGTTCAACGGAAGCGTGGGGAAGAAAGTCAGGGGTTCCAGCGATGAAGGGGAGATGAGCAAGACCTGTGAAGGGGGGTTGTGTAGGAGTGAGAGGAGTGAGAGGAGGATGAGGGTTCGGAGAATGACGAGGAGGTTGAGATGGACGAGAGTTTGCTCTTTGACAGCTCACGGGCTCCAAGACAGGCGGAAACAGAATGCAGACTGGCAGAGTACCTTACCCGATGTTGGACGGACGTGGAATTGAGACAGGATGAGAAGGGCAGAGAGGCAGACGAGGCAGGTATTCGTAGGTACACAACGAAGATCGCGGAGAGCTGGCATGCGAGGCTTGCGATTTGCAATGTCGCAATCTAATGAGGCAAAGTATAAGACGATGAAGCACCTGGGCTTGGACTGGGGCTGGCTTGTCGTGCTTGTGTCATGACGAATGGGCGGCATCGTGTCTCGGTGGACTGGCTGTAGTATATTTATGATTACCTTGGGCAGACTCTTCACAAACCCACGTCTTCTGAAAAGGTATGTAGTTGATACTTTGCATCCCTATTGAAACCCCAAGGTACGGATACATTGGTCTGCCTCTGGAAATCAGGCTCGTCGGCCAAAAAGCAACATGTCGTGCTGTCCAATCTTCTGTCGTGCTGCCTTCTGTTTGTTGTGCTGGCTAGCCCCAAACCAGCTCCCACGGTCCATGGATGGTGGAGGTCTCCCAAAGACAATCCCCGGCTTTCACGGGGAGCGCTGGAAGCCTGGTAGCAGAGGAATGTTCCATGTGGATGTTCCTCTACCAGGATCAGGGCCGATTGCCCCTTTGAGAGAGCTCGGCGATGGGGCCGGATGGGCTGACCCTGACCGTTCTGGTGTTCGGTGTAAGAGGGGGGGGGGGGGGGGGGGGGGGGGAGTATCCATACCGGGAAAATGGGGGCAACTACAGATAAGGTACCTGGCGACACGAGGTGGACAATACAAGTCAAAGGGGTTGAACATGTATCCGTACTCTGCCGAGGCAGAGCTCTCGCCGCCGTGTACCTCCCTGCCTATCCTTCGTCTTCGTTCTTTGGGCATAGGTAGAGAGAGCATGCCGCAACGATGGAGGAAAGAACTGCAAATACCGCTTGGCAGGCAATGGAGCCGGCGCATCTCCTCGAATAAAGAGATGATCACTTCGGGGAAACAGAGAAAGAACGCCGGCGCAAGTCATGGCAAGCTGGGATAGAACAGAACAGGGCTGTTCCTTTCCTGCTGCGTAGAAGCTCCCACGGGTTTTACCGCCATTCGCCTCTGGATCATCCCAGCTGTCGCATGCCGTCGGTGAGTTTTCTTTCTCTCTATCCGCTGGTATCCATCGTCTTTTTCTGGCCCCGGATTTTCTTGCTTATGCGGGTTCGAAGGACGAGAATAATCGCCCAACAGCCTAGGACCTTGCACTATGGGGGAACTTGCGGGCCAAACGGATCGAATGGATGAAAATAAGGCGCGAGGAGGGGGCTCCGTCCAGTGTCCAATTCTGATCAAGGTCGTCCCATCCGCCGGAAGTCGGAAGTTGTACCTTCTTTTCCCCCAACGTATTGGACGGAAATCGTACGGCAAGCTCAACCTTGCAATCAACACCCAGGTTGAGCTGCCTGAGGACGAGGTGCTGGGTAGAGGACTAGAGGTACGGATACCGGGTTAATGTGGGGTGAGAGGTATCTTGGTACCTCCGAGGCTCCGCTTGCCTTTCCCACGATCTGGACGGTTACGGAGCTATAGCTTGCATCCTGCGTTACTGAATCCATTCAAGTTGGCAAGGCGGCATCCGTCTAACCCATTTTCACTTGCGATCGTCAAAAGATGGGACCGAGGGATAGACCTTATCTCGGTGACAAGCCTTAAGAAACTAGGTAAACTCCAACCCGAATTTGGAAGTGATAAAACAACTTGGACTAGTTTCAGCCACCCCTATCTGATTGCAGAGGGGAACGGGATAAGGTAAAAGAGAAAATCCTCTAATTGTCACAGAGTCGGCCCTTATTCATTGAGGTAAGGTAATGCTTGCCGATGGGGAGACGGGGATGGCAAGGCCATGTGTCTTCTTTGGTCCACGGGGCAATACAGTACTTCGTACTCCATACAATCTGCTTTTTATCTGACCTTCGGTTCGTGCGCCGGATCGCCATGCCTCCTTACGCGGGCTTTTCTCGTCCGTTCTTTTTGAGGTGATCTCGTTGGGGGAATGGGATAGAGAGGCACAGAGCATTTCCTCATTTTTATTGAATTTTTTCCTCTTCAAAGGAACCTGGAACTTCCCTCCCACGACCTCTTTCCTTGCGGTGGACCTAATGAGACTCCACTTATCAGGTACGTAAGGGGAATGTGGGGTCTCTCTTGCATTTTGCGGAGAAGCCCGCCAAAAGTAAGGAACCCCCAACTTCTTGCATTCCCCAAACTCTGGGGACGGAGCCACGGTCAAGGAACTTCCAGGTTCAGGTTCCCCCCTATGAAGTGCACAACACACAGCACACGGCAGCTTCACACCATCTCGTTCCCCCAAACACATTTCGGCCACGAGGTGGACGGCGGACTAGGCCTGGAAACGACATGCTGCTACATCCTACACACCTCACCTTCCCGTCCTGCGACGGCACCCTTGGGTGACCCCCAACGCGACACTCGTTTTGGACTCTTGATCTTGCGAGACAGGGGCGTGGAGGCCAACGTAGCTAATCCAAGTACGAATACTTCGTGGCACGCAGACACGCAGACTAAAGAGAAGGCGTATTGATAATCACGATATGTTAGGGCGTGGCGTCCTACCACTTACACGTCTCCTGCAGCACTCATCAACAATGCTGCGAATTGTCAGCAAGCCCACGTAGTGCAATCAACCAGCCCGCTCGTATCAGGCTTCCCAACTTCCCGCAAACGACGTAAATATCCCCCCTTCGCCTCGACTTGCGGCTTGCCTCCTGACTCACGGCCCCCAAAGTCTCTGGTCCAACCTCACTTGTTTCTGCCACGTTGCCTCCAGGCTCCAGCTGTCAAAAGAATTTCCCACACCTTCGCGGCGTTTCTATTGTGCCCCAAAACATGCACACCCATCGCCGTACCCTGATCAGGACGGACAAATTCAAGGCCATTGGCGTCATGGCGCCGCTTACCCTTGAACAGAGGCCGCCGTTCATCAAGACCTCATTTCACTTCCCATGCCAGTTATCATGGCTGGACTATCGTCCTGCCGCCACCTCCCTCGGGGAACTCAAGCCGTCGCAACAAGGGTGTTAACCTCGACCGTCTCTACTCGTCCAGCGTGTTTGTGCTACCGGGTGTCTACGCGCTTCGATGCGAATGGTATGTTTTAGCCTGCCGGCCTCGGCCCAAGCTTCCGCTACTATACGCTCGGATGGGGGATTGACGTCCAGAGTACGAAATGCTCACCACACTCCTGTTGCATCTTACCGTCCCCAATGCAGCTTACCTGACCACTAGGAACTCCTGGTTGTCATACCGAGTTGCGGTGTGCAGCTACGCCTCGGTCTCTGGTAACTGACTGGCCGACAGTGTCTGCCGTGGTCGCGGCTCAGTGCCCATCCGACGCTGCCAGGCTACCCTCGGACACGAGACTTGCTTTCAAAAGCGGTGTGCACAGATATATTACTGTATGATTGGCGCCTCCGTAACCTTTGCTTTGTGTTTGCTCGTCATCAAATATTACTATTTCAGCTGTCCGCTACGGGTAGCTAACGCCCGTACTTTAGACTCCCGTTCCCCGCGTTTCCACCAAGCATACGGCGCCGCGCCCCGGCTCCTCATTCGACCCCGCCTTGCAGCATTGTCTCACCTGGGACGTATAATTTCAGCTCTTCATCTTACCGCCAATATTGCGTCAGAAAGAGTTCGTCAAGGCCAGACCATCTCTGGCATGCAATAAATCCGTGAGCTCAGTTCTGCCTTGCTTGTTGTTGTTGTTGTTGTTATCAGAGCTAGCAACCTGCTCGATGTCCTGTGTTCATCTCAGATCGACGCGAAGTTATAGCCAAGTGGTGGTCTCAATGTGAGGCCTGGAAAGCTTCCTAGTGTGGCATTCCGCCTTTGCAGAATATCATGTCGCAAACGAGGCCTCTCCTCGGAATGTCTCGCCGTTCTGCGACGCTACCACACAGAAGTATCGCCATATTGCTCTCAGTGTGACATGTCTTGAGGGCAGCGACTGCCGCCGATGGGAAATCGATCATGAGCCAATGAACTGCAGCAAGCTCGCGCTGCTTTCATACCTAGACGCGCAAGTTAGATAATGCCTGAGGTTATGGTAAGAGGCCTGTTTGTTGAGAGCCGTACTTGCATTTGTTGTGGTCTGAAAACACCAACTCGCCGTTCGTAGTATTCTGACAGAATTCGGAATTGTACCGTTGCGCCATATACAAAAGAGAGATCCCTCTACTGCATTTAGGTAGTTGTGGGTACATATAGTTTCCGTCATATTCCTAAACCAAACACAATCTTTGCCCAGCTCCTCAATACCGGGACCAGGCCGTGTGCGCATGGTGAGAAAGGTCTCGGTGAGAAAAGGTTGAAGGGCTTCGCCAACGAGAGGTCCTACCCGTCGACGGAGGCAGCTTGGACAGCGTCAAAGTAACACCCCAGGTTTGATCGCGGTTGAAGCACGATCTACCGAGAAACTTGGGACGATCCGGGGATGTCTAGTACGATATTCCGATTCGTCAAAGTCAACGTCGGTATGCCCGCACAAGGTTTTGGGGAAGGGGGGGGATGAGACGCAACACCCGGCTGCGGTCAAGAGTTGGGATGAAAAAGTGAGATGATGGGCTGGCAGCGCGGCCGGTCACCCGACCCGGGAGCTGCTGGGATGCTCCCGGGCCAACTTGTTGAGAGGGAGCCATGCAACCACATTGCCTTTGAATCTGCACTTGTCGTCTCGAGGGGCTAATGGCTCTCATATCATCCTACAGATTGCTGAAACTTGTACCTTGCAAAGTCCGAATGTTGGCGTCATGAAGTGCGTGCCGTCCGTTTTAGCTCGGGGTGCCTTGTGGGGCCGTTCCGTCTGTGAACCCGCTTTCTTAGCGGCCGGGCGGGAACGTCCTCTGGTGCTGCACATCAAGAAATTGCGGCCTATATCTGATATCCATATTGAGTCCGTTTGATGAGTAACTCACTCATGACAACGTAATTAGTCTGTGTATTTGGGGTTCCCTCTTCCCTTTTTCTTTTTAAAGTCTGCCTATCCCTGTGGATGTCTCTTTCCTTGTACGATATTGTACTCACTGTCATGTGAAAATCACCGTCTTTCGTTGTCGATATTCAAGCGGAGTCAATTCTGCTTGTTTTCTTGTCTGTATCGAGAGGATCGCGAGTTTACATCCGGAGTAATAGGATGCAAGTTGTGAATGACCGAATCTAGTTCCTACAGATCTTTTATGAACAATTACTTCAACGATGGGGCGCATTAATATGACTTGCCTTTTCATAGTGTAAGGAGCCCTCAATGCTTCTTAAGAAACGCTTGAATTGAGTGACGCCGAGCCTCGTTTGTAGAGAAACCCATCCTCTCTCAAAGCTTTACGGCACTGAGTTTCATTTCTGAGGCATTGTCTGGCCAAGATCGCATCAGATCTCGCTGGTCAGTGTGTACAGATCCCCTTCGGATTCTCTCAAACTATACATGAGATTCAAGTCGTTGAGAAGGTCGTTTTTGCCAAGGACCCCGCTATCTGTGTGCGAAGCCAAAGGTGGTAAAACGAGGTACCACCAACTGCCCAAGCATGTCAGACCTAAGGACGTGGTGCATTAAAGATTCAGTTTTCAAGCCAATTGAACAGCTCGAATGACCGTACGGCAAGATATGCACGTTCTCGGGGGAAACATAGTAGATTCGAAACCTTTCGGAGCACAGTGTGATTATCTGATCCGGGGGGGGTTCTCCGCCCCCGTATCACGACCGTAACACGCATTGCTTTCCTCAAGCCTTGGGAATGATTAAAAGTTTCCCCCAAACAGGGGAGCAAGTGGATCTTTCCAACTACCTGGTCCAGTCATAGGCGCGATGTGCTCTGCCCCGTCGCTTCAGTGGGGAGGATATTGCCAAGTAGTTTGATGTGAGAACCAAGGAACAATGCCACGTGGTTGGTATTTGCAACCTTTGGAAAACTGTGACTTGCCATTTTCTTCGAATTGGCAGTCTTAAACACTTGCATATGTCACAATCAGTCATAAGAGACTTTGCCGTATAAAATATCCTACTCAGCCTTCAGAATGAGCTTCCATCTATCTGGAGGTCCTCCATTCACTCCTATGTTCTACTGTTGGTGGGACCGGCATCCTATCTGGACCACTCTGGCTACTGTTCTTGCGATCTTTGTACTATTTCGAGTCTTCGGGACAGTGAGACGATACCACCGCCTCCGGCACTTTAAAGGTCCACCCCTGGCAGCTGTGTCGAAGTTATGGCTCCTCAAGACCGTGACGGGATCTCGGGGTGACCTCGACTTCTACAAAGTGACCAAGAGATATGGTGAGTACCTTTCCCCTTTCATACCCGAGGACGTTGCCGCCGACTCCCGTCCGAGAAGGTACTGATTTCCGGATGAGTGATGGTCAAATTCAAGAATGGAAAGCGTAGGCGCAAAAGACGTAAGGACTAACGAACCCCGATATTACGCAGGGTCCCTCGCGCGCATCGGTCCCAATGATCTCCTCAACGACGATCCTGCACTCATGAGACACATGCTCGGCGTGCGGAGCGCGTACCGGCGCTCAGACTGGTATGATGGCATGCGCTTCAACCCGTCTAGGGACAACGTCCTCTCGTGCAGAGATGAGGATGAGCATACCAAGCTACGGTCAAAAATGGCCGCCGGTGTAAGTTTTGTCAGGTCATCAATCGGTAACTTCATTGTGGAATACTGTGGGAAAGGCTGACGAAGAGGCTCTCTTTAGTACTCTGGCCGCGAGGTCCAGGCCTTTGAGAAAAAGATTGACGGGAACCTCTTCCGGCTAATCAAGCTCATCGACAGCTACGTCGACGCCGGGAGACCATTCGATTTTGGACGAAAGGCACAGTTCTTCACGCTGGACGTCATTTCTGACCTCGCGTTCGGGGAGCCGTTCGGGTTTGTGGGATCTGATTCGGATATGTACGAGTATATCAAGACGACGGAGGATAATCTGCCCGTCTTCATGGCTATGACTGTATTACCTTGGGTCATCAGGTTGTTTCGATACCCTTTTCTTAGGTCGATGTTGCCCACGGAGAAGGATCCGCTGGGTTTCGGGAAGGTGATGGGGTAAGAGATTGGCTTTCTTCGAGCAGTGCTCTGAAAGATAGTCCCCGCTAACAATTTTGATCCCAGAATAGCCAAAAAGTTCTCCGCCGAGCGGTTTGGTTCTGGTGGAAAAGTCCAGAGGGATATGTTGGGTTCCTTCGTCGCCCACGGTCTCACGCACGAAGAGGCTGAATCCGAGATCCTGCTCCAGATGTAAGTTCTGCACCTGCCCCCCCCTATTTCAGTCAAGATGTAACCAGAGAGAAATGAGCAAAGACTTATTCATCTTTTAAAAGCATCGCCGGCTCCGACACAACAGCAACAGCAATCCGCGCGACGCTCCTCTACATCATCACAAACCCCCGCGTCCACAACAAACTCGTCGCAGAGATCCTATCTGCCACCACCGCAGACGCTTACACCACTGAAACAGCCACCCGCAACCGTCTCATCATCACCGACGCGGAAGCCCGCAATCTGCCCTACCTCCAAGCCGTCATCAAAGAAGGGCTGCGCGTCTTCCCGCCCGTGGCGGGTCTGATGGCCAAGCAGGTGCCACCGGAGGGCGACACGTGGAACGGCGCCTTCATTCCCGGTGGAACGCGCATCGGGTGGTCTGCGTGGGCCATGTTTCGTCGACAAGACGTCTTTGGCGATGATGCGGACGAGTTCAGGCCGGAGAGGTGGCTTGCGGGGGAGGGTGACCGTGATGGTCCTGGCGGTAGTGTGGAGTCAAATTCAGGGAAGAGGTTGCGTGAGATGGAGGCGACGATTGAGTTGGTGTTTAGTTATGGGCGGTATCAGTGCCTCGGACGGCCGGTTGCGTTGATGGAGTTGAATAAGGTATTTTTCGAGGTGAGTTTTGTTGTGTCATTTCCACCTGCTCTCTCTCTCTCTCTCTCTTCTTTTCCCTTTCGACTGGCTTTTGTTGAAGATGAAGAGCCGGGTAACATTCTGACGTGTGATAATGTAGCTCCTTTTGCGATTCGAGCTTACCATCTGCGACCCGTTGAATCCGTGGAAGACGTTCAATTGCGGTATCCACGCGCAATCTGAATATTGGATCAGAGCCCGGCGGAGAGTGTAGTTCATGGGTTTCTGCAGTGTACGTGGGATAGTGAACGCGGCGGGGTCGGCAGTAGTTCCGATGGCTTTTTTACATTCAAGTTGAAATCAGACCTGAGAAAGTAGCCGGCCTACCCAATGTGCAAGAACCAATAGTGTTAGACTCCGGTAACTTCTCTACAGACCGTGAGCTTCGATTCCCGGCCAGACTTGTGGAGCTCTGAATATCTTTCCAAGTTTTGTATTGTACGAATCATGACAGTTTAAGGGTGTGACGAGAGGAAAATAACAAATGCAAGTATGCTGTAGAATTTATGACTGAACAGCACCATGGAATCGTCTACGGCTATCTATCGCCTTGGATTGTCAAACCTATTTTCACTGGCACAGAAGCAACCATGGCATCAGACAACGTGCCAGAGCAGTTCAAAAGCTGGTGTATTGCGCAAGAAGTCTCGCGGAACTGCAGACAGATAAGTAGCCCCCATGCCTCGTCCCACGATACACCCTTCACAATGGCATCAGAACTACATCTCAAACGATATATTATACCATCGATTCAAGACTCATATTACAGAATCTATAATTTTTCCTACGCGAGGATTTTAATAAGAAAACACCACGAATTACCAGGTTCAACGGATAAAAGAGGTCAGAAGTATAGCACCCAATTGGCTAGCTCACCATGGTTGACAACCCCACAAAACACTCCCATTGGCCAATTTCTCCCCCCTTTAACCCCGCATGCTCCACGTTAGCTTTCAACTGGGGAACGCCAGGTCGCGTTTGTGCCTCGGCATCTCGAATATCTCTCCCGGTTGTTTCGAGGTTTCCCGCCAGTCTCCTTCAACGTCATTGATCTTCTGAATATTCAACATTCATCAACCGTCGATTTCATCTCATTTCATCTCATTTCAATTTTATACTGCTCGTCCAGAGATAAAGAGAAGCTCAGCCTTTTCTTACCGCATGCTCAGTTACTTCATCTCACTTCATCTCATTCCCAATCACTCCAGCCGTAATACCTAAACCGAAATAATGGCTTCATCCGACGAGGAAAAGAAGATTGTGCTATACCACTACTCCGCCTCGCCATACGCAAAGCGGATCGTGTGGTACCTAGCTCTCAGAGGCATTCCCTACGTTCAATGTGTAAGTTTTGCAAAATTCCCACAACCACCATCTATCTCCCTGGTCTACAAAACACTAACAAAAAAAAAACCACTCTAGATGCAACCACCAGTCCTCCCCCGCCCAGACGTCTCAAAACTAGGCCTCAACTACCGCCGCATCCCCATCCTCGCCATCGGCCGCGACATCTACCTCGACACGCGCCTCATGCTCCGCAAGCTGGAACAGCTGTACCCATCATCCTCGCGGCCTCGCCTCGGCGCCACCAGCCCAAACCACGCAGCCGTACAACGCCTCCTCGAAGCCCTCATCATCGACTCCGTCTTCTCCAACGCAATCAACGTCATCCCCACCAACCTCCCCATGCTCAAAGACCCCAAACGCACCTGGATCAAAGACCGCTCCGACTTTGTCGGCGGACAACTCTCCACTGAGACGATGGAGCGCGGGCGGCCCAACGCCGTCAACGAGATCCGTCGCACGGTGGAGCTGTTGGAGACGACGCTGCTCGCCGACGGGCGGGACTGGATTTCCGGCACGCAAGATCCCTCGCTGGCGGATATCGAGGCGGTGTGGCTGCCGCTCTGGTTAGCCTCCCTCCCCGGCGCGCTGCCAGCGGATCACATCTCCAAAGAGCAGTTCCCCAAAGTCTTTGCGTGGATCGAGCGGTTCCAAAAAACGACTTCGGAAGCGCGAAAGGCAGCTGGAAAAGTCCCGACGGTATCGGGCGACGAGGCGGCGGAGATTGTGCTCTCGTCACCGTATAACGAACCTACCACAGCAGGAGGCGGTGGCGGCGGCGGCGGCGGCGTCGACGCAAAGGACTTGCTCGTGATCGCGCAGGGTCTCAAGGCGGGCGACGAGGTGATTGTCTGGCCCGCCGACACGGGCGCCTCGCACAAGGACACGGGGAAGCTGCTTAGCCTCGATGGGGAGGAGGTCGTGTTCGAGAGCACGGGGCCCAAGGGGACTGCGAGGGTTCACGCGCCGAGACACGGGTTCCGGGTGGAGAAGCTGGAGAGGTACGATGCGCGCACGGGGGCGGCCGCGAAGCTGTGATTTCTCTTTTTTTTTCTTTTTCTGCTTCTTTTTCGCAAGCGACCACGGCCCGAAGGGTTTTGCGACTCCGTCGTTTCCCGGGTGGCCGTTTGTCGGAAAAGGGGCATGGGATTGTACCTCCGGCCGAGAAGCGTCCTCATTCCAGAGTGCCTGTACCGGAGCGAGGAACTAAGGACTACCGGGCTCGGCGTGACACCGTACGGCGCAGGTGGGAAACGTGCAAAAACGCCCGCGCTACATCACTGATAAACCACCCATCGAGAATCTGTAGCATCGTCAGGCCTTATCAGAGTGGGAGGAATGTGATCAACATCTGCAGCCCCAAACATGTCAGCCGCGCATCTAGTGACGAGCTGAGATGTTCTTGAATTAGACATGCTGAATATTTCAGCCCCAAACAATGGCCGTTCGTACGACTTTCCCATCGTCCTCACGCACCGAGAACGCTGTTTCCGGCCTTTCTTAAAAACCGCGTGCTGATGTGTATACATAGGCCGGAAAGGGCAAGCTGAGTTTCACCCTAACGCGCACCGGCTCACACAACTGAGGTTGCTGAACATTTGTTGTCACTGCTCAAGCAATGTAGGTGGAGTAGTCGGCAACGGCTAGAGATCTAATGTCAATCTCGATATGCTCACACGAGCTTCCGGGCTAGGCTTGGCGGAAGGACGAAGTCTACTACCAGCGAGCCGCGGGATGTAGGCTTCTACGTCCGGCTCCTACGTCCGGCTCCTACGCCCGGCTCCTACGCATGCCGATGTAGATTTTGATGCAATATCCGGGATTCTTTGGACGCGATAGCCTATCACAGGGTACCTAACATCTGCCGACACGGCCCGTTATTTGGGAATCTCATCCCTCGCAAGGTAAGGTCTTGCTCGATCTACTCGGAAGAAGAGATGTATACTCGTGTTTGCGGGATGTGAAGCGAACACTCATAATATGGCACGCAGTGTCACGATATCCAGATGTTGATATTCAGTTTTCGGAAGGCCCCTCTGTCGATCCGGCTAAGAGGCGCACAACCCTCCAGCTGAGTCTGTGTTGAAGGTTTCCATCATAGACAGGCGTGTCGACGATTCTGCACCCTCAGATCATCGGACGAGACCCTCCGCCAGGGACCCGGAGGGCGAGTTGAGGCTTACACAAGGCACTTGTGGCGCTGACCCGGTGGAATGGAGCAGCGGACGCCGCCGGACGGAGAACATTGGGCCTAGACGGCACGATGGCCAAGCGTGTTGTCTCTAATTCGAGGCACGACGTGGGTTTGTCATTCTGGACCCGAATTCCCCTTGCGACGTTGTGGTTCGCACTTCGCTAGACGGAAATCGAGCGTGGAGCAGTCGGATCGATATCGAGATTGATGCCGAGGACAGCTTTAGACTATCTACCTAGGCGCCTATCCAAATGTGCCGTCTCATCCATCCTCTAGTCTGGTTTCTGCCGTCATCGCTCCGTCAATGTATCCTGGGGAAGCTTTCGACTTGGTTATACCAGCATCAGTTCCGTAGAGATACCAGGCCAAGCTGGGAACCGTATATAATGCGTTGAAGACTCAAAGGGGTCGAGTGGACAGGGCTGCGAATACAGTGTGACACGACGCGCTCGCGAAAGTGCAAAGTTTGAGCACAGTGCGATGTGAAAATGGTGCGGAGAGAGGAGCAGAGGCACGCAGGTTGCAAGGATGTTCTCCAGGTCTAGTGCGTCATAAGACGGTAGCCGACGGGACAAGTCATTCTGCTCCGGGGATACGTACCGTTTGCTGACCTGAGACTCCCGTTCGCTGGTCGGGTGCTTCTCTCATGTGGGCATCCAGCGCAAGAACAGTGAACACCCCCTCCCCCCCCCCCCATCCAAGCAAACCACGCGTGAAGAGAACGGGAGCAAGCGGTCTTCGTGGAGCAATCCAGTGGGTCGCCGGAAATCAGAGAAAATTTTGGAAATTCCGTCATTGTCGCAAATTTACGTACCTTTCTTGTCAGAGTCGCAACCTGTACCGTCGATTAGGCCAGTCTCCGACACAAACTGCTCGTACGAATGACCGTGAATAAGTCAAGAGGCCGTTTCAATTTGGGTTTGTTCACTGTGAAGACCTCGCGTAGCCGCATCACACCTTCAGGATCGCATCGCCGACGGTGCCGGGGCGACGATGGGGTGGGAAACAGCGTTGGGCTCGTTTGCTTGGCTTCTGTTGGCTCAGATTTTCTATTCGTCAGCATCTGGCTAGACACAGTTACGTCATGACCAGTGGCGCCACCAATGCGATACAGAAACTGAAAAGTATCGAGACATTGCGGACCCAATTGCAGTCCGGACATTGGCCAAAGCTGTGACCATCGAGCGCATTTGGTGCCGTTTTCGAGAACTTTGCCAATCTTCCGTCTCAAGCTAAAAACAGACCACATGAATACCTAAGGCCGTGACGTAATGTTTGGAAGCAGACAGGCGCAACTGATGGAGATGCGAATCGCGACCTATAGTGCTGGTATCCGTAGAGCTTCGCTTGTCAAAACGGCATCAACTAGTGTTAGCGAACCATTGCGAAAAGCAGCATGAATCCTTGCCGTTGGCGCGTTGTGGAAACTGGGAGCTTGAGGAAACGGGGTGAGCATTTCCAGGTTGTCTTCCCGTGTCTGGCTACCCGAAGCCTGAAGGGTATCGCCTGTCTGGGTGCGAGTGTTGTGACGCAATTTGTTGTACGGATACGCTCCAGTGGAGTGTGAGAGAGCGTGGACTGGCTACCGGGGCCTCCCTGACCAAGCTGCAGCTCTTTGCGGCACCCTATTGGATATTGAAGACCGTAATTTGCCACTTCGGGCCTCTCAGTCGCGTCAACAACCGACCGTCGATGTAGCCAGTTGTGCCTCACTTCCACCGGCAGATTTGGGTCAGGACCTTCAGGTAACTGCAGCTTAAAAATCCACAGGAATCGGCCGTTGTGCAAGGACACGCAAGTGCAGCGACTTGGAGTGATAACAATCCTCTGGACGAGCATACCGGTTGGTGCTTTTCTGTAGTCTGTACAGTGGCTATACGGTTCAGGTAGACTGGCGGGATCGTGATGGAGGATGAAAACTCTTGCTCGAAAAGGAAATGAGCATGTCGATCTCTTCACCGTAACGATTTTCCCGTGGCCAGATTCCTCCAGGGGACCGGCAGCCGCACCCTTTAGACACCAAGCAGGGCATAGGTGGCAGGTGGTCCGATGGCGTTGACTGTTCTAGACTCTCGCGAAAGGTGTGATGCAGGGCAGGGCGATGCGAAAGGCTGGGTCGAGGTCACCGTCGATATGTTTCTTGCTGTTCGGTGGATGAGGGTGGATGAGGGTGGATGAGGGTGGATGATTGTAGCTGTAGAGAGAAGAGTGGCTCGGTGGGCGATTATGAAGGAATGGGAGGTGGATTGTTCATTGTCGTGAAGTCAGTCCCGCAAACTCCACCTTCGTGGCGCCTGAGGAAAGGCAAAATAAAAAAAAGAGAGCAGAAAGGGGACAGGATGCCATGGCCCATGATTGCGACAGGAAGGAAAAGTGATGCAATCAATGCAGGGGTCGGAAGACTTGGGGGAGGGGACCACCAAATGGAGACGTGCAGCCACAGTAGCAAACGTTGACTACAGATAATGGCTGGGTGGTGCCAGCTGCGTTACGACACTGAAGGGGGGGGGGGGGCAATACCCCCATACCCCCTCCCCCCCGCCCCTCCCCCCCCCGGCCTTGCATCTTCAACCAAACGGCGACTTCCACTGTCTACCAGCTAAAAGCCTGATTGGTCAACTCGCGTACAGTGTGTGCAATTGTGCCGTCCGCGTCTGGGACGACCGCCTGATATTCCACACATGTCGTACAGTGCGGATATCCTTGACGTTGGCGGAGGGCGGGACGGTGATAGCAGCGTGGAAGAGAAACATTTACGTGCCGAGGGCGGGACGGGAATCTCAGCGGCTTCAATGACGGTGGCTGAAGACCTCAACAGCAAGCGAAGATATGGTGGTGGTGGTGGTGGTGGTGGTGATTGTGGTCCGAGGCATTGCAACAACCGTCTCGACATCTTCCTTCAGCTGATAAATCAAGATAAGGCGAAGATGAGAGAAAAAATGGCCACTCAAAGGCAACATGTGTCCGTAGATGGAGAATGCGAACGAGAGGGTGCGCGGCTTCGGCAGAGTCGTCTGCCGTCATTCGCCTAAGGCGATAAGATGGGATGGAGTCTGATGTAGGTAGAGGTACAAACATCTTGAGTCGCTCTACACTTGCAGTAGGCTAGGATTGGTGGTCAGGTCCCCAATAGATAGGTATGTTGGGCGACAACCTAAAGCCATTCAAATGCTTGACACCTTGAGAGAGCTTGCGAAATCCGAGAAGGAGGACTCGATCGAGGATGAATTGTTGACCGGGCCCTCATGTTGGTTGCAATCGAGGCAGCATTCGTTCCTCCCGTTCCTTCCTCGCGCCATTGTTGAACGCGCACTACGTACCTGTTCTTCCGTAGAGGTACGAAGACCGGGACGAGGTACCTTGCTAAACTGGAATGCCAGACTGGTGTGGTGGGACCATCTCCCCATTGGTAAGCCGTTCTTGGACGTCGGAGCATTCGGCGCACAGTGCGACAAAACAACACCCCCACAAAAAGCCCCAGCGTTTCTCGCAGAACAGGGAAGGAGGAAGAGAAGGGGAAGAGGGAAGAAGAAGAAAAAAAAAAGGCCAGGAGTTGCTGGACGAATACCAAGTGGAAGGAAGCGCGCAAGAGCAGCAAAAAGGCAGAAAGCCTGTCGAGAATGAACCAGGACGGGGGGGGGGTCATTGTTGGAAGGGGTGGGCGGGCACTGGGCGTGGATGAGGACATGGACATGGTCGTGGGCGTTTTGGTGTCAGAGTGTGCGCCGCCGCCCACCCATTTTCTTTTCTTTCGTGCGCCCTCGCCCTTTTTTTTTTTTAAATCGACCACCGCGCAACGTCATACTTGACCTGTGACGTCTGCCGTTTTTCTCCCCCGACATCTTACTCTCACAACGATACTCGTTCTGCACCCCCATCTTAGCACGTCCCCGGGTACGCATCCAGACAAGAGGCCACAACTACGCAATACCTTTTTTTTTTTTTCCTGCTGGCGGCCGTAGAGAAAGAGAGACAACTTTTTTTTCTCACCACCGTCGTCGATCGTCGAAAGCTATTCCATTCCCGTGTCGCTTCCAATTCAGAGGAGCGCTGCAATAGCGTAGCTGCTGCCTCTGACGGCTAACCTTTTACTGCCGTCGCCAACGCTGCTTTGCCCGTCCCTCCTATACTGCGCATCGGATTGGTCCCCCCCCCCCCCCCCCCCCCCCCCCCCGATCTCACGCATCGTTTCCGACCCAGATCTATCTTTCTAAGCTTATTCTGCGTGTCTTCCTCCTCTGACCTCATCTGGCTTTTTCAACACTACCATACCTACATCATCATCCCTACCCTGCTACTGTCACCTTTTGCCTTTGGCGTCCACCCCACAAACGTCAACAACGCTTCTTTCCCCAAATATAATACATCATCGTCGTCATCATGGGGACCTCACCGAACAGCGCCTCGACCGGGGGTGATACGAAGTCGCCCAAACAGTCCAACAATGCCACTCCCCCGCGTCAAAGTAAGTTGGACACCCTCTTCATCGTGTTACTCGTTGTCTCCTTCACCGAAAGATATTGCCGTTGTTGTCGCCATCGTCGTGGTTGTCCACTCGCTCACCTTACGATAGATACCATTCCGGAAGTGAAGCAACCCGACCCGAGTCTGAAGCCCGATGCTGACGGCGCAAAACCTCTTGGTCCTCCCCCTCGACCTGGACAGACTGTTGGAAATACTCCCGATTACTTCGGCGTCGGAGCCGCCTCTCTCAGTCTGGAGCCCAATCCCTTTGAGCAGTCTTTCGGCGGAGGCGCGCCAGAGACACCAGGTGGTACGAAATTACCATCAGTTGCTGCTCTGACCTCGCCATCTTCGTTGCTCCCTGGTAGCGGTGCAACTCCATTCAATTGGGGAGGAGGTTCTTTGCGGACCGGTCCTTTGAGCCCGGCCATGTTATCAGGTCCTACCAGCGATTACTTCAGCGATACGCATCATCTCCGTGGCGGTTTCCCGACCCCGAACGAGTCTTCGTTGAGAACTGGCTTGACTCCTGGTGGCAGTGGTTCCATGTTCCCTGCCCCCAGCCCCAACTCTCAGCAACTTTACGCTCAGCTGGCTAGTGGTGGTGCAACGCCTAGCACCATCGATTTCCATCGTACTGCATTAAGTGCTGCTGCAAAGCGTGACACGCAGGCTCAGAATCAAAACCAGAACCAGACCCAAAACCAAAGTCAACCCCAGAACCAGACACAGAACCACAACCAGCAACAGGCAACCGTGACTTCGCAACCGCAGGAAATGTCAAACGGCGCATCTGCTGTCAAGACCGAAGCAAAGCAGTTCGACCCGCACGATAACGACGCAGCGAACGGCCTGTTTATGCTTGCTCAGGGTGCCCAGGGCCGAAACGGTGCTCCCAACGGGGGATTCGCGGCAACACAAGCACAGTCGCAGGCTCGCCCAGCTCCACCACCTGCTCAAGGCGTAAATACGTCACCTCAAATGAGTGCTAACGGTGCCGGATCTGTTGGTGCCGGATCTGTTGGTGCCGGATCATCAATACGAGGTGTAAGCGAAGGCGGAAGTGCCATGTCAGATGACAGCGAGCAAGCCCGCCCCGCAGCCATGGGCAAGGGCAAGCGCAACTCGACTGGCGGCGCCTCTGCAAATGGCCGAAGAAAGGCTGAAGAGCCTCCATCCAAGGGCCCGCCCGCTAAGAAGTCGAAGCCGAACAACACTGCTCCCCCCATGGATATGATGGGAGATGATAGTCAGTCGGATGACGACGACATGAAGCATGAGAACGGTGAAGGCGGCAAGTCGAAGATGACTGACGAGGAGAAGCGCAAGAACTTCTTGGAACGTAACAGGTAAGCACCAACATTTGATACTTGCAGCCAGCGAGATGATACTAACTTCTTTGCAGAGTTGCCGCCCTTAAGTGTCGCCAGCGCAAGAAGCAGTGGTTGGCCAATCTCCAGTCAAAGGTGGAGTTGTTCAGCAGTGAGAACGACGCTCTCACGGCTCAGATCACGCAGCTGCGCGAGGAGGTCGTGAACCTGAAGACATTACTGCTGGCCCACAAGGACTGTCCTGTCACCCAACAGCAGGGCCTTCACGGTGCCTTTATGCAACAGGCTATGGAGCCATTCAATCCTCAGATGAACCCGTATGGTATGGCCGCTCCTATCCCCAACCAGCAAGTCCTGGCGGCTGGTCAGGGTGTGCAACGCCGCTTTTCATAGGATGATGAAGCCTTGTACAACAATCATTTCGAAGATGAGGAGTTGATTCTACCCATCAATGAGTAACCCGTTGAGGTTGCTGTTCTCGACTAGCCTCTGGCGACGTCGGGATTACGACTTTCATGCTGTTCCATTCTATGGCCCAGCCATATCTTACGGTTCAACTGTATCATCATTATATACGACGTTCTTGCGCCAACATTATTACTTGGTTGCTACGACCGGGCTGCAAGGATCAACCGAGGATAGGCTGTCCAGTAACAGAGGCAGCACACCTCGGGTAGGAGGAGGCAGGGAGTTTGGCAGGCGTCATTTGCTTGGTGCGATTGTATCAGTCCGTCGTTGGAAGGGCTAGATGCTGGGCATATACATCAAAAGGAGTTTAGGGATTGGCAAGTCATTTGAAAGGGTGTAGGCGTTGAGGGGTGGCCGATGGGAATACGCTATCTCCCACCGGCTGGTTGATTTCAACTGATTTATAGTAGCAACGGTAACAATAGCTGCATGAACAGCAATGCCTCGTGGTCATTTAATTTATGAGATTTTGCCCATTTTTTAAACCCTTGGATTAAATTAACTGCGCTTGCAAATGAAGATAACGCATAGGTTTCTTAGTGTATGTATATGCCACTTGTGACATTCAATGGCAGGTGGAAATGGTGAGCAGCGAGCCGAGTTGCGAGTGAATGTACGGAGTAAATGGGCATCGGATCAATCTATCGGCAGCGGCGAGTGGAACAGTGGAAGTGATGTAAGTGAGGCAGTCATGTTCCAGGGTTGTGAGTGGTCGAGAGGGGGTTCCCAAACAGGACTAGCGCAACCGCTCGGGTAAATCATCCCTCACTCGTGTAAACAACATCGCAGAGAAGGCGCACCCCAACATCATGCCTCGCGCCGCCGACTATCACACCTGCAGAGAAACGCGAAAACCACGACAGCACCCCGCCGACCACACTCCCAGCAAGACTGAAATTACGCAAAACCGCACCGAATTTTTGGCTGTCTTTGAATACTCACGCGCCGATTGACGCGCTTTTCGATTGCCTTGAGGCGCGACTCTCCGTTTTCCACTACGAGCACCACCTTTCGTCTCTCGACCGCATGCTTCATTTGACGCGCCATCCATGACGACCGTCATTCGCACCCGTCACCCGTTGCAAGTAATTAGCATGAGCAACGAGCAGCCAGAGAGAAGAAAAAGCAAGCGTCTTGCGGGTGGGTTGGAGGAGCGCGGGGAGAGGGCGAGGAAGATGCTAAAACGACGCGCAGCTTCATCGGTTTACGACGAGCAGGATGGCGACTTCCACTTCACGCGCGGATCGAAATCGAAGCGAGTTAAGAACGCGGAGCCCGAGCCGGAACCTGAACCTGAGTCTGAACCGGCGCCACTACCACCGAAAAAGTCTGGAAGAGGACGGCCAGCAAAAGGACGTGCTTCGGCGGCAGCGAAGGCGCCCGAGCCTGCATCACCAGTAGCAGCGCCAAAGGCAGCGACGTCATCAAAGCCGCGAATGCGACGAGCAGCGAGCTTACAGCCGGTGGAAGACGACGAGCTGCAATTGTTTGCGCCCAAGCGCACGACGAACCGAAGCACGCGCAGTTCGACTGGGAAAGCGGAGAAGGCAAAGCCGGCCAGGAAACCAGCACCGGAACCAGTACAGGAGGAGGAGGAAGAACACGATGAAGTTCACAGTGCGACACCGAGGAAGCCGGAGCCGGATAGGCGGCGGACGCAACGCGCCATTGAGGAACCAGTCGAGTCTGCAAAAATCACGCTTCCCGTCAGCGACACGCCTGTTATCAATCGCAACAAGGAAATGAGGAAAAAGGGCGGAGGCAATCGCCGGAGCAGCACGGGAATGCGCGGTCGGAGAGCAAGTTCGCTGATTGAGAGTGGGCACAACGCGATACCCCACCGAGAGGTCGATTCTGCAGAGTTTTACAAGCACATTGAGTCGGAGGGTCTGATGGAACCAAGACGGATGAAGCAGCTGTTGACCTGGTGTGGTGAACGGGCCTTGCTGCAAAAACCGCCCCATGGCCAAACAGATTCCAATACTGTTCTGGGTGGTGAGTAAAGCACAAATCTTGAAGAACCCGTGCCTAGGCTGACATTTCTCCCCCAGCTCGCTACATTCAGGAACAGCTCTTAAAGGACTTTTCCACAAAGTCGGAATTTTCAGACTGGTTCAGTCGAGAAGAGGAGAGGCCGAAGAAGCCCATAGTGTACCTTCCAAACCCACGCAACCTAGAACTCCAGGAGAAAATTGAGCAACAGGAACAAAAAGTCAAAAGGTATGTTTCTCGATCATCCAAAGTCATGAGGATATGGGCACTAATCATTCATAGATTAAAACAAGAAAAGAAGAAATGGCTGGCGCTAAACAAGACGCGTCCGGATATCCCGCCACTCTTCTCAGAAACAGACACAGCACAAATAGCAACAGCAGATGCATCCATACTGGAACCAAACGAGGCAGAAATGCTGAGCTGGCTCACCGACCCGGCATCCTCGTTTGAGAACGTCCGCACCAAGACGCTCGCCCGCCTGCAAAACACGCAGTCATCGCTGGAGTTTAAGGTGGACCAGCTCGCGGACGGCATACACAAGCTCTCGCAACGAGTCGACACGGCGGGCCGAGAGGCGGATAAGGTCCTCTCTCTCAGCGCCGCGCGGCTCAAGGAGCGGGAGGTGAGGGAGAAGGCCACCGCGGGCACCAAGGAAATGCCCGTTATGGAGGTGCTCCGCAGCCTGGGGAGGATATTACCAGAGGGCGGGGAATAAAGGAAACGATTGTTATTACACGCAACGCCGCTGTCTCTCCTTCCTTTTTCTTTATGACGAACCTTGGAGAAGGGGTATAATGACTGTTATGAAATTGTGGTTGTGGTTGGGGGCTGAGAGGTTTATTCCTCTTTTTGAATTTTCTTCCCTTCAGGTTTGTCTTGGGGGATGTTTATCCGAGATGGGTCATCTCTGGGGGAGGCTGGAAGACACAAACGTTTCGTTCCCTTCTTTCGATGCTTGTCTTGGCATGGGATTGGCGCTGGAGGCGGGCTTTTGGGGATGGAATTTTTGAGGTACAGACTACATCTCGAACGGAGTTTTCATTTAGCCAAATACCCACATGTTCTTTCGCTACCCGCGTCTGTAGTACGTTGCCGTGATGATGCCGTTTTTAAATGTGTTGGTTCAGTACATGGCCAAAAAGGGCCAACGTTGAGGTTGAGGAATCTTCAAGAGAGATGCAACGGATGGCGCATCTCTCTGTTATTCAATTCATTGCCAGACGTGGTAGCCATGTGACGCGACCAAGCTTTTCGGCATCGTTACTGTACAACTAGCACGAACCCCCGATCTGTTCACCACAACTCGGCAGATACAGTCGGATTGCTATTGAAGAACTTGACTCATTCCGATGTTGATGAAGAATCACGCAAGGATCCTGTTATCAATGCCTCTGTTACCTTAATTAGTAGCTACTCTACTCCGTACGTACGTACGGTGCACGATCCAAGCCACCGCGTGCCCGTCAAGATCGAACCATCGTTACAGTATTGATATTCATCGAATACGGTGACTGTTTCGTACGGTGCGAGCTCCATTGCAGCATCAAATTCAAGGGTCCTGTACAGTTTTCGAGGCGAACTACGGAGGACGGAAAAGTTGCTTTACTCGTCGTGTTATCGTGGTTAGCCGATATCCGTATTGTAGATGCATTGGCCTTCAACTCATGGATGCCATATTTGCCAGCTTCATGTCAGTGATTAGGAACATGTCAGGAGCAGATTCCTGCTGTAATGTAATTTGCGTTATATCATTCATGACTTTTATGGTGACCGTCGTATGTATGCATACACTAATACACACTCGAAAACCCCGAGGTGGTTTTTGATGCTTTCCGATGGCATCACAGAGAAACTCATCATCACCGCTCCGCGGCGGTGTCAACATCTCTCGTCTTCCGTAACTCCTTTACGCTGTTTGTCAAGCCATTGGGCTGGACCTCCGTTTTCACTTCACCGATGTATGCGTTTAAATCAGGTGCTTGGATCTGTCGTTGTATGCCATGGTTAGCTTCCAAATTTTCGAAATCAGAGAACTCGATGAAAGCAAACAAACCTGAAGTATGCCCGCAGGTACATAATCTGCCAACCCCACAGACCGACGAGGATGAGCGTCGTGCCGATGCCGAACCACTTGACGCGGGTGTTTGTGCTCTCGTTGGTGTCGCGCAGCTTGTGCTCGCGGGCGCGCAGGTAGTCCATCTCGGTGTTGATTTCGCTGACGAGCTCGTCGATGCGCCTAAGCTCCGCCTCGACGGGCTTGAGCTTCTCCGTCGCCTGGATGGCGTTCCAGTCCTTCGCGTCGGCGCCAATGTCGATGTCGAGTTCAATGTGGCGGCTCGTTGCGCCGCTACGGCCGGCTATTTGGTTTTGACTCTTGTCAGCTATCATGGCTCTTTGTCCCTTTCTTCTGGAGCGTGGTGTGAAGGGTTATTGGTTTCAAGCCATTGGCATGGCGATGTGCTTAGTTATAGGGGGTAGGTGGGTGCGACGTACAGCCAGAGAGGATGTTTTCGAAACAAACGTCAAAGGCGGCGTCTGCGTGGGAGGTGAAGACGACACGCTTCTCGCCGCCTGCAATGTCCTTGGGCTTTCCGTAGTCGTTGCCAACAGCGTCCTTGATCTAGAGAATCACTCATCATTAGCCAAACTGCCGTTGCGACCAATTTGCCTCCTTTTTCCCCAATCCTGTCCGTTGTTGCTTTCGACTCGAATCTCCGGAAAGCTTTTTTCTACTTCGAGATCTAATCCCAACATCGAGGAGGATGGCGTAGGGGGGCATAGCAGTTGAGGCCACATACGTGCATGTTGACGGTCATGCCGTCACCCTTTGAACCGTCCACAATAGCCGTGACGACGACCAAGGTGTCCCTAGCGACGAAATTGCGGATGCATCGCTCCTTCCTGCCCTCGTGGGTGCTCGTGGCTTGCAAATCGAACCTCAGCGCCTGGGCGCAGCAGGCGAGGAGCACCAGACCGCACACGTAGCGCAGCAATGATGTTGTCGGCGCCATGGCTTATTCGCAGAAAAGTCCGTCTCAAGTTCGAAGAGAACTTAAGCTAGTATTCGATCGATTCGAGGTCGGGGCCAAGTCGGCGGTCGTGGTTGCGGGGGGGAAAGGAAGAACAGCCTGGCGTGGGTGGTGGGAATTGCGTCGTTGAAGGAGCTCCCTGGGCTAACGAGGACACAACTGCGATAGGAGAGCTATGGGCCTCAAGGAACCACCTTTGGGGATTTTTGGAAATCTGTCGCGTTCGAAAAAGCCTGGACCACTCGAGGACCCCTGTCGAACGGGTAGAGGTCACCCGCTCTGGGCCAATTAAACTCGGTAGGTGGGGCAGCCTTGCGCCTTGGCACTCACGTGAGAGCGACAGCCTCGCAGCTTTTTGGGTGTGGCGTTTGCTCGCGCCTGGCGCGCTGCCTCTCAACTTCGCGATGCGACAAAAGCGGCATTGCAGCTTGAGGAATCCGGTTTTTGTCCACTAAACTGCTGCTTAATCGGAACCTCGTCAATCCAATACAGCATCTTCTCATAAACGAGATCATACCGCCAAGATGCCCAAATGTAAGTCGCCATCTCCTCCAAGTATCTCTGCAAAGACAAAGCTAACATCAGGTCCAGTCTTCTGTGCGTCTCAACCACCCCGACGATCCACCGCGAAGCTTCTCCAGCCCGAACTGACACATCTCCAATCCTAGGCGATTACTGCGATGTGTACCTCACGCACGACTCCATGAGTGTGCGCAAGGCGCATAACAGCGGTCGAAACCACCTGCGCAACGTCGTCGACTACTACCAACGTACGGCTCCTCCTTCCTGCCCACTCACCGCGACGCATCGAAGCTAACATGCTCTCCTCGTCTCTAGAAATCGGCCACGAAAAGGCCCAGTCCGTCATCGACTCTATCACCTCCTCTTACGCCGCAGAAGGCCAAGCCCACAACAACCCAATGCTGCCACAAAACCAGCCCGGATCGGCCTTCCCGCCGCCGTTCCCCTTCCCAGGAGGTTCGTACATATCTTAACCTTCCCACCCCTCTCTCTCTCTCTCTCTCTCTCTCTAAGTGCCATTTCATGGCGACAGGCACTTTTTGCATCACGTACTAACCTGATCCCCCTCCACAGGTGTCCCACCTCCCTTCCCCGGCATGCCCGCCGGCGCACCCCCCTTCCCTCAAGGCATGATCCCACGTAAGTCCCATCAGCAACCCTTCTTCCAAAGCCTTTCACAGACTTACATCCGTAACTAGCCCCAGGACAAGGCGGCCGCGGCATGCCTCCCATGCCCCCCTTCCCCCCAGGCCCCAACGGCTCACCAATGCCCCCCGGAGGCCTACCGTTCCCCCCGCCCGGAGGTCTCCCAGCCGGCTTACCATTCCCGCCCCCGGGCGCGCCAGGCGGTCTGCCCCCCAACTTCCAGTTTCCCGGCATGCCGGGCGGCGGCGCGTTCCCACCTGGACCCCCTGGCGCGTTCCCGCCCGGTGGCGGTCCTCCGGGTCAGGACAGGCGGTAAAGTGTAGCTTGGTTACCACCTTGGTGACAGCAACTACCTTGGTGAAAAAAAGCGGCATTCTCTCACACGGGACGGGGGCACGTGTCTTCTTGGTACAAGTGGGATTTGGTGTTTAGGCGTCATATTCAGGGCAAAGGGTGTATAAAAACTTTTCATGACATGGCATGGTATATCACATTCAAAAACAACATAGAAGAAGCCAAAGCTCCATCCTGCGCAACTCAGAAAGGGCCGAGGTTCTTTCTGTTTTCTCGTTCCGAAGCTTGAGTAAAGAAACTTGAGTAAAATGGTATCTTGAGCAATTTTTTCTATATGATACAATAATAAGAAGTCCCTCTTTATTTGTAGCAGACAGCGCGCGTTCAATCGTTCATCAACACCTGGCCCTTCCAGTCCCAAAATATCATTGTCATCAATATCGTCAGAGAATGTCTCAAGTGCGAAACTTTGCTCCCATGCTAGCATCAGCTCTCTCCCGAATCCGCGAAGAAAACAATTCTTTGTGTCGTTAAAAAGATTCTGTAGTCGTAAAGATGGAAAAAAAAAACCAAAGCGTTCGTTCGTAGCAGTCGTAATAATCCCATTGATTTCCTCCAGCACTCCCCATTGTGTGCTTCATACCCAGATATATTACGCGTTGAAAAATACTCCAGATGGAATATCAGTGATGAGAAATTTTGTACGTTGGAAGCGCATCAAAAATGTGCGACTGGCAAGTTATTTTGTTCGTTTGGGGGGCCGCGATACGAGTTCCTTCGAAGGACGTCGCCCATGCCGTCTCTCACTTCGCGCGGCCCGCTGATCTTCTGTCTCAGCTCCTTCGTCCTCTTCTCTCGCTTGCGCTCGTTCAGCTGTCGCGGAAGGTTCTGCAACCCTTCCAAGGTGCCCGAAATCGAGAAACGACGTCTTCGTTTCGGCCGCTCATCTGCGTCGCGATCGTTGTCGTTCTGCCTCGTGGAGGGCCCCGAGGTAGGTGGTGATTGATCGCTCAGAGAGTCGAGGCTGCCACGGCGTCTCATGACCCGTAGGTTCCCGCTGCCTGTCCGGCGGATGGTTCGGCGATCAGGCTCGTTTTGAGATCCAGAGTAGACGTCATCCTCACCACGTGCAGGAAGAATGGCAAACGTCTTCTTCACCCGCTCGCTAATACGTCTTCGGGGGCTCGGCCGATTGTCAATAGGAGGGTATCGATAGACCTGGCTGATGGGCTCGTCCTCCATTTCTCTCTCCCACACATCGTCCTCCTGATCTGAGTAGGCAGGACGCCAGTGCGGATGCAACCGGTCGTCCTCGGGCGGCCGGGCCATGCATTCCGGGCATGAGCATGGTTCTTCCACGGCAGAATGGTCCTCACCGCGAGTCCCAGAGCTTGATCCTCTCCTCGTTAGAGAAAAGGTTCTGGTAAGCAGCCCAGGTCTGCCACTCTTGGGCGGGTACGTCTCCGAATTTCGTCGTCGGACCAATGCCCTTTTGATAACAGATCTACTCCGCTGAGGCTGCTCCTCCTCCATCGCCTCGAAATAGTTGCCCATGTTGCGTTGTCTCTCATGATTGGGGGTCAGCCCCGAAGGCGTTGCGGGAATGAACTGAATCGCAGGTGGATTAATTGGAGGGACCGGAGGCGCCGCGCGAGGGTTGCGGAGTGGTGAATCAACGTCGTCCATGGAATGCCGAGGCTGCGGTGGTGTGGTTGGACACTCGCCGCCTGGCCCAGTGGTGATGATCGTAGGCCTCTGAAGCGTTTGTGGCAACTCTCTCTCCGTCTGCGAGTCCTCAGAGTCCTCCGATGGCTTGTTGGAGTGGTTGACAACAAGCACGGATGAGTTTTGATGAGGGTACAAGCTCACAGCCTTGGCCTCAGACACTTCGGGCGCAGTGCCGCTGGTTTCTACCGAAGCTGCTGAGAAGGGCGTATTTTGCGTAGATAGCCGTTTGCCAAAGAAGGGATCACCATGACGGTCAACGTTAAGTTTGTGGTCTCGGTGATGGTGGCCGTTATCAGTCTCAGAGGAGGTCGCTCTTTGGAGGGTCAAGGCGGGTACCCTCGTTTCATGTCCAGGCTGTTGATTCAACAAAGCGTTCTGAGATTTCAAACTTTCCGCGGTGAGTGAGCCAGCGCGCGAAGTGTTACGGCTGGTCGGAGCGGATAAGGAGGAAGAACGCTTCGGGATGACGGGCGGGTAGTCAATCGTGCGTTGGTCAGATCCATCTGACTCGGACATTGAGCGGAGTTTTCGCCCTGGACGCTCGAATACAGGCGTAGGCAAGTCGTGACTTCTTGGTCCATTTGTACGAGTCGTCGAACCGATACTGTTACTTCTTTTGGATCGCCTACTGCTGGTCGACCTGAGAGACGGCTCCCGGCTAGATTTGGACGATCGACGATCCGGAACAACAATGACCGGTATGCCACCGCTCTTCCAGACTTCCCTGCGTGCTTTGCTACTTGAAATCGAGTTGAACGTGGTGTTTGAGGCATAACTGTCATGACGGCTTTCGCTAGGACGAGTGAGCGCCCTAGATCGCCTCGGACTTCCTTCCAACTGAACAGCTGAATTTGTGGCAGAGCTGAGGGGAGACAGATCAGAGCCTGAGTCCCTCAACCCAAATTGCTTTCGGACGTGTCTGAGTGTCTGCCTCCTTTGGGGGATTGAAGGAGCTTCGACCAAGATTGCCTCGACAACAGTCGAGGCAACCGACTTGGTCGACTTTGCAGACTTCGCAGACATTCCCGACATTCTGCGAGAGTCCGCATCAGCTGTCTTTCCTGGGGTCGAAGTGTTGGGCCAAGCGATTTCGCTAGGTGCGTAGAAAGCTGCCCTGTCTCGTTGGGACATGGCGCGCACCGCCTTGGTAGCGTTTGTCGGTGTAACAACGCGGTCTTCGATAATCTCGACCCTCCGCCTTCCAGTCCGAGGCGGGGCTTCGGGCTTAGTACGCCTCTTTCTTACTGTAACATTTCTGCCCAGGTTGTCATCCCATTCTTGTTCCACTTCGTTATTCGAGGCCCATTCTCCGTCAAAGCTACCAAAGTCTGCCTTGGCCTTGGGAGTTGGAAGGTCCTCAGAAGGTGACTCCAGTCCCAGGCCTAAACCGACTGGGGGCGGCGTCCTCGTCTGAGGCTCGGAAACGCGACGAACTGTGTTCTGGGAAGTTCGTGCTGACAGAATATTTGGCCGGACAGTCGACTGCAAGTCCTCTTCAGAGGAGAAGGGCTCTTCTCTGGCAGTTCGAAAAGACTCAGTCCGCGACTCGATAGTAGTAGCTTTCGATACTGTGCGGTCGATAGGTATCGGTCGAACAGCCTTGGGGCGAGTGGCAGGTTGAGGCGGCGTCACGTCAGGCGTTGGTGGACTTTTCTGGTTCGGAGGAGTCGCTGGCGCGCGCGCTGGGGTTGTTGGTGTCTGTGATTCCGGCGCATGAAGTTCGGCGGGCGCTGGGCTCGGATGCTGGATGGAGTGAGTGCTCGATGAGGTTCGCGAGTGGGAAGGCGGTGTCGGAGGCAAATCCGGGCCACTGCCTATCCGCTTAGGTTGGTGTCTCAGTGTCTGGGGGCTTTGGTATTGCGGCCCTCGCATTTGCGACGCTACAGCATCCACGTCGAGGTCATATTTCCTAGGCGTCGACCGCACTTCATAGGAATGCGCAGAGTCGCTTGCATGTCTCCTAGGATGCGGTAGTACTTTGTGCTTTTTGAACATTCTTTGCGCCTGCAAGCCGTCTGCAGGCAAGGTCGCGACGTGTTTCTTAGCTCGAACCGGCATGGCGGCGGAGTTGAGGCTCGTAGCAGCAGCCATTTCAAAGGGCGGTTGTTGAAAAACGTTCCATAGACATGCGACGCGCTTCAACTGCACACACGTTGACCCTTCGCAGGTTAGCGAGGATGGGAAAGGGCCAGAGTTATTTGCATGCTGAGCAGAGTGAAGTTCATGAGCGTGTTCGTGCTTGAGATGAAGAAGTGAGTAGCCGACAGTACGACGCTGGACAGTTCGGAGTGCCGAGTGAAGGAAGGTGAAGACTGAAAAACCGCTGGTGGTAGAGACGAGAAAGTCTTAAGGGTAGGCGTGAGACATTGAATCGGAAAGACTTGGTTGGTGAATCGCGTCAGAGACCAGTGACGTCCAGTGACCGAAGACAGTCATGAGAGAGACAACAGAAGCGATGAGACGGAGCACAATCCTCAGGGCGGTTCAATCCAGCGATATGAGACGGAATCTCTGTGGTTGAGGTGAAGAGTAAGTGGTCGCAGTGGTCACGATGTAGGGCCCGTGTTTTGTGCTGTAGAGAGAGAGAAGGAGGGGGATGAGGCGAGGACGAATACTCGGGCGTGGGATGCGGTCCGATCGGGTCCAAGTCGCACAGACCGACGTAGGGAGAGGAGGCTAGGCGTAGGGGGCCTAGACAGAGAGAGAGGACGGGATGATATGTGAGATTGACGCTGCGCTTCGGCCGGCCTTGGTGGAAGCGTGAAAAGGAGGTAAAAAAGGGTAATCCAAGGCTTCCTGCGGCCTGCGGACGGACGCTGGCGCTATTTTGGTGCAGGACACGGCTTCAGGAGGTTGAGACGACGGAGACAGTCGAGGGTTGAGAAAAGACAGACGGGAAGGTTGATTGGCAGGGCGGGAAAGGGTCTGACGCAAATGAAGAGAAAGCACCCTTTTGGGGTGGGAGAAGAGACAAGGGCAGAGCAGAGCAGAACAGAACAGAGATGGAGCGGCAAGTATCCGGACGTGAGAAGATTGGTGGTGGCAGAGGGTTGCAGAGACAGAGGCAGGCGAGGAGGAAAGCTGGCGATAGGTGCGAGAAAGAGGAATGGCGGGGCGTTGCGCGCCGGTAAATGGGTACACGATACTTACATCATTGAGGTGCTAGGAACCCTACCTTACCTAGGTATTTAGGTAGGTACCTAAGGTGAGGTAAGGAAGAGAGGTCGAGGTGAGTCTGGTGAGGTCAGTACTTTAGACCCGACTGTTCCATACAATGTATCTTTCCACTGCGACTACCAGTAAAAATACATTAAGCGCATCTCAGTCCAATGGGACGTGGGTCCAACCTGTTCGTTTCGTGACGGCTGCGCGAGAAAAAAGACTGGGCAGCCCCCGTCGCAAACTGTGCGTGTTCCGCGTGGACGGTGGATTCGGGGCCTTTCCAACCCTGCCGAGTCAAGGAGAGTCCTAATAGCTCAGGTTCCTCCCGTCAGGTAGTACTTCATGGTCGCGCTCCATGGAAGTCTCAGGTCCAAAAGAGGGCAGAAGAAGTTGGCCAGCGAAAATTCGGGTGGCGGGGAAAGGAACGAACAGGCAAACAGCCCTCCCTACCTTACGTGTACCTCACCAACAAACCTAGTACGGGCACCTTTCCAGTGACTTCCAAGTGAGAAGAATTGTACCCAGAAGCCCCTCAGCTTTTTGGATAAAGTCCCGTCAGTCGTGTCAGTGTAAGATACTAGTGGATGTTTTACTCCCCAACCACGGTCCAAGATACTTGCAATCGCAGTTTTCTCCCTTCTACTACTGATATCGTCGTCCCCCTCCCCCCTTTGTTCTCCAGTCGCATTGAGTTCGTCTCGTGATGCGCAACTTTACCAGGATAGGTACTTGTGGTAGGTAGGCGCGTGTGGCCCAGCAGCAGTAGCTCCGCCAGGGGGGCCGAATGAGGAACTCTTCCACCATCCCAAGTTCCCAACTGTCGCCGTAGCGCCCTACGCGGGCTCAAGTCGGCCGGGAAAAACGGGGCCGGCCCAATCCGCCCTCCAATAAGTCCATCTGCACCAAGGTCGCAACGGCTGCTCATAGGTTGGAACCTGCTTGAGTGGTTGCATCGTGCTGCAGGCGTGGTTTACTTCTTCTGCAAAGCCATGCCAACTTTTCTTCTCTGCTGCATTCGCGGCTCGCCTGCTTTTCTCCCCTTTCCCTCCTGTTTCTCTCTCCCATGAGTCCCCCCCCATATTCCACTCTTGTCAGTACCTTGGTGTGTGCGGAAGGTATTCTTGTGCGTCTGTCCTCGCCTTGGTCTTCCCCTCACCTGCTCCAACATGCCCTAGGTACTCCGACCGGTTCGGCCACATGTACTGCAAGTCATGCCGCCCAATAGGGAATACATAGCACTTGCCAACTCAAGGGCATGAATTTGGAGAGCGGTCCAGTCAAGCAGCCGAGTCTGTCCTCGCTTTCCATCACAGCACCCAACTTGTGCTTGCCCAAGCTTCTTGATGATGCGTCCTTCCTGACTGGTTGGGAGAAGACCAACGTAAGGTAAGGTAGGTAGCATCCCATCTCGCAGGTTGGATGTCTTGCTGTAAGCGATTTCAACGCGCCATGTTGAACGCCATCCCGTCTCCCGTATAGATCAAAAACAGCGCAGATGCAGCAACAAAGAAGTCGTAATCACTTTCCCGTGCTTGCCTCAGACAAATCAAAACTGTGCAACTTGGCGTCCTCTCCCAGACCTGCATGACTTCCAACAAGCCCCGAAGCGAATCAGCGATCTGCCACGGCTTGCTGCATGAGACAAGGTGCAGATTTGGAAACAGAGCCACTGCAAAGGATGCACAGGGACAGGAGACTGACTTGAAAAGTTTCGATAGGCAGCATCGCCATTCTTGCAGACCAGCGGCACACAGATACCAGCTCGCCCCGCCGAGGTATGAAAAGAAAAGACAGAAAAAAAGACAATTGCCGCTGCACTATAAAGGTGCTCCTGAAAAATGAGACTGGGTTTGGCGAGTGCCATCCCTACAAGCTTCTGTGCTGAGAGTGTTGTCTCCAGTGGTCGAGGTTTCCCGAGTCGGGCTGATGTCCCGCTGCAACAGTAACATTTCCGAACTGTTCGCTTTTTTATCAGCCAAAGGGGTGCCGGGTCGGCATGTTTCAGCCGGAGAAAGCTCAACGGCCGCGGGATGGTGCCGGGGCGGAGCACTCCCGGGCTCCGCCGTGAACACCCGGGCTGGCTAGTCGAGAGTCGGCCCGTTGTGGGTCAACAAGCTCACGACGGGACTTTCAATGAGCGGCGAGGCCATGACGGATCCGGCACCTCGGCACGTGCGGATGGGCCGGGGCAAGACTCAACCCCTCGTTGAGATTCATAGATGGATTGAGTACGCAGGCTGGTCACCTCAGCTTGGAGAAGAAACTCATGGGTTTTAAGTACAGATACGGCCCTGGTGGTCGATGCCCTTCCGTGGGCTACCAAATAATCCTTATCGATCTCAAAGGGACGTGATACGGTGACAGGCCGCCGATGAAGCCGACTTCCGGGCAAGTGGCGTACCCTGCTTATCAGCTCTCCGGACCCGGTCTTGCAACATGTCGCATCTCATCGCCGCTGTCGATTTCTCTCCAAGCGAGCAGCCTGCAAAGTGTGCATGACGGGTTGCAAGTGCACCGAGGTGGCCGTTACTGCTGGTTTTCCTATTCGGGTAAGCGCCTAGCACAGCTTGCATGTGTTAGCGTGTCGTACGTAGCTTTATCTTATCAGCCCCGCGTGGGAGTTGCGGCTTGCCCCACGTCATCGACGAGGACTCCCATCTGAGGAACCCTTCTTCACCAATGCATTTCTGAAGAACCAGGACTCTCTTGGAGATCGGAGAAGGCTTGTTCGCATACAACGACTCATGAGCTAATGTTGTTCAGAGCCATCCCATTGGCCGAGGTGACTCTACTCGTACCAGCGCAACGGCCGCTTCTCCGCGGAACCAGGTTGGTGCTGTCAACGCTACAGACTTGTTCTTCAAGACCCAGCCGATGGCCCTGCAGAAGGTGCATCTGGGGAACCCATTCTGGCTTATCTCGTTCAGAGTTTGCATCATAATACCGACAACACTCCAACTTAACCCCGCCTTACTCACGGCATCCAGACCGTCCGTCCCAGGTCCTAACAACCTAGGAACAGACACTTGGACCGTTCTCCCCACGGCAATGGCTTCGCCGAGGGCGCCTGGGTAGTACACTAGGCAGAACCCTGCCACTTCTTGCAGTACCGCTTGATCTGAGGGTTCTCCGTCCGGTGTACAGAGGCCGGGTACTCGAAGCCAATCGAAGCTTGAACCAAGCATCTGCGTTGATCTTGCAAGCATCATGACATTGGACAAGGGGGAGAGAGCTTTATCTCTTGCCCCGCATTGTCAGCAACCTCTGCCGCGGCCCTGGTCTTTACCTAACGCGAACACGTTAATCGTTTTGACCGACATTGCGTCTGATGGTTATCCATTGACCAGTAAGCGTCTCAGGGAGCTCTCGAGGTGTGGCTAATACGTCGACGATAAGCTTGCGAGCCGGTCCCGGGGCCATACCTTATGCCCACCATAAAACATCATGCGTGGAGAAGAACTGTCGAACTTCGGCCAATCTGCTTCTGACATGGACCGGGAGCTTGCAGCTCGCCGTGATTCATAAAGTCGAGGCCATTCCCCTTGACGGACTTTGGACTTTGCCCTGAGCAGCAGCTGCAATCTGAAATCATCGTATAGCCGACTGTCAGCATCATGGTCTCTCGAAGCATCCTCGCACTCTGCCTTGCGGCAACCGTCTATGGTCACGGCGACCATGACGACCCTCAGAAGTCCATGTCCGGACCTCACCAGTCTCTCTGGTATAACACGATTCCTGGTGACGGTGGCACTCAGGTAGGAACGCCATTGAGCTAGCCTGGAAGCACTCTCTTACACATCACAGGCCGACTCTGTATTCTCGGGCATTTCCACCTTTGGTCGCCTGCCGTACCAGCCGTGCCTCGGCGCGAAGAATGTTAAGTACGACATTGCTTTCATTGGTGAGTAGATGCCGTAGAGCAATTGACTATGAAGGGCACTTACAAGACGCAGGTGCCCCCTTTGACACTGGTACTTCATACCGCCCTGGTGCTCGCTTTGGCCCGTCAGGAATTCGCCAGGGCTCACGCCGTCTGAACCTCTAGTAAGCACATGTCTATTCGAAGCTGCTAATTTCGCGCGAGGACGAATACTTACACCACGCAGCGGAGGTTACAATGTGCCATTGGCCACCAACCCGTTCAACAGTTGGGCCACCGTCCTTGACTGCGGAGACATTCCGGTCACATCGTAAGAAGCCAGCACGCACCTTACTCGGCCGTTTGCTAACTCGACACAAGTTACGACAACACGTGGGCTCTGCACCAGATCGAAGAGGGACACTTTGAGATCCTGTCTCGCCAGCCTGCGACAGATGCGGCGAAGAAGGGGCCTGCGAAGAACGAGCGCACCCTGCCTCGTGTCATCACTCTGGGTGGTGACCACACCATCACCCTACCCTTGCTGCGCTCTATCAACCGTGCCTACGGTCCCGTGTCTGTCATTCACTTCGACAGCCATCTCGACACCTGTAAGTTGATCGATCCATACAGGCGCGTGTAGCAAGACTTACGTTGTATAGGGCGCCCCAAGGTCTTTGGCGGTTCTCCTTCAGAGGTCGCTAGCATCAACCACGGCACGTACTTCTACCATGCCGCCCAGGAGGGTCTGCTGCGCAACGACTCCAACATCCACGCTGGTATCCGCACGACGCTCAGCGGACCCAGTGACTACGAGAACGATGGATACTGCGGCTTCGAGATTGTTGAGGCTCGCGAGATTGACAAGATCGGCACGGATGGCATTATCAAGAAGATCATTGAGCGTGTCGGCACCAAGAACCCCGTCTACCTCTCTTTGGATATCGATACCCTTGATCCTGCTTGTAAGCGACCCCAAGCTTGAAAACGTTTGGGGAATACATTCTGACCGTGGCGTGTAGTCGCTCCCGCTACCGGTACCCCTGAGACGGGCGGCTGGTCCACTCGCGAGCTCCGCACCATCCTTCGTGGATTGGAGGACCTGAACCTGATTGCCGCTGATATCGTGGAGGTTGCTGTAAGTTCTCCTCATGGATGCTGCTGTTGCAGGGGACGGGGTGACAGAAAGCTAATTCATTTGACATAGCCTGCCTACGATACGAACGCCGAGCACACTACCATGGCCGCCGCTGATGCGCTCTACGAGATTATGAGTATCATGGTCAAGCGTGGCCCCCTCAGCGCCATGGTTAACCAGACCGAGGTCTACGAGGAGCTCTGAGGAAGAAGCATTGCAGCATGATCGCGAGGAGGAAACAAGACGGCTCTCCTGTAACGAAGGACAGGAGTTTATAAGCATTGTTGATGGGAAGTGGTCCTCTTGTTGGTACAGGCGTTGTCGGAGGTTGGAGTTGCGACTGCAAAAGTTGGCGGACGTTGTTGTTCTAAGTTGCAAGTTGGATGTAGTCAATGAATGAATGGTTTTGGATCTGGACAGTCTCCGTACCCATCTCACAGGCCTTTGACATTTCCAACAGACAATCAAGTCTACGTCGGAAAGTATACGTAGGTTGCAACGACACGTGCTAAAGGAACAGCAACAGATCTCCATGTCAAATTGGAGTACCTGGCCTTCAACGGCGGAAACGGCTTTTGCGTCCATTGATCGACACAGCCCTGCCACATCAGCTGAACGGATCAGACTCGACTCAACGCTTCCTTGTCACGCTTGTCTACTTATATGTTAAACCCCTCACTTCAAGTACAGCCCGTAGCTGGAATGTCCGCTCACCGCGCGCCCGAAACGCGACGCGTATCCGTACTGGAATGTTCAGTCTGCCTTATCCAGAGCTTGAGCGAGAAAGCAGGGAACACGCACAGACCCGGACCCTTCGGGAGCAGCGGGGGCGGCCTCCTCCATCGTCTGTGCCCCCGCCCGTGGACGACAGGGACTTTTAAGTGTTGGGTTTCTATTTTGGTCGCAGGGCTAACCTAGGCGGTAGCGGTAGGGCGGCACGCGAAGCTGCTAGCGATAAAAGATGGCCGGGGGCGCATTCCAGTGAGCTGGTAACGCCAACTTTGTGCTAGGACAAGTTTGCGCAACCAATACTTTTCAGCTAGAAGATGCTTTTTTTTTTTTTTTTTTGGTCGAGTCAAAGAGAATTGAATCGATAATGGGATTGGGTGTCAACGCCCACCTTGAAGACCGCTTGCTGGAGATCTACCTAGATGACTGAGCGAGTGTAGGGGCATTGATGTTGATGAAGCTGAAAGGAAGGCCAACTATCCCGCGCGCCGCTACGGGTCTCAGTCCAAGCTGACTCTGCGAGGCGTTTGATGCCATGCTGCATCAAGTCTTGGTTGGATTGTCGCACGGGAGAAGCTCTCAACTTTTGCTGAATACCTACTAGGTGCCAGGTGGTTCAGAATTTGGGAAATGGATCTCGGCGACTGGGCATGACCCGAAGCGACGCTGGGCAAATGGTCCGTCTGCCCCCAAACTCCGATCCGCAAATCGAAACAACATCACTCACGCACCCGGTCGTCTGTCTTCTTCTTTTTTCTTTCTTTCCTTAATGGAAAGGCCACGCAAGCTGGCGACGATAATGGTGGCTTGACGGGTTGCACGTGTGTGTCTCTCGGTCACTGACACACCCTTTCGCAGCCGTTCTCGGGTGTGGAATGTGCGCGAGCAGTGGTTCCCACTCATCCCACCCCTTCTCCCCGGCCACTTTCAGGTTTGCATTCGTGTCAGTTGTCTCACTGCTTGATGAGAGAACGGGTACCTAATCGTTTGGAGATCTCGAGTCATTTTGCACCTTTGCACACGATTGCTGGTGGCTTTTTGATAGTACGAGCTGTATCCAAATAGCCAGCTTCGCGAGACGAGATACGATCATCATCCTCAAATCCAACAGAGGCGGGAAATGAAATCCCCGACCAGTCTGTATCATATTCGTGAAGAGCAATGTCGAGAAGTCCTGTAAGCAAGAGTCGGATCGCAAGTTCATGCCATGAAGGAATACGTTACAGGGAGGGGTTGGAAGCGTCGCTCTTGATGTCAGCGATGCAGTTCTGCTCTATCGAAAATGTCTCTGCTTCCTTTTACAAGCAAAACACGCGGCCGATGACAGGATACTGGCACGAGTGGAGGGAGGTTCCCCTTGGCCTGCCATCGCACCTCCCATTCCTCTCCGTTGCTCCCTCTCTGCGTGCTGCGCGATACTCACGCATCCCGGGGTTTCCGGGGTTCTGGTTGCAGAACGATGCAAGATTGGGAATACCTACTGCCCAGACTGCAGAAGACAGGTTCAGAGGCAACCAAAATCTTGTCACTTACCACCTCAAGTGCCTAAAGTAAGGTAAGGTACCTTATCCAAAGTCGGCCGGTGAAGAAACCTTCCAAGAAAAGACGCCGACGACGACCCGATTCGCCAATCGGCAAACCCGCACCACCAAGGCGCCGCTACCAGCCAGCCCCCAGCCCGGCTTCGCCATCGCAGTTGACGTCTGTCTCAGCGCCGCCGCCGCCGCCGGCTTTTCTCTCTCGTCTTCGTTTCTTTCCGAGCCCAGCGGGTCTCTCCACCCCCATCGTTTTCTGCAGTGGGTGAATGGATTAGAGCCAAGGTTGACTTTCCACTCGACGTTTGCTTGCGCTACCTTGGCTTCCGAAAGCTGATCCCAGCCATCTTGACTCTTCTTCCTTTCCGTGCCTGAAGATGGCTTCTTCTGTTTCCCCCCTTCACTAGTTGGTACATGGTAGATTCCCATGCTTCCACACACCTAGCCATCTATATATGGATCACGGATGTTACCACCTTCATCCCTTCCGTTTCTCTCATTATCAGCATTCATATTTCACACCACAGCATAAGAAACTTGCATCCCTCGTTTTGTGTGAGCTCAGCTACTTACACAAAGGCTTCGTCTATCCTCGTCGCCTCTGCCCTTTCCACCTCGCTGTCTTCACTACCACGACAACTCACCAGAGAAGCATCAACATGAAGACATCCGCTACCCTCATCCTCGCCGCTTCGGCGCTGGCCTCTGCCCAAGTCACATAGTAAGTCAACCACCACCTACCTCTCCCTTCAATCCTCCCTCGTCCTCACTAACACCACCCACTCTCACCCAGCAACGCAACAACAGGCCAATACATCTGCTCCCGCCCCAACTCAGCCTTCTGCGCAGGCGACTCCTTCGGCACAGACATCATCATCCGCTGCGACGCAAACGCCCGCGGCCAACCAGGCCGCTGCACAAACAACCTCGCTGGCCAGTTCCCCTTGGGCGTCAACCCGTCCCTCTGCTGGATGTCCCAGCCCTACTCGGGCGACGCCGCCTGCGAGAAGAACTGCGTCGTCTACGCGTCCCCGAGCCCCTTCCAGCTCCCGCCCAGCGTCTGCACGCCCTACGCTTCCGGGACGGGGACGGGGACGGGATATGTACCGCGGCCTACGTACCCGATTGGGCCGCCGCCAAGGTCGTCTGTGAATGGCACGACGAGTACCGCTGGTCCGGCTAGACCTACTGGAACCGGTGGTGGTGGCGGCGGTGGCGGTACCGGCGGCGGTCCTGCGCCTTCTGGGAATGGTACTGCTCCGACGAGCCGCGGTAGTGGTGGTAGTGGTGGAGGTGGCGGCGGCAACGGTGGAGGAGGCAGCTCCGGTCGTCCTACCACCACCACGTCCGGCAGCAACCCATCAGGCACGCGGACCCCGATCCCGCCCTCGGGTACAATCACCAACCCGACCTCCGTGCCCACCGCTGCCGCCGTCCATAACTCCGTTGGCTCTCTCGTCGTTGCTGGCATCGTCGCTGCCTACTTCATCTAGACATGTTTCTTTCCTACCTGTCGACGGGTCTACAACTCGCACCTTGGCCCCCCTCTCCAGGCGAGAGATATTGAGGTGTTCAACAATACGTTCATTCCTTAGCAATTCACACATACCCACCCTTCATTAGGCCACCACGGAAAGGCCCGACTCTTTGCATTTATACATCTTACTTTAATACCAGTCACACCAATCGCATCATCATGGGCGGGAACAGTTTCTTATTCTTATAGAGCCCGTCTTGAGGCGGAGTATACTTGACACGGCGCAAGGAGTTTTATTTGAGTCTATCCTCACTCTCATGAGGACCGCATCTCTTGAACAGGAGGGATTTCGGAACTAGGGCCAATACTGGGCCATACTAGATTAGACTTCAACGTGGTGCAGGGAATCATATGGATTTAGATTCGGATTTGGAATTGAATTTTTTTTAAACTTCGGGAAGAAAAGCGAGTAACCTAGTCTGAAGGCCCTGGAGGTAGAGATAGATCCAATCATTTATATCCCATGTTCATCTATCCTCTCATCAAGTGTTGGAAGGTTCTCTTGTAGATGGTGCGGGTACTCTCTTATATTCCGTGAAAAGGACAATCTCACCCAAACCTTTATTCGGAACCTACGAGGGTCTGTTTAGCGCGATTCGTTGACAAGTAGCATCAATCGTTATTTTACATGAGGAGACTATATATCACTCAAGGTTTTGTTGCAATAGCAAGAGACTTTTGAATGAGGGACGACGGAAGTACGTTCTTCAATGTGTGCTGGAATATGTTCCCTAAGCTCAAGCCTTGTGAGATCCCCCTATGTTCATCGTGATCAAGGCCATTATACGTCCCTCGTATTCGTCCCCTGACCATCGTATTTCCGTTCCGCGTTCCTTCCGGATCTCAGGTGGATCCGTCCTCATTGCCTTTAAAATTCCACTCTATAAACGCCGCCCAATGCATGATGCTATAAATCAAAACAAAGCAACAAAAAGAGAGATGGCCACGGCAGCCAACGACACCGCAACCCTTGAACCCCCTGAATTGGGAAAATGCTTCTGGATCTCGCCAGTTTGTGTCGGTGAGATACTCGAGCAGCTCGCGGTGCCGCACTCATACCCGCTCGGACAGCAGCCAGGAACGGGACCGCCCTCGTCGCCGCACAAGAACCACCCGCTCGCGCAGGTCTCCGTCGCCTGGGGCTCCGGCACTTCGGTGAGAGGAACGACAACGGTGACACCGTTGCTGATAATGGTCGTCGATTCTGTAGGCGGGCATGAAGTAGTGGCACAGTCTCGACCGGTCTGGCAGCAGCCTCCACCAGCGCGGGCGAGACACGCGTAGAACCCAGTCGGGCAGTACGCAGATGTGACCGGCGGCTCGTCCGAGTCGATGGACGTCGGTCGGAAAGGAGGCACTGCGGTGCCAGTAGTCGTCGTCGTGGGCTCTGGAGCCGTGGCTGATGGCTCCTCAGGGGTTGTGCTCGTCGTGGTTCTTCTCGTGGTCGCTCCGCCGGGATTCACCGTCACGATTACCGTCACATGCACGGTCGTGGTTCTCCCGTCGACGAGTGTCGTTGTCGAGACGGACGTCGTGGTGATGGTCTGAACGACTGTCGTGCCTGCTCCTCCGCCACCTCCTCCGCCACCGGTACTGCCGCCACTGCCGCCGCCTCCTCCTCCTCCTCCTCCCCCACCTCCACCAGTGCCTGTGGCCGTCTGAGTTGGTGAAGCACTCGTTGCCGGAGGAGGGCTCGGTACACCTAGGTCATGTCAGCTTGTAAGGAGACATTGAAGAGCGCATGAAGACTTACAGCCAACACCTTGGCAGACATATCCTGGAATGCAACATCCACCACTCAGCTCCGCGTCACAACTTGTAGTACCGCTGGGGCATGCCGCAACAGCTCCACTGCAAGCAGCGCCCTTCGGACAACAGGCGACGTTCCCAACATGCTCATCGACCACCTTCACGCACATTTCGTTGCTCAGGCAGCATTTGTTGGCCGCACCGATGTATTCACAGCTGTTCATGCTCGTCGGGCAAGATTGCCTCTTCTCGAGTATGTGAAGGGCCTCAACGGCGCGCCTAAGGCTCTCCCAGCCCAGGCTAGTAGTGCTGTCATGATGTTCCGCAAAGGGTGGTCGATATGAAAATGAGGCGTTGGACAGGAAGTTGTCGTCGGCCATGCGAGCGGCGAGTAGCTCTTCGCGGGGCGAGAGTGGAGTGGTGTTTATTGTCCCAAAGACGTCGTTGGGGGTGAAGGCGAGGTCATTGGGCAGAAGCTTCTCCCCGGCGTTTGGTGACATTTTGCGGACGGCCGCAGGATGCTCTGCGTTGATGCATGCTGCTGTAAGAAGCAAGAGCGATGAAGGAAGACCCAGAAGCGAATTAGAATGCATTGTGCCGAGTTCAAGGCAGGGCCTTTGGTACCGATCGGAATCTGTCCTGTGCCTGGCGATGATGGTGTTGAGGTTGGGTTAAACTCGTCACCCGGCCTCAAGCTCTGTGTGTAAGTAGCGCTGGGTCGCGCCTGTCAGTTTAGTTCTCTGACGCCGACGATCTTTGTCAACGACGATCTTTGTCAACGACGATCGGAGATTTGGTGTGGAATGTCAATCTGCAGAGGGTCGCTCGGATTGAATTGTAGAAGATTGAAAAGGGTAAAGAGAAGAAAAAGAAAAAGAAAAAAGGTCTGGTCGGGCATTTAGTGAGGCGTGGAAGGCGCCGCGGAAATCGGTGGCTGGGCGAAGATGCACAACTCACACCTACCTTACCTAGCAGTCTCACGCTCCACGCCGGGAGGTCCAGATCCCAGCTGCAAGACGATGGAGCTTGCTCGGGCTTCGACACAGGCTGCGACACCTCACCGCCCTCGTATCTGACCGCTGTCAACTTTGTGTCTGTGGCCCGCAGCAAGTACACGTCAAACTCGAGATCTGATCGCCCCAGCAATGTGTTTGTCGAGTATTTTTCCCCTTTTCTTTTCTGTCTTGTTACCGGTTTGTTTACCAGTGCTTATCTTCCCGGTCCTCAATAAGTCGGCGGCGGCTGGCTATAGCTCTGTGTACGTACCTGAGTTAGAGACTCTTTAGGGGGCTGGGCCTAGCTGACTGGTGCCAAACAGACGTCATTCAAGGCCGTTTTGCCGACAAGCTTTGGTGGCAGGGACGGGCCTGGACGTTGTCAGGGGTTTGGCTGCTAAGGTTTACAGGGGTCCGCGGGACGGGAAGTCTGGGGCCACCAGGACACACCAATGGGTCAGGCCGATCTTATGCTTGCGGGAACTCCAAGACAGCACGGCATATGCAAGCTCGCATCAGAGCCTCTGTTGGTAAGGTAGTTTACCTTCGTAACGAATGTCTATTATACAGAGAAGAGGCTTGGCTTTGGATCACCGAAATCGCTTCCGTGTCTTGTCAGGTATTCTAAATGTACTTTTACAGGTATTTGTACAATATGTTACATGATCATATGGTGTTACACATATTTCCCACAAGGGAGAACGCTCTAAAACATACTTTCGCCGGCATCTGCCTTGTGAGCTTCCTTCTGCAGCCTTTCCGTAAGACTGCTAGGCTCTGCAGTGCCTCTCAGGAACGAGTTGCAGAGCAAGGCTGTGGCTACGCTGACGTTCAAGCTGTCCACCGAGCTTGACATTGCCATCCGTGGGATCGTGATCTCATGAGTGGCCTTTTTCCTGATATCGTACGGGAGACCAGTGCCCTCGTTGCCAAGAACGAGAATGGAAGGTTGCGAAAGGAGAGGCTTCGTCTCCTCAATGCTTTCCGGTGTCCACTGGCGGTTGTCTCTACGCAAGCCAGCTGTCGGTGCGACAGCGGCATATGAGGTCCATCCAGCGGCTGCGCTAGCGTGAAGGAAGGCTCCCGGATCCTCCACAGAAAACAGCTGCAACTCCTCAGAAGCGCCTGCTGACGCCTTCAAAACAGTAGACGTGATCGATGACGATGTCCTCTTCGTAATAGCAACCGCCGAAACACCGAGGAACCGGGCTGTCCGGAGAATGGCACCGAGGTTGCCGGGGTCCAGAATCTCGGTCAGAAGGAGCACAAGCGGCCGAGCCGTACCGTGCCTGTAAGGAATGAACCCCTCGGTTCCGTTGATCGCGACGTCTTCCTTGGACTGGCGTGCTACGGATACGGGGTAGCCCTGAGGCTCGCTGTGTTCTGCGCCGAGACCTGTGATCGGCAACTGGGGTAGCGGGGATGTCTCCATCACGATGCCATTGTGTGGTCGTCCCTTGCTCATTTTATCGAGCAGCTGTTGGTCGTTTTCATACAGCTTAGTGATCTTGACCTTCTTCTTCTCCGCCATGGACAAGATCCACTTATCGTCCATGCTTTCCTTCTTGTTACTTCCCTGGTAGAGGTAGAGGTGGTAGAGTTTGCGTTGCGAGTTCTTCAGCGCTGCCTTGACGACCGAGCGACCGAAGAGGAACTGCGATGCAGCTGTTGTGAACTGTACCAAGCCACGGAATTCTGACGGATCGGAGGATGCCTCATGGTCCGGCTGCCTTGACCCAAATCGCCGAGGAGGGGCGCCCTCGAGTTCTCTGCGGGCACCATCTCGCATGGAGTTCATGCGCTCTCGCGCAAAGCCTGGCGTAAAGCCTGACCTCCGTTCTGACTGAGCGTCCCGGCGGTCCGGACGGCGGTCTGAAAACTGGTCGCGTTGCCGATCCGGGCGGCGATCCTGGAATCGTTCGCGCTGGCGGCCGTCTTGACGATCCTCTTGACGGCCTTTGAACCAGTCGTTTTGACTCTCACGCTGTGCTGGTGGCCTCGAAGACTCCTCCACCTCTGTTGGGCCATTCTTCTCCAGCAGCTTGCCAACCTTGTCCTTCAACTCGCCACGGTTGAGTTGGTAGACCAAGCTCTTCTTGCCGAAGGAGAACTCGGGGTTGTTGAACCGCTTGCTTCGGGATTTCCTGCCTCCTTCTTCTTCCTGCTCTTTCATTCTCTCTTGCATCTTCTGAAAGGCCTTCTTGGGCTTGAAATGGCGCTGTTCGCGGTCTCGTGGGCCATCTCGACGGTTACCGATAGCACCGGAGAACCGATCGCTGAAGGCATCGGGCTTGGATTTGGCTGCATCTCTCGATCTGCCGCCACCTCGAGACTCCGTGAATCGTGGCCTGGAGGCAGATCTGGAGTTGCGGTCGGTGCGGTCGTTGCGTGGTTTGTCGGAACGGTGAATACCGCGATGTATCGCAGAAAGTGACCCGTTACGCGCTTGGCCGTAAAGGAACGGGTTGCCGGAGAGCTGGAAAGCTCTTTGGGTTGCTGTAAATGGGCGTGAAGCGCTCCATCTTGTAAGGAGACTCATTGCATTGTGTACAAGGGATGGGCCCGGGATGATGAGGGTGATGTTGATGTTGTTTTCCGCTGTAACATGTGAAGCACTGCGCAAGTGGATTTGCGCCTGGAACTCGACTCGAGGAACTTTTTTTCTGCCATTCCAGAGCTGAGTAGGGTCCGGGCGGTGAGGGCTACTTACAGGGCAGACCGGGGCTTCCATTGGTTAGAGACAAAGATCTGGTGGGCATCATCCCGGAGTCTGCACACAAAGAACAGGTACGTATCTGCCATCAGCGCGCCAATTCCCACTTTGGAACTAAGTTTAATGGATGCAGCAGGTAGCAACGCGGTTTCGAGGTTCGTCGCGTCAACCGTCGAATAATCCCACCTTCACGCCTTGACAAGCACCTTCCACAACTTGCGCCATTCCCACCCGCCAGCTGTCTGCTTTGAGCAGGAAAACATGGGGATCAATTGAATTGCTGGGACCCTTATTTTTCTTTCTTGCTTTCTTCTTGTATCCAGATTGATCACTACTCCAGAACCAGCTTGCGACATCCCACCAACTCCCGACACACCCCCATAAATGCGACCAAGTCGCAACTTGTCGCATCATGGATGACCTTCCAACCGGCACTGACGACAATGCCATCATGTCACTGGAGGGCTCTCCGAGCGATGCTCTCTTTGGACTGGACACTGCCGACTTCGATCCCTCCCACGAGGCCGATCTTCGTGCCGACGAGACCGAGGCGGAGGAGAAGATTGCGGACGAGAACGAGGTTATGCTCAACGAGAGTATGGCAGACAAAGATATGGAAGATGTCGAAGTAAGCGGCGTCTCGATTCAACCAGAAGTTGAAGACGCCACTGCTGAGCCTGCAACTGAGGCGATCGCAAACCCCCCGCCCAGAACCGATTTTGGCGTCAACGAACACACTCCTTCTCTTGAGGCAGATGATGCATACGAGAACGAGACGGCAATCACGAGTAAACGAGTCGGTAGTCTCACAAATATTGAGCCAGAGGATGACATAGAGGAGGCGATATCGAGATTGCGCCCGTGGAACTTCGAGATTATCCTACCGCATATCTCACAGGAGGAACGCGCCCAATGCCTCTCAATAAAGAGCGACGTCGTGGACGAAGTCATCGAGGAGGTCCCTGGTCTTGAAGGCGAACTGTGGTACAGGGTAGAGTTCACAGATGGGCGACAAGATACGGTGAGTTGGTCCTTTATTTGCAAATATAGCATCGCTTTCTCTCCCGGTCAAGATCCCGTCTTTGACTGCTCCTTCCCCTCGGCCCTCTCTTTACCTCCTTCTCCCCTTGCTTCCCTCCTTCCTACCCTGGCTTGAGTGGAATGCTCTTGCCTGCGAAGTCATCGCCAATTACTCCTAATCACATCCACTCCCACTGCCTCTATATAAATCTCAACCTCTGCCCGCCAAGTCTTCTTACCAAACCTCCTACATACCTCACTCTCCAAATACAATAGCTTTCGTTCCGAGAGCCTTGTATTGCGGTCTGCAATAGCGGACAAACAGCGCCTTCCCGCTTTTCGACGTCAACTAACGTTGATAACCCTCCTTCCAATCTCTCCTCAACCACTACTTGACTCTCAATCAGACAATCTCCAGCTTATTTCTACCTCGACTTGTGCATTTCTGAGAACCTAGCTAACCCGCTGAAGATACCTTTCGACGAATTACTCGCGTATGAAAGAGGCCAAGTCGCTCTTCAGACGTATCAAGGCATCATGGCTCCAGACACCAGCCTTTGGCAAGACGAGGGGGAGGAGTCGATTGCAGACTCTGACGCCGATCTTGATGCCATTGAACTTGACGAAGATGAAGCTCCCCGTCAATCTAAACGTCTCCAAAGCTCGACACATCGCCGCACCCGCGAGAATTCCGATTCCGAGGAGGACCCGCGTTCCCGCCGTTCCAAGCGCCAGCGTACATCTACAAGACCGAGCACGAGACACAACTCGAAAGTGAATTCAGACAACGGGATCATGGATGAGGGTCCCGCGAGAGGTCGCCAACTAAGAGAGCGAACTCAGAGACAGCTCAAGTTGACAAGCATGGCCTTTACCAGCATGCCCTTGTCTAGGGACGATGACTTGGACGAATTGTCTCAAGACCACCCTCGCCAACCATCCGACGACGATGACGACTTTCAAATCATCACATCCGACCTCTTACCCAAGTCCTCGTCTAGGCGCAAGAAATCACGGCGCCTTAGGGTCAAGGCCAAGACCATTGAGCAACCCAAATCTCGTGGCTCCTCAATCGAGTTTGAGGATCGTCGTCGGTCTGGCAGATCCACAAGGAACAAGGGCAGTATGCTTGATCTTGCTCTGATGGATGAGGAATCATTCTACATTGAAGATACAGCACCCGTCGGTGCCCCCAAGGTCATGAACATCAAGGAAGTCTTCAAGCAAATTGACCACGACGCACCCTTCAACCAATATCACTCGGACATCTGCGCTACTTGCAATACCGGCCCTGCCGCCAACAAAGGTCCACTGATCGGCTGTCAAGGCTGCTCCGTATCATTCCACAAAAGCTGTATCGGTTACAGCTCTGCCAGAGAACACATTGTCACCAAGGTTGGCGTGGACAATTTTGTTCTACAGTGCAAGTTCTGCATTGGAGTTTACGCCAAGAAGGACAAGAACAGCCCAAGACATAGTCGATGCCAAGAATGCAAACGTTCCGGACGGTCATGTGCGGCCTTCTCGTCCAAGAAAACACCCAGACAAGAAGAGAAAATCCGTCTTGAGAATGGTGGTGAAGATCCTGCTACGCCAGTGGACTCGTCATTGGTCAACAACGCCGACAACCTCCTGTTTCGCTGTACCATGTGCAAGCGTGGCTGGCACTATGAGCACTTACCGTCATCACAGATGGACTCGGATGTGTCTGATATTCGCCAGCAGCGACTTGCCGAATACTCTGTCGACTGGAAGTGTGTCGAATGCGGCATGGTATCCGACAAGATACAGACGTTGGTTGCCTGGCGGCCCCTGGGAAAAGACTCAATCGAATCCGGCAAGACTTACAGCGATTTCAACGAGGATGAAAAAGAGTATCTCATCAAGTGGCAGGACAAGTCGTACTTCCACTGCAGCTGGATGCCTGGTGCATGGCTCTTTCATGTTGCCGCGGGTTCGATGCGCAACTCCTTCGCGAAAAAGGATGCGGATCAGAACTTAGCCCTGAAATTCACCGAAGCCGAGGCAATCCCCCAAGATGCCCTTATGGCCGACGTCATCTTTGAGGCCAAGGTGAAAGGAGGAAGACCAAAAACGCTGGAAGATGAGATGGAGCGCATTGAGAGCGTCGACAAGATCTTCGTGAAATTCCAAGGTCTTGGCTACGACGAAGCAGTATGGGATTCGCCGCCAAAGCCAGATGCTGGCGAGGTGTACACGGCATTCAAGGCTGCGTACTACGAATACCTCACTGGCAAGTACTTCACTAGCTCCACGAATGCCAAAATGAAAGAGCGTGTGAACAAGTGGAAGGATAAGGATTTCGTCAAGTTGACCCAGCAGCCCCCTGGTCTGCGCCGCGGCAAGCTTATGGAATACCAAATTGAGGGCGTCAACTGGATGCTATGGAACTATCACGGTGACAAGAACGCCATTCTTGCCGATGAGATGGGACTGGGCAAGACGGTACAGGTCGTCAGCTTGATCTCGACCCTGGTCCATGGCGAGCCAAAGGTATTTTTGCGCTGCTCATGAAGAGGCTACTATACGTTGTGCTGACATTGACTTCCGCAGTGCTGGCCTTTCCTTGTGGTTGTTCCGAACTCGACTTGTCCAAATTGGCGTCGCGAAATCAAACAGTGGGCTCCAGACCTTCGAGTGGTCACATACCATGGCGGTAAACAAGCGCAAGAGTTGGCGTACAAATATGAGCTCTTCCCGCGTGGCTCTCAAGATATCAAAGCTCACGTTGTTGTTATGTCATATGACTCTGCGCAAGATGATCGCACGAAACATCTTTTCCGTTCAGTTCAATGGGCTGGCCTGGTAGTTGATGAGGGACAGCGATTGAAGAACGACAAGAGTCTCTTGTATACGGCTCTGCGTTCCATGCGATTCCCCTTCCGACTTCTCCTCACGGGTACACCACTGCAGAACAATAAGCGAGAGCTTTTCAACTTGCTTCAATTCATCGATCCAACCCAGAATGCTGCGAAACTCGACGAAGAATTTCTGGAGCTCAATGCGCAGAACCTTCCCGAACTGCACGGTCGGATCAAACAGTACTTCCTACGAAGGACCAAAGCTCAGGTGCTCAAGTTCTTGCCTCCCATGGCTCAAATCATCGTTCCCGTCTCTATGTCGATCCTACAAGAGAAGCTTTGCAAGTCGATCATCGCCAAGAGTCCCGATCTGATTAAGGCAATCTTTGCAGACGACAAGGTCAACAAGAAAGATCGTGGCAGTCTGAATAACATCCTCATGCAGCTGCGGAAATGTCTCTGTCATCCGTTCATGTACAGCGAAGCAGTCGAAGAGCGAACGGTTGATCAGACCCAGCTACACGAGAATCTGATTTCAGCTTCAGGAAAGTTGATGCTGCTGAACATCATGTTGCCAAAGCTCAAAGCAAGAGGACACAGGGTTCTTATCTTCAGCCAATTCTTGAACCAGTTGGACATTATTGAAGATTTCCTGAACGGTCTCGGCTTCCAATATCGACGACTTGACGGCAGTCTCAGCAGTCGGGAAAAGCAGAAGTACATCGATGACTACAACGAACCTGACTCTCCAGTCTTTGCCTTCCTTCTCTCGACGAGGGCTGGAGGTGTAGGGATCAATCTCGCGACCGCTGACACTGTCATCATCTTGGATCCTGACTTCAATCCACATCAAGATATACAGGCTATTTCGCGTGCTCACCGCATCGGTCAGAAGCATAAGGTGCTGTGCTTTCAACTCATGACGAAGAATTCAGCAGAGGAAAAGATCATGCAAATTGGCCGCAAGAAGATGGCTCTTGACCATGTCTTGATTGAGGCAATGGACGATCTAGGAGAGTCTGAAGACCTAGAATCGATATTGAAATTCGGTGCTTCAGCACTATTCAGCGATGATCAGAGCGAAAAGGACATCGTCCGGTACGATGATGCAAGCGTCGACAAGCTCCTTGACCGGTCGACTATTGAACAGACAAAGACTGGCGACGACGATTCCGCTGAATCGCAATTCTCCTTCGCTCGTGTCTGGGCCAATGACAAAGACGGCTTCGAGGACAATCTTGCTGAGGAAAATGAGCCCACAGTCAATCCTAACGTATGGGAGGAGATCTTGGCAGAGCGAGAGGCTGAAGCCAAACGCATTGCCGAGTTGAATAAGGAAGTTCTTGGTCGAGGTGGTCGACGCCGTCAGGTAAGCAATCACGGTCGAAATAAGCCTTCTCCCAAATGTCCTAACAGATTCATCTCAGGCAATCAGCTACAAGAACAACGGCGGAACCGGTGTGGTCACTGACCTCCCCATCAACAGCGACAGCTCCGATAACGACGGAGAGTTCGTTGGCGGAGAGGATGAGGAGGATCCTGATACTGACGTTGAAAATAGGGATGACAGTTCCAAAGGTAAAGCTAAACCTTCAGCTTCTCGTTCGACTAAGACAATTACGCGTGGCGTGAAGAGAAAGCAAGTTGACACATCCACACCACAGAAGAAACGACAACGCAAGACCCCCAAAACCGACATCGTGCGATACACAAAGCCCAAAACGCCAACTCCACGCAAACCAAGACAGACACCTCAAAAACGAACTACCGCGGCGTCGCGACAGGCCAAGGCGCCCTCCACAAGTGGAAACTCAATCCGAACTGGAAGCCCGGATCAGGTCCAAACCCCAGACCAGACCACGGAGCAATCCCACAAAACGGACGACCAAACCCCTATCCTGTCTATCCACCTTCTCAGTCCAACCCTAACCCCATCTATCACCAGCCCGGAGTCCAGTTCTACCAGCAGCCCCCTCCCGCACCAGGAAGCCGTTCCGGTCGACCAGTGAAGCCTGATATGGCCTGGCTTGACCACCTGACAGTAGTCCGAACGGCTGCTGGCGGTGAGTTGCCTACAACTCAGCAGGCTGCTCGTGAGTTCCAGCAGCAGCAGCAACAGTCCGCTCCTGCCGTACGTCAAGCAGCGTCTGGCAGCCATACTGTGCCATCCACGTCAGGAAAGGCACGCAGACCGTCGTTCGGTTTGTCCCAGATGCATCCTAGTGCATCCTCTTGCGCAAAATGCGGCTTCCGGCATTACTCTGTCAATTGCCCAGCCCCAACCTCAGAAGTTCAATTACGTCTGGCTCTCGATCATCTGAAGCGTTGGCCGTCGACATCCAGAAACCCTGCTGCAGAACGAAACCTAATAGAGAAGCTACACTTGGTAGCCACGACGAACGATCGTCGAAAGGAATGAACCTTCCGAGTTTGCGTCAGAAAGCTCATAGCATTACAGGTCCCCAGATAAGGTCGCTCAAACGACGACAGAAATATATTTTCACAGGATTGGATCAACACCGACTGACACATCAACACTTGCAACATTTGGCATGGATGGGACCGCAGATAGAAAAGTATACCAATCTGACGTTTCTCCAAGGCTGTGCTGTGCCTCCATAGGCGAACCTCATGAAATTTGCTCTGTTAGACTTGTTCAACCGTAGAAGGCAGCTGTTTGTCACGTGTTGAGGTACAAACCAGGACTGCAGCTAACCGGGCGATTGCAGCGGATCTTATTTCGGTCGAGCAAACGACGATAGCAACGGACATTTCCCGACTTTCTAAGGCTTTTGTTATGACTTCTAGACCATTCGCGTCCAAGGCATCAGAGTCTCGTGTCTGAGCCTTTGGCGCCTTGGTCCGGAATTTTTAGCCGTCCTGCAAGCGGTGGACGACATCAAAGTCGTCTTTGATGAGCTTGAAAAGAGCATCTCGACGCGTTAGAACTGGCCCTTCTCGGTCGACGGCATCATAAGGTAAACAAGGTAGAAAGTGCTGGCCTCCTTTCCCGTTTGCAAGGTGGTCCGAATCCTCCATATTATCTCCCGTGCCCTAGTCTGGCCCTTTTTCGACTTTTTCCGAGCAAGTCTACATATGATCTGCTTCTGATTCTTCTTCTTCTGTTCCATTCCTTCCTTCCTTCTTTAATTCTTTTCGCTCCTGCAGCATGGAATCGAACCTTGCCCGTTCCCCTTCCGAAATATCATACTCGCCAGAGGGCTCCCGAGGCTCTACTCGCAACACGACGCCCGAATTCGAGGCTTCATCGGCACCGAACGGTATCTCCAACCTGCAGATCAGCGACAGAAAGATGGACAGCTCCCGCGTCGTCTTCTTCGATTCCGAGAACCCGCCTCAGCAGTTTTATCCTCCCGAATATTCTCAGTCTGGATCTGGGCAAACCTCGATGAGACACAACCTTGCAAACGCTCCCCGTAGCGTCGATGCCCCAAACTGGCACATGGGCATGAGTATGGGAGGCGGTCAAGGCCACAAGCACTACAGCTCATTCAGCTCGTCGGCCAGCGGCACCGAGTACATGATCATGGGATCACCAGTGCAGGAACGTCAGGCTTCGAGCATGGGAAGGAACACGAATATCGACACTTCGGGCTTCCATGGCTACTGTCTGGATCGCGGAAACGGCAACTACACCAGATTGATTCCTGCTGACTCGCTTCCACCTTTGGTTGGTATACCGGCCATTCAGAATGGGGCTGAAGGTTTGCTGGTTCTCCCACAGCCTCGAGGCGCGGACCCTCAGAACTTGGCTGGCAGCCCTGTCCAGCCTGTTGCCTTTAGAGTATGTATACTTCCTTCTTTTCTTCTGCGCTCCTTGTCAGGCACCAAAGTGTTTGGCGCTGAACCTTTCAGTCACCTCCGTCTTCACCGGCACCGGTATCTGATGCCCTTCAGGTATGCTCACCTGTTTCTTTGAAGCTATTGTTCTTTACATCGTTTTGCAGTCATGTCTTGGGGATTCGTTCGTTTACTGACAAACGTTTGTGAATTTAAAGCGAAGAATCGATCAGATCGTAGCCACCTCCCCCAACTCGCCAAAGAAGCCCAAGATCTACTGTGACAAGTGGGTTCACGAGGGCGTCTGCGCATTCACCCAGCAAGGTTGCAAGTACAAGCATGAGATGCCCCTTGACAAGGCAACACAGCACTCACTTGGTCTTTTCCATGGGTTGCCAGCGTGGTGGAAGAAGCAGCAGACAGAAGTCCGGCAACAGCAACAGCAGCCTCAGCAGCCTCAGGGCAGCGGAGCTGAGGTCTACCTTGACCTTCGTCAGCAATCTCAAAGCGGCCCGGATTCACCCATCATTGGTGATAGGGGTCTTGCTGGCTTGACAAGAGCGACGCCGTCGTGGCGGAGAGGTGAGGGTGGCAGGGGCCAGGGACAGATGAGCGCAGGATCACTGGCGAGACCCGGCGCAGGATACAGGAGCTCGCCTGGTGAGCTTTTCATCGCCATCTCCCTACAGAGTCAAAGCTGATGTGAGGAGCAGACTCGAGATCTACGTACCAGCAGAATGTGGACTCGCCTACCTCCTCTTGTGTCTGGGGCCCGATCGGTCCGCCTTCGAAGCAGACTCCCGACCAGAATCCGCGCACCTACCAGAACATGAGTGCCTTCGCCACTTCCAACAACTTCGCTTTGCTGAGCTCTCTTGACGCGAACACGGGTGAGAGGGGTGGAGGCCTCAGGTACGAGACTTACTAGAGTTACTAGCTTAGCATCAACTTGTTGGATCGGATATGAAGGGTTGGAATGATGAGACACGAGGTATGACAGAGTTGTGGGTATTGTCAAAGTATCGCTTTTATTTTGTTTCCTGGCTCGAAAGACTGTATGTATTATAGAAGACGCGAACCAACAATGGGGAGACGCAAGCGAACAAGTAGCCGATCATATGCCTCTTTACATCGTTACCTGTTCGTCTACCACTGCTGGCTTCTCATCTAACCACAACATTTCTTACAGCCAGGTAAGGCTCCAAGTCTCCTTACCAGCACGGAACGGCACAACCTGGATCCCCTTACCCTCAAACGTCTCCTGGACGACGGCGCCGCTGCCGCGAGTGAGACGGATCCGCTCCTTTTTCGTGTCCTCGGTGCCGTAGAACTTGCGTCCGTAGACGCTAACAAAGCCCTCGAGGGCCTCCTGGGTGATGTCGGCGTCGGCGAGCTCGCCGCGGGCGACGGCCTCGTCGAGGGCGGCGAGGAGGTACTGGACGGCATAGGGCTGGGTGAAGACGCCGGCGGCGGCCTTGGAGGGGCCCGTTTTTGCGGTGATTGGGTGCGGGGCGGAGTCGGTGCCGAGGAAGAATTTGCCGTTGCTGTTGACTACGGCGTTGAGGAGGGCTTTGCGGTCGGCGGGGAGCTTGATGGGGTTTGTGGTTAGTTTTTGCTCATATTTGGAGTGTTTTAATGTGCTGCTGGGATTTACCTTGGCGACGGGCTTGCAGAAGTTGAGCTATGTGATGGCATTAGTTTGGTGAGGTCAGAGGATCATGGAGGTATCGGGTCATACCGCGTCACCGACGACGTCGTCGATGGTGATGAAGAGGTGGTGGCTGTTAAAACGATTAGGTCTGGTTTCCTGTAGAATCGGTGGATTATCATACCAAGTAATGGTGCCGGCGACGTTGGGGCCACTGGCATCTAGTCAGTCAAATTTACGACTGTTCGACAGCATCGTCACTTACCATAACTTGACGGCCGCAACAGCCTCAGCGGTTGTGCAGTGCTCAAGGACTGTGAAGTTAGTTGGCCATCTGCCTCGTTAGAAGAAGGTGATTTTGTACTTACTGATTCTGAGCTTGGGGTACTTGGCGTGAAGTGCCTTCAGCGTGGGGAGGAACTGAAGCACGATAGTCAGCAGACGGACGCGCATTGGGGGTTTCATCTCCGAGATCGTTTACTTTGGACTCGGCATTGAGCGTGGTGATATCGCTACCGGCGTGGGAAGGGCACTCTCCGTGAAGGCAGAGAAGCAAGTTGACCTCCTCCATGACCTTGAAGACCTCGTGGAAGGCATCGTAGTCGACGACGCCGTCGGCGCTGTTTGTGGTGACGCCGGCAGGGTAACTAATAGTAAACCTCGAGTCAACAACCAACGAGTTGCTGATAGAATTCCAGAGGGCGGCTAAAAACACACCTCTTGACTGCGGCGACACCGGCCTTCTTGGCCTCTCTAATGGTATCGGGCGTGACGTCCTGGTGGAGGTAGAGGGTCATGAGCAGGTCGACCTCGTCCTTGCCCAGGGCCTGTTTGATGCGCGATGAGTAGTCCAGGGCCCGCTTGACGCTGGTCACCAGGTTTTTCTGCAGGTTGGGCATGATCAGTGCCTTTTTGGCTATGTTAGTAACTAATTGAAGTTGATAATTGGATCGTGGTTGGGCGTACCTGGTTGACTCCTCCAGGGCGAACAGTCGGAGCGACGATCTGGGATAACTTTAGCGTTCGTAATATGTCTGTTAGTGTTAACCAGATTCAACAGTATCATACCTGAAGCATGTCATCGTCACGCAAGTGGACATGGGCGTCAAAGGCCGCGGGCAAATCGACAGTATCAAGAAGAGGCATCTTGAATAACTTGAATAGCGAGTAGACTGAGAATTGGGGTTCACGATTTCTGTGAACTGTTAGACGGAATCGCTTAATAATACAAGGACTCTGATACATACTAAATTGTCTCTATTCACAGACGTGGTGCAATACTGGGTTTCCGCCGATGTCGCTGAGCAGTTGATTCAGGTCGTCAATCCCGTCTCGAAATGTTTTTTTCGTTGGAGTTCATGGTGGGGGCGGGGTAACTGACTAGGTTCTCCAAAGGCTCGAAACTAATCTCTAATTACCTTCCTTGCCTTGCCTACCTTTTGAACGAAACCACACATCACTGGTTTGGGTAGCAATGGCACTTGAATCAAGACATTCCGCAAAGAGACTTGATGATAACATTTGATGTTACTACCTTTTATTCCACCGCAACCACACAAACCACAGTCTCAGAGCAGCTGAGTCTCAATGACACCGTTGAAAGAGGGAGCCTCATCTAGCGCCGTTTTCATACAAGCTGGACTAGGTACTTGAGCTCTCACCAATTACATATGTTTGCATCTTGCTGCCTCTGTATGCCATCTCATTTGGCTCCCATTGTTACATTTAGCTGTCTCCATCTCAAGTTGGACGTCAGTTGACACTGTCGCTTCTCTTCTGTTTCGACCGTGATCGCTTTACGATAGTGAGATATGAGCAACCTTCCTTCAAGATGGGGGCTTCTAGTATAGAGAAGGATGATAAGACGCAGAGTACATGGTATGGAGTGATTTGAGATATCTTCCTTTTTGCAAGACAATTCGAGGTTCCTGCCCAAGACCTTGTTGGGATGGAGGGGTATTACTGCCCCACCAGCCAGCCAACCATGACCGGGGGTTCACCTTCCTTCACCGCGGGTCAAGTACGAAGATGTAATCGGTATCTAATCAGCCGATGATTAAGCGAGGTGGACTTCCTGGCTGCCTGTGGTTCCGAGCACGGACCAGCATCCCCCACAATGGATCAATGGTACAGTCTACGCTGGTACCTGCCCTGGGCTGTTTAGGTAGTCTTGAGCTTCATCATCATCAAGAAGCTTCTCAGGACCACGCTGGGTTGCGACTGGGCTTTGTGAATTTTTCGCAATCTCTCCAGACAAACCACCACTTGACAACTTGATCTCTGCCCAAGTTGAGAAATCTTGACGCAGACCAGACCAAGCTTCGCATCCGGGTTTCTACAACTGTCGCCGCTGCTGTCACAATCGTTGGAGCTCGAGCTTTCTGGTTTGGCAAAGTGCCTGAATCGCAGGCAAGATGGAAGACACGCTTTTCTACTTCGAGCGCGAGAGGTACGAGACGGACGAAGTTTACGACAAGACTATTAGAAATCACATCGCGAAGATCACTCGATTATTCAAGGACGAAACGCCGTCCATCGTAGCCAAAGCGCCGCAACTGCTCGAGGTATGTTAGCTCCCCCACCTTTGAGTGTTTGTTGCTGCTAACCGCCGTGTGACAGATCGTTCACCCCGCCGACCACTCGATCTCCCACCTCGCGATCCTGAACACCCTCAAGCACGTGAACGAAGACGCGCTGCCCCTTCCGATCGATGCCTTCCGAGAATACATCGCCCGGTTCCTGCTGTCATTTGATGCCCGGCAGATACGTTACGTTGGCGATGTCTTCTATGACCTGTTGAAGGATGTCGTGGAATGCAAGTTCTTTCAGGTGAGAAATCTTCAAGCCCTATTCATGAACTTGACTGATCGCATATTCTCTCCGCAGGCGCGCCAGTCTATTGAGATTGTTGTTGCCGCATTGAGGCTGCTCGATCCCGAATCCGCCGTGCTTACGAGCCTCCACCTCGCTGTGGTGAGGCTAGCATACGAGACGACGAACTACGATGAAGTGCTGCCGATACTCGAGAAACCTTGGGTGTTTCTTCCTGGAATGAAGGACCAGTCTCCGCCAGCATACCTCTGCGATTTAACAGCCTCACCTCCCGACTACATCAACCTCTCTACACATTTTACCGAATACTTGACTCGTGAGGGCGTTATGGAGCACGAGTACCTCAGTGCCCTGATCTTCACAAAGGAGCTCAAATGGGCGCAGGCTCACAAAGCCTACCAGAGAATCATCACTTGGCCATCGAGGGAAACCTCTGTGAGCAAGTTGATGACTGACTCCCACAAGCGGTGGGTTCTCACAGGCCTCTTGGCTCTCGGCCACACACCAGTTCTGCCGGGCCAAATCAGCTCAAGCGCTCAAAAGGCGTTTGCGTCTCTGTCAAAACTCTACACTGATCTCGCGGGCATCTTCTCAACTGCCAACGTGGAACAGTTCAAGGGCACAGTCGAGAAAGGCATCGAGACGTGGGTAGCCGACGGAACCACCGAGTTAATCAAGGTGGTCGTGACGGCGTACCAGAAATGGCAGATTCTTGGTCTCGCCGACGTGTATCATAAGATCAGTGTGTCGGAGATTCGCCAACAGACGCTCAGTGCCGAGACAGCACAGAACCTCGAGACTGACGAGGAGGTGGAGCAACTCCTGCAGGACATGGTGACCATCGGAATGCTTCAGGGCTCATTGGAGGTCAGCCCTGATGGCGTCAAGTGCCTCACCTTCCTCCCGCGTGACACGGAAATCGAGTACACCGAGTACCAGAAGAAGATCACAGACGACGCGCGTATCAAGGCTTTGAACAAGTTCGCCAAGGTCAGCGATGTTCGTCTTGCAGCCTCGAAGGACTACGCCAAGCACACCATTCGTGAACAGAAGCGCCAAGACAAGGACGGCTCTCAGTCACACAACACCGAGTTCGGCTTCGACGCGTCCATCGAGGACGAAGATCTTATGACGGGTATCCAGCACCCTTAGTACCGTCGCTTCATCGGTTGTGCTATCCTTCGAAGATGATCTTTCGACGTCACTACAGCTCGCGCCTTTTATGACGAAGTAACGAAGGCACGGAATTAGGAGGGGAAGGGTAGTGAGATAATTTCTTGCATGAGAAAAAGAGCGACACATAGTGCTGCATGAGATTTGACCTCGGCATACTGGGGGCATCAGGCCGGCGTTACGAGATCAGGTTCACAAGGGACATTGCTTTGATTGCCAAAAGAGGCATTTGCGACACTATCAGAATTACAAGGGCACGACTTCTCGAGCCTGACTGCGGTAGATTAGGTAGAGAAAGAAGAAAACGCAAAATGGTATTTTCTTCCGCCAATATCACACTTGCCTGGAAACATTATTTCGATTGACACCATGTGTTCGCGGTCCTTTGCCTCGTAGCTCGTCAAATTTTTGATCACCAGTGTCTCCCTTCTAAGTAGGATTCTTCACGCAGATGCGTGGGCTTGTCTTTCCATCGTAAAATACACATACATCGGTCTCCCCTTTCAAGCATCTTTACGAGCTGATACCAAACTGCTTAATGAGATCCGCAAGCTTAGCTCCCTCAGCCTTGTAGTCGATTTGTCCTGCGCTCAAGACCTGGTAGCGTACCCTGAAAAATGTTAGTATGTTGAAAGTCAGCTGCGGGGAAGGGGTGATCGTACCTCTGAGCTTCACCAAATGTGTCCATCTTCGCACGGCATCGGAAGTTCAGCTTGGTGCAGTTCGCTTGCTCGAACGGCTGTGCCATCTTCGTTTCATCCTCCTCACGCAAAGCCATCAGATCATCTGCCGACATGCCCATGATAACACGACCGACATCGTCGAAGCAGCTGAGCCACAGCTGATTGGTGTGATCGCACACATTGATGGACATGATGTACCGATACTCGGGCTTCGGGTGTGCAACATCACACTTCTCGCAGCGCCATGTGCCGTCACCCATATCAGTCACCTTCTTGTTGCAGCCTTCGTTGCTACATGCGGGATACGCGAAGTTCTCCTGCTTGATGTAGACGATGGTAGCCTTGAGGTTGAAGTAGTCTTGGTTCTCCATACCCAAGTTCTCCTCCTTCACCTGAAGAATGGACTTGTCCTGGTCCTTGCGACCCGTGGCATTGCCCATGCTGGCCATGTTGTTGTGGCTGCTGAACGTGTCATTGCGACCAGATGAGTCGTACCAGCCCTTCAAGCGGTGGGCATCGGGGATATCGGGGTCAATGGACATGGTGCCGGAAGAGAGCAAGCTGAGACTACGACCACCAAAGTCAGACACCTTAGTGCCCTTGAAGGCCACCACAGACTCGGGCTTGGCGTCAAAGTTAGTAGCGCTCTTGCCCCAGATAGTGACGCGAACTGAGTAATTCGTGTCGTCGACCAGGGTGAGCTCGCGCTTCTCGTAAGGCTTGCCAGTGGACTTGGAGACGATTTGGGACACCTCAGCAACCTCCTTCAAAACGCCAATGACGTCAACGGTAGCATCCTTCTCGACCTCCTGAAGCTCTTGAATGTTGCAGAAGTTGAACCGCACCTGCGGCACACTGCTCTGGTCTTCTGCCTTCTCAATCTGGGTATCACGCTCGAAGGTGAGCTCGTAGTCGTTCGGAAGGTTTGTGAACTGCTTCTTGGCAAGCTGAACCTTGCAAGGGTTGGAGATGTAGTAGACACCTCCCTCCTGAAGCAGATCGTAATACTGGTCACACTGGTCGTTGAAACCGGTCGCCTTGATCTCGCCACTCTCGTCCAGCAGGTTGACACTGAACAACTTGCCCTCGCCACTAGGCTTGTGCCATGTCCGGATGTCTGACTTTTGCGTGACGCGAGCCTTGATGGTCCACTTGTGGGCGTATGGAGAAAGGGCTTCGATAGGGTAGATGTTGTTGCTTCCGTGCTGAACGGTTGCACCTCCAGCAGAGCGCGTGGGTATCGATTGAGGCTTTGGTGTGGGCTTTGTCTCCTCCTGCTTGACACCGTAAAAGTTCTGTCCGCCGATGGTCGTGTTTGCTGCTGCGGGCGGCTTCGCTTCGAAGGCTTGGGGCTCGCCGAGCTTGTCTGGTGTGCCGAACTGCTCGACAACCTCGAGACCAAGGATAATCAGAATGCTAGTCAGAGGTTAGATCATGTTTCTCGAATAGCCCAACAAGGAGGAAGCAATGAACCACGTACTTCTTCCCCTTCACGGAGTTCGCTTGGTACTGAGTAATCCGCACGATGCAGTTTCTGACCAGCTTGTTGTCATGAACAACGTGGTTGACCTGGGTGGCCAACATGCACTGAACATAGTTGCTCACATCGCTGAGAACAATACGGTATCTCTCAGCGTTGCCTCCTGCTTGTGCGGCCAAAGGCTTGATCTGCAGACATTGGAGAACGGGGACCGGGAATTTCGTGTTGGCACCTTCGGGGTCGTTGAAGATGGCGCTGCAAGCGCTCAGTCAGTACGGAAAGGGTGAAAAGGGCAGTACATTGTGAGATGACTTACTCCAAGGCTCCCTTCGTAATCTTTGATTCGACATCCATCTTGAAGTTGGTCGAAGATGTAGTATCGTGTGCAAGTTTGTTGGTTGAGGATGGGAAGGATTTGGGGGGGGGTTGAGGCAAGTTCTTCGCGAGATGGGGGAAGAAAGCGCGTCGACGCGTTTAATGGCTTTTGGCGGGGTTCTTCCCTTCCGTTAGGTAAGCTGGTAATTAATTAGTCCCTGCTCTTTCTCACATGCCCGCTGGTGGCCTGTTGCCTGTGTCGTCTGGTTTCAGTGTGGGGAAAGATCAAAGTCCGGTACGTACCTCACTTTAGGTGGCAGCAACTTCACGCGGGGCAGCTACAAGCATCAAGCTGAGACGTCATCCCTGGTGGTGTTACGAGCTATGTACACGTGCTCAGTCCAGACTTGATCCAAAGTTGCGCCAAGGGAGACAGACTTCTAGTTTGACAGTGCACATCGCATTTCCGTGAGCTTACATCAACGTCGCAACATCTCCCTGACACTATTTTCGAGCTTCCTCTCCCAAAAAACCGTTCGCCTCCCACTGCAGTGCTCCGCACAAATACCCATACCCCCGCTCAACAAGATGACCCAAATCGAGCCCGACATTGCGACGAAAGCTCCCGAGAGCGACGCCGCCGAGACGATCACCGTCACCGAGCCCGTCACCGAGAGCACTTCTGCTGCCGATACCCCGGCTCAATCCACCAGCCCTACGACGACTACGGGAGGTGCTGGAGAGCACAGCGAACACTGCGTGTCCGACAGGCCCACTCGTGAGCTCTCCCGCTGGGCCTCTATTGTCCTTTGCGCGCAAGACTGACTCGACACAGCCTCCGGCCAGTCCTCGACAGGCGAGATCATCAAGATCAACGATGTCGATGTGAGTAGATTACCTGCTTTGCAACTACGAGCACATTGTAACCACGGCCAACGACTAACCAACTCAAGGTCTACATCTCAAAACCCGCCGACTACCCTCATGCGCCAGCCAGGCTCCTCCTCCTCCTAACGGGAGGCACGGGTCTCAAGTCTACAAACAACCAGCTCCAAGCCGATAAATTCGCCAGTGAGGGCTACGTGGTGGTCATGCCCGATCTCTTCAATGGTGATGCGGCGCCCAACTCGTCGACCATCGACAGCAGCGAGGACACCGGATCGTTCCTGGACACTTTCAAGATGAAGATCGTTGAGACGGCCAAGAGCTTCCAAATTGATATGTGGCTGGCACGACACACAGAGGAGAAGGTTCTGCCGATTCTCTACAAGGTCATTGAAGGTTCGAAGGAGAAGTTCGCCGATGCGGTGAAGAACGGCGACGGCATCTACGCTGTCGGCTACTGCATTGGAGGACGCTATATCCTACACTTGGGCTCAGACAAGAAGGTCGCGACGGGAGGTCAAGGACTTGCTGACGCCGAGGCCGGCGAAGTCAAGACTGGTCCCTTTATCAAGGTTGGCGCGATAGCACACGGTGCTTCTGTCACCCCTGATGACTTCACGGGCGTCAAAGTCCCCATCTCTCTTGTCTGCGTTGAGAATGATCCTCTGTTCCCTGAGGAGGTCAGGACACATGGCGAGGACGTCATGTCAAAGGCAAACCTCGAACACGAAGTTCAGGTCTACCCTGGCGTGCCGCATGGTAAGGCCCAAAATCTACCCATGAAAGACTTTGATCGAATTCTAATGTCCTCCGCCAGGTTTCGCTGTTGTTGGCGAATATCAGGATGCAGCCATCAAGGATGCTCAGACTACCGCCTACGATCAAATGTTGAAGTGGATCAAGGAACACTGAGAATAGGGAAGACCGTCCTCGTATGCTTTTTATGGCCCTTGCTTCTGTTATGGTCGTTCATCTTGCGACCTTTGATGATATCAGTGTTTTAAAGGAACTTTTCTTACGACCCAAGGGGATATTATTATATCAATACTACAAGCTCCCCGACAACCCCCTCCCTGCGTGGCAATGATGTTACATCAAGTCTAAGTCTTTTCTTGCTGTCTCCACATCGCTCGTAAAGCTCGAATTCCTCCTCCCGGAATTAATGGCGGTAGTAGAGCTGTAACTGCTCTTGTCTGTTGGCGCTGATCGGGCGGCCGAAGAGTTCACTGCCACCCGCATCTCGAGCGATTGGTCTTGGAAGACACTCTGTGACCCCGAATTTGTGCTACGCGTCCTGTTCATAAGGCTCGCTGACGCATCCTTGATTTGCCGACCAGCCTCTCGCACGATCTGTCGCGCATTTGGCATGCAGGCGACCACTACACCAGTGCAGATCTCAATGGCAGACCAGATAGTTGTGCCTCGCGCATCGGCTGTCGCATTTGCGGATGTCGCAAATGTCATCAAGCTGTGAAGTCGGACGATGCTAACTACCGTGAGGCTGTTCCCGTGTTAGTGTTTGCAATAAAGGAATCGTGAGACTACAGGAATCGGGAGGCTACTCACAAGATACCGACGCTGAACATCGCAATAATTCCCAGTTTCTTTTTCATCTTAAGGTTCAGTTTGTAGAGTTGTGTCAGGGGCAAGATAAGCATCCAGACATCGAGCGCGATGTTCATGCCGCCATGGGCCAAGCCCATTTTGTTGAGGTCGAGAATGACACCGCGGGGATCCTTGTCACGCCAGCCCTCCCAGACAAGCCATGTAGGCTGTCTTTGGATGAAGCTGAAGACGATGAAGATGAAGCCGACGAAGAGGTCGTAGGCTAGCGTCCACCAGACTGCGATTCTAAACTTCTTTTCTGGGAAGATGCGAAGGAAGAACAGCAGGATGGATGCCTTGACGATGGCGAGGACAAAGATGTAGAGTGTTTGGACCATGAGAAGGTACTGCAAGGCGTTAGTGAGTCGTTGGGGAAAAAACCGTAGAGGAGTCAGTCTATAGCAGTAGTACTAACTCTGAGAAAGGTAGTAATCTGGTAGTCGTGGAGAACCCAGATATCAAGTCCCAGGCCTTGTGGGATCACTGCAGGACCACGTTAGCTATCGATTTATGTGATGGGCTCTCTAGGAAGTTGACTTACTGTACTGAATCAGAACTATGAAAGGAATCAAGGCGGCCTAGCCAGGGTTGTTAGTCAACATCAGACAGAAACTGGAGGTCATTTGTAGATGTGGTATACTCACGAACGCAACTACCATTAGACTATCATCAGCTCCCCATGGAGAGTACTTCATGGCTTTGACAGTAATTCGACATGCGAAGAAGGCGGCCGCGAAAATGAACATGCCAAGACTGGTCGCCCTCGACTCGTTGCGATAGTCTGACAGAGGGAATCCACATGCTGTTCTTGTGATATTGACAAAGGCTATAAATTGAGAACCCGGTTAGATCACTGGCAATCTTGACAACAAGATGGATAGAAAAATCAATGCACTTACTCAGGGACTCAACTACGCTGCATCCTTGTTGCACACAACCCCCGACAAAGTTGTTGAAGCCTTCATCGACACACAGCTCCGCCTGTGACTGATTGGCAAATGCAGGCTGGCTCATTGCCTGGAACAGGCATTTCGTCTAAACTCACTTGTTAGCTCCTCCTCCGACGGGTAACGCGAAAACCTTATTCGACTAGAAGAATGAGAAGATGTGACACTTACAGAGCACTGTGGAGCATCAGCCAACGACTGCGCGCCAGCGAGCCTCAAGAGGCACGAAGCTCCAATGGCGACGATGAATCGCAGAGTCAACATTGCGGGACTCGTCTGACAGCGAAACAAACAAACAGCAAGCAGTGACCGAAAAGAGAGGGAGACCCGGTGGGAGATACGCCAGAAAGGGAGGGCCCCCAAGTCAACTTATTGCCCTTCTTGTTGTGTTGATGACGGAATCGGTACCCAGGAGGCCTAGCCCAGCGCCATCTCCAACTTCTGCGATTTGCAAGGCGATCTCGGGAGACGGGTACGCCAAAGACGGCGTTGGTACTCCGTATAGGTTTTCCCCCTCCTTTGAACTATTGATCCTGTCTACTGTTCCCCCCTGCTTTTGGTCGTACGTTTGCGGCGTAGAGCTTATCGCCATCGTCTGTCCCCAATCGTTTCACAGTTTCAGCCCCCAAAAAGAAGATATCCATTCTGTAGAAATTCCAGAGCTTCTGACGCAAGGCACGATTGGTAGAATGCTTGTGAAAATCAGCTTGGGAAAAAGGCGGTGCTTCAAAGGAAGAGAGCAGCAGCCCGCTCTCGCCACGTCTTGGAATGTCTCGAGAAATTGCGTTGCGTCCGCAACCAGTTAGGATCCCGCTAAAGATTGAAGGAAAAAGAAACCATCCAATATCATACCAGAGAGACCTCGACTCCCCCCAGCCCGCGGATCCTCTTCCGGACCACTGGTCAAAAGCCAAGCTCGCCGCGAGCGGTCAGCCTCCTTTGAACTCTAATCATCCCGGATCGCTCTCGCCCCATGCCAAGCTCTCCCAGGAGCTCACAAAGAGAACAGCTAGTCGGGGCCTTGCAAAAGCCGGTAGAGGATGAGCAGAAAAAAATCCCATGGACATTCCTCCAATGAGCGAACGATGCTCGTCATTGCGGATGGGTACCTAGTCATCCGCGTCATGGTCAACTGGAATGCGATGAACCCAGTCAGCCACGGGTGGCGGAATCGGGTGAGGTTTTCTTTGTCCTGGGGACAGCCGATATACACGGCGTCGCGGGGCCTTGATAGCAGTCGGGTTGCCGTGGCCTTCTCGGTCCGCAGATCATGGTATCAAGGACTCCCGAATGCTGGAAATCAATAGCAATAGCAGACATACGCGAATGGTAATGCTGAAATCCCATGGCGCGGCATCACAGGCACGTTCAAACAGAGACTCTTTAGTCTAGCATAACCTATGCCGACTTGTTGATATTGGAGCCTGAAGCTAGGTTGTGATCTGCAAACACCCTCTAAGAAATGGTGCAGATGATCTTTCCCGAGTTCTTGTTCGCCTCCAAGTGCGCGTGAGCCTCCTGTATCTTCTCCCACGGAAGCACCGTATCAATCACAACCTTGAGCTTCCCCGTCTTAAAGTGCGGCACATACTCCTCCAACCGATCCCTCAGCTTACCCTGATACTCAACGTCCCTGCTCCGCAACGTGCTGCCCTCGAGCCTGATCCGCTTGTACAGCAGGGGCCCAATGTTGGCCCCCTCAATGTTGGGCCCGCCCAGCAGGCCGAGCAAAACGACGCGCGCGTCCCGCGCCGCGACGTCGAGGTTCTTTTGGAAGTAGCCGCCTCCGACAAAGTCGACAATCACGTCCACGCCCTTGCCGCCCGTCGCCTCCTTGATCTTCTCGGCCCAGTCGACCTCCTTGTAGTTGAAGGCCGCCGTGGCGCCGAGTTCGTTGACGACAAAGTCGCACTTCTCGTTGGACCCGGCCGTCGCGTAGACGGCGGACGCACCCGCGTCCTTGGCCAGCTGGATGCCCGCAATGGAGACGCCAGAGGCGCCGGCGTGCCAGAGGACGGATTTGCCCTGTGAGAACTCGCCTACCAGGAACAGGGCTTGCGTGGCGGTGATCCAGGTCTAGTTTTACTCATGGTCAGTATTTGCAACTGCCGTTGGAGGTGTATAAAAAGATGATTGAATATGCATTACCTCTGGAACACCAGCGGCCTGCTCCCAGGACAGGAAATCGGGCTTGTGCAGCAGCATCTTGCTGTTGACGGCAATGTACTCGGCATATGCGCCACCGTACGCGAGGCCAAAGACCTCATCTCCAGCCTTGAAATTGCCGTGGTCGCCCGCGCCAAAGGATTCGATAGTCCCGCTGAACTCGACTCCCAGGGTCTTGGGCGCCTGGGGCGGGAGCGGGTAGTTGCCAAGACGTTGGATCTGGTCCATGCGGTTGATGCCAAAGGCCTTGATCTTGATCAGGGCCTCACCTTCGCCCGCCGTGGGCTTTGGCGTGTCGGCATTGATGAAGAGGTTTTCCTTGGGACCTTTGCCATCCTTGATGTCTGTATTTTTGTGTATTTGTAAGCCAACTGTGTTCCTTGGGTTGTACGTTGGGAAAGGGCATGTTTTGACGAACCAACCGCTTTCATTGTTGAGGCCATTTTTTATGAAATTTCTGATCTCAAACTCAACTTTGCCAATCTGCACTTTAGAAGTTGAATTAGAAAGAATCTCTGAAATTTGCTAGTAGCTCGAAAAGATGAAGTCTCACCGAGGTCCCCGTTTGGTTCCCCTCAATGACGTGCATCCGGGCCCACTGACTAATCCACTCGGGAGCCTCCGTGCCGCTCCGTGGCCGGCTCCAATATTCCCGTGCCGCGTCCGCATGGTCTCCAACCACAGCTCCGGGACACGCTATTGTAGGTATCTGCCAATATCTAATGTGCACGGCCGCAAAATGGCAAAAATCATGTAGCTCTTTCCGGACCATGCCCAGGGTGCAAGACAGGAATCATCATGTCTGAAATACCAGCTTGCGGGCTTAGTTCAACATCGTTTTCAGTCGGTCCCCTTTACTAAGATTGGGGTTTCAATAAAGTGAACGCAGTGGTTGCTGGATGTTGAACGTTACCCGAGATATACAAGCTCGAATAGACCTGCATTGCTCTGATATACGCATTTCTGGGGTATTCTCTCCGTGTTGTGCAGGGTCTCATGAGGAGGTCACTTTGATGACGTTCCTCCTACCTGGTTGACTTCCTCGACTCTCCACACTGATATTTCAAATCATGCCAGTTCTAGAGATCCGAAACGCTCATGGCATCGTCCAACAGCAACAGCAGCAGCAAATCGTCGAGACATGTATCCAGCGTCTCTATCGGTCGCGCAGGATTGCGGGAAGAGGAGGGGAGAGTTCTACGAATCCCGCCGGTATATTTGACCATCGGGAATCCACACTTCTCACTACCTAGATAGTTTATGAACCCGGTGTATGTCTTGGAGCAAGAGTAAACATCAACCTTGAGATCGTGGCGCCGTCATGATGGTGACAGCAAGTGGTGGTGGGCTAGGATCATGTTGCATGGCCTCACAAGATACCGCGAGATGGCGCCAGCAACTGACACTTTTGAATATGTCCAAACTTACTTCGTCGAGGGCTGGGGAGCTCTTCAGGCGGCTTCAAACCAGGCCTTCCAGCGCCAAGGTCAAGCGATGACGCTCATACTCGACGCTCGCCCAATTCTTTCAAGATTTTTTTATTTTATTATTATTATTTTAGCTCTCCAAGTCATGCCATATTTGTGAAGCTTCTTCATTGGAGAAGGAAAATCGGCGGTGGGACAGCAGTATTCTTAATCCGCGCTTGGCGTCATCGGGCCTGCGAGCCGAATGATAATGGTGCTGTCTTCTGACCTGGTCACCGAGAAGAAGGCTCTTAGCCAGCACATGTCGATATACCACATACCAGGCTATTGACTGAGGTCAGATCGGGTTTTCCTAGCCACACAGTGGTTCTCCAGATCTTGACAGCTGGTCTATCTCGCGGGGAGCTGACGAAGCTAGTGTCGAAAGGCTGGCATGATCTAGATGGCATACCGATTATAAGACGGGATGCAAAGATGGTAACAGAAAGGCACTTGCTAGAGTAATCGCAAAGAAGCAGAAGAGTGGCGGTAGGTTGGCTGAGTCGGTTTGCTGGACCCGGACACGATGAAGTGGGCTGATTGATCCGTATCACACTTGGTTGATGATGTTATACGAGCCACTTGACTCCTGAGAACCTGGATATAACGATAAGCAGCAAGAGAACATAGAAGCTGCAGGTACGGATAGGTAACCCGTACGGAGTACAGTCGCAAGTCATCTCGTCACTTGTTATGTGAGATCGATTGGACGAAAGTGAGCCAAAGAGGAGGATGGAAGGACGAAGATCGGTCAATAGTCCCAATTGAGTTGATCAAAGTCTGTGTTGTGTGGAAATTAATTAATGGTCAGGGTGCGCTGTAATACCCCGGATTGGCCCAGATGGCCAGCCAGGTCGCTGCACAGGCCACCACACCACCGCAACCCGTGGGCCGCAGGCGGCCGGGAACATGTAGACCCGCAAAGCAATTTATAGCGTTGGAGGTGAAAGTGCCCGTCTAGACCAGAACGATCAAGCTCGCTAAACTGTGCTGGTAGTGGTACGGATACAGACCCAAGATCCCGCTGAATCGAACGAGGGGTTGATCGTAAAGTCGCTGCCACGAACAAGTCGGGCGAGTCAGGTGGTGACATCCCGGAACGAGCCAGATGAGCTCCTCGCCAGTGGTTAGAACCTTGGATGTGTTGAATTCCACGGCTGGCGGAGACATCTGTCGATGATAGAATGGATGCCATTATATGGATTCTCGGAGTGGATTCGTGGTATTCTCCTCCCAGCCGGAAGGTGAAATATACGAAAAGAAGAGTGAGGTGAGGCTGCGGAAAGACATTTGTCGTGTCACTATTTCATGACGGGGTTCTATCTGATGCAAGCGGATGCTGTTGAGGTCAGGTGCCTCTCGTCTTTCCGAAAAGCGATGTATCCATATAGATAAATATAACTTGTTGACGTCGTTCGGGGTCCGTGGAGAAGTTGGCCGCAGTTTCCACTCCACAACGGTGACAGACAATTATCAACGTTGATTTTCTCCGAGCGATTGACATAGCATGTCTCCGCTGTGCGCAAAGACTTGAACTCAAACGGCGAACACCGGTGCTTAGGGGGGGGACCTGTCGTAACGGAGGCCGGAGGGTGCTGGGTTACCCGGAGACCCTTTGGGGTGTGAGTGTGACCTCTTGATTCTCAAATGTCCCCTGCACCCGTGAGAGTCTGGCATGTGCGGGAAACCTGGAGGAACCCTGTCTTGCCCTGGCACGTCTTCGAATACCCAGTACTGCGAAGGGAACCAGCATGACACTGAC